CATTCGTGAAGATGCAGATATCTTTAGCATGGTACTTACAAACAAGGCCAGGAAAATCCGCCTTTTTTTCACCTAACTCAATGAACTACAGTTCTTTGTAACTACGTATTGTATTGGCTGCATTTCACTCAGTGGTGGCAATGTAAATGGCGGCCATGAACACCATATATTCAATGAGGTTTCAAAGGGTGTATCCATCTATCTAATAATCAACCTATCGAATTTTAGGTTGTTGCATCGTGTACATAATACAGTACTGGACTACGATTACAGGTCGGTCCGGTGGGAGAGAAATCGGGAATAGATTCAGACAGAGGCTTCGTTAAGTTAAAAAGTGAAGAAAGTAATGGAGTAGTAGTAGTAGTACAGTCCAAGGTATGGAAGGTGAAGAAGAAAAGGAAAAAGGAAAGGTAAATAGATGAAAGGAAATGAAATGGATAAAAAAGGTGGATGGGGTATAAAAGGGAAACAAGAACGAAGGGGAAAGCGGGCGGTGAAAGTTGAATCAATAACAAAGGTTGAGGCTTATTGCAGGATAAAGATGCTGTAGTCACTAGCCATCCATCAATCAATCAGCTGACTCGTGACATATACCAGACACATACACGCACAAACACAGATTTGAACTCTCATTATAATCGGAGACAGTTTTGTTGTGTTCAAGACATGCTTGCTGTTACATGATTCGTACCGGAGTGGCGAGGCTCGATCTTGTCTGTGGAGCTCGTCTCGTCTTCATCCAAACGACGCCTCCACTCGGCGAGACTGTCGCTCAGCCCCGTTTCCCTGGTTGGCGTTCTATCGAAGTCGGACTGCGTACTCAACCGATAGTTACGGTTGTTGCTCTCCCATTGGGTACGCAAGGCTTCCAGTTCGTTTGCAAGCGAGTCCAACGCCACCGAGTTTCGATTGTCAGGGAAAGCGTCGTCTTGAGACACGGCGCTGTCAGCCCTGGACCGACGGCCCGCGCCGATGGTGTTGCTTGAGGCGTTACTGTGGGTGCGAGAAATGCCGTTAATTCCTTGAACAGGCTGTGACTGCCGACGGTAGTGCCCGACTGACGCCTCAACCTGGTCGAGCAGCATAGTGACCTTCTGCTCGGCGTCGGACGCACGGTTCTCGAGCAAGGCGTTCTCCTGCTTAAGCTGTTCCAGCTCAGAGCGGCTTCTCTCTGCCGCAGCAGCAAGTTCCTGCTTGATACTTGCGAGTTCAGATTGCGATTTGGACTTGTCAGCCTCGGCGGCAGCAGTCTCTGCTCTCAGCCTGGCAATTTCACTTTCAAGGTTGGCGATTGAGGCTGCTGTATCTTCTTGGAGGTCGGCGATTGACTGTTCGAGTCTTGAGCGTTCGGCCTCCCAATCAGCAGGGGCTTCCGAAGATTTGGCAGACGATTCAGCAAGAGCTGTCTGTGCCGCGTCGAGCTCCGACTGAAGCTTGCCGTTCTGAGACTTGTACCGAGCAAGCTCGTCCTTCATGCGCTTCAGCATCTTTTCAGTGCCCTTGACGTAATGAACAGCTGACTGGTAGTCGTTCTCTAGTTGCTCAAGCTTCTCTCTGTATGCGCGGTCGGCTTCCTGCTCACGAGTCTCGAAAGAAGACTTCAATTCTTCGTGGGCCTTCAGGCTGGTGGAAAGCTGTTGCTCCAGCTCGCGGAGCCGGCCTTGCTCGGGAGTTCCGAAACGAGAGCCAGGCGACTCAAGGGGTGAGCGTCGGCTATCAGCATAATTGACCCCGCGCTCTCCCAGGAGGTCCTTCAAGGCAGCATGCTGGACGGCCAGAGCACCGGCTTCGCGCTGGTGGTTCTCCAGCTGTGACTTCAATTCTCTGTTCTCAGCCGAGTGGCCCTGACTTTCCTTCATGGCTGTTTGCAGCTGCCTGCGGAGTTGCAACCCCTCCCTACTAGCCTGTTCCTGATACGCCTCCAGTCCAGCGATCCTCTCCTCTGCGCGACGGAGCTTGTCTGCTGCTTCATCTGCAGCAGCTTGACTTGTCTTGGCCAATTGGTTGGCCCTCTCTATCTGAGCTTCCAAAGCAGAGACCCGCTGATCGGACAAGGAGCGCAAGGATGCTTCAGAATCGAAGGATGACGCACGCTCAAGACCCAACAGGAACGCATTCTTGTGGGTTTCGGCTTCCCTCGAATGACTCTGCATGAGCTCCTCGGCATCTCGCAAGCGACGTGTGGCGTTCTCTAACTCGGCTGACCTTTCTTCGTGCTCCGAACGCAACTGCAAGAGCTTCCTTTCTAAACCCTCACGCCGCTCACGTTCCTCATCTAGTTGTCTCTCCAGAAGTTGAGACTTCTCAGACGACGCGGTAACAGCCTCCCGCAGGCCGCCAAGATTAGTGCCGTAGTCCCTAAGACGAGTGGAAGAATCCTCGAGTTTCTGCAGAAGTTCCTCCTTGTCCAAGGACAATTGCTTCACGGCAGAATCGGCCTCCGATCGCAACAGACTCTCTTCTCTGAGGGAGGCCTCCAACTGATGAAGTTCCGCCCTAAGACTTTCAGCCTCTAGTTTACTGTTGTGCATTTCTAGTTCGGCCAGTCGCCTCCGGGTGGCTTCACATGTCTCCTCGGCAAGCTCACGGCCTCTCTTTTCCTGTTCAAGCTCAGTGGTGATCACTTCCAGCTTGGATCTGAGCTCATTCTGCGACGCGAGAGCCAGAGCTAGCCTTCGGGTTAGATCTGTGCCACGTTCCACAGACGTATCTTCGGATTCCTGTGCATTCCCATCCGGTTGCGGGGTGCCCCTTTGACTTCCACCATGGGCAGCCAACTTGGCACGAGAATAAGCGGCTTCATTGACCGCAACATCCCTTTGGTGCTCCACCTCTGCAACACGTTTAGATGCTATGGCTGCCTGGCGATCGACAGTTGCCTGCATTTTGGCCAGCTCTGCTCTCATGGCAAGGAATGCTTCAATCAACGGTCGATCCTCGTCCGCAAATGCATCTGCGGCACGCTCATCCACACCAACGCTGTTTGCCGGGTTGGGTGCATACCCGGCCTTCTTGGCCAACGCAAGTTCGGAAGCATACCATGCATTCCGGCTTTTCACTGCTTCCAGTTCTTTGATAAGCGCTTCCTGGTGAGGCGTCAGTCTGGGCGACCGTGGTTCGTCTCCCGATCGCGAATTTCTGTAACTCCTCGACTCCGTTGAGCCATCAATACTAGCATGTTTACCCAGTATGGATTCATCGGCACTGTCCATAGAACTGCGTTGCCGGTGCTGGCGCAAAGACCGTTGTCTAGTTGGTGCACTTATAAGGGGTGCAGCCTCACCAGCTTCCATAGCCTTGGCGGACATTCTTGATGGCTGCTGAGTTGGCGTACGGCGACCGCTCGATGCCGCGCTCGAGTCTTGCATCGGCCGGGCTTCTTTTGGTGAGTCCCTGGCAGCTGGTGAATCTCGATCCCTGTCGGGCCCCATGGCTCGAGCGGTATCCACAGGAGGGCCTCCATAGGCACGATCCGTCTTGGTGGGCGTCTTGCTTCTGGGGTTCATGGCGTGCTGAGGAGTGTTACCTCTTTGACCAGGTGTTGGGGCCTGTCCAGGGGGAGGAGGCCCCGCGGGGGCTTGCGCTATCGACGCTCTGGGCAGTCGGGATCCTGGCCCTGGACTAGGGCCAAGGTCTGCTGGTCTACCAGTAGGGCTGGTCATCATGCTTTCCCTTGACTGGGGGGCTGGTCCACGTCGTTGCGCGTCAGGTTGGTTCTGGGATTCCCGCGATGTCCGACCCGTCGGTTGCATTGCACGGTCTCCACTCATCTTCCGCATCGCTTGGATAGGAGCCCTTTCGCCAGTTTGGTTCTCAGCTGGGTAGCGAATCTTGGCGGTATCTAGAATATATGCCATGCTGAGTTCGACGGGATCCCGTGGCGCAGAGCTCGGCTCACCCGCCAGAACGATGATTTGCTTTCCAAATGCTGTCATGCTGTGACCAGACCTCGGAGAAGGCGCAGGCCCCATGTTTTGGAAAGAATACCATCGTCGTGTGGAGATGCGGAATGCGGCCAGATCCCCGAGGTCAATACCTTCGTCCGTCCGTCCTCCGAATATATACATAACGTCGTTGACAAGAGCCGCGGCGTGCCCTTCACGAGGTGTTGGGATAAAGCCGACACAATCCAACTGAGACCAGGTGTTGGCACGAGGGTCATAAGACCAGACATCGTTGAACCATTGCAAGCCATTCGTTCCTCCAAACCTGGAGCAGAGTCAGACATCGAGTGCATAACTCAGAGGGCCGAGGGGTATAGACGAAGAATAGACACTTACAGATACAGTTTGTCGTTGAAGCTCACTATTGTATGGTTGGTTCTGGCGGGTGGAATTTGGCCGGGCGGAGGGCCACCTTCGTGGCTATTCCGAATAAGGAATTCCCACTTGTTCCCAGGGTTCTGAAGCTGGTTTAAGTCGAAAGAAACCAAGTCGTTGAAGAAATAGCCTTCGACCTGTCCACCAAAAACATAGAGTCTAGAGCCAAGAATGTTGAGGGTATGGCCGTAGCGCCCGGCGGGTCGAGGACCTGGGGGTATGGATCTGGACCATTGACGAGAAGCTGCAGCCCGGTCAGGTTAGAATATGAACACCCCAAGAAGTCTCTCAGCCTATGAGACTATCGCACGCATACGTACATGTATTCAAGAGGTAGAGTGTGTCGTCCAAGGTGTCGGATTCATCCACCTTAGTATCGCCTCCAAATACAATGAAGGCGTTACCGACCAGCAAGCTGGCGTGGCCGACTCGCGGGCCCGGCCCTTCGGAGACAGTAGCGATGGGAAAACAGGACAAGTTACCGCCGCTGTTTTCCATCATCCACAAATCTCCCTTGACAGTCGACCCATCTATTAGCCCACCCATCATGTAGATGTCGCCCTCCTTCGATGCCACCGCATTGATTGCTGCTCCATAGCGAGGGAATGGATTTGTCTGGGCAGAGGTGAAGTTCACGCGTCGTTGCGACCATGGGTACAATGATGCACCTGGACTACCATTCGGGGAGTTACTTGGCGGTGCCTGTTGTGGACGTTGGCCCTGCGTGCAATCAGCCAAGGTTCGGAAAATGAGTAGCACTCATCGCAAGCAGAACAGGAGACACAATATTGAGTGCCACTATGGGAGAGGATCTGGGAAACCAACCTGCGATTCGGATTCGGCTCTCTGGCGCATCCGCGGGTGATCGGGGCTGTTCGTGCCATTCAACGAGTTCAAAGAATTATTGTAGCTACTGCTGGGCGTCGGGGTCTGGGAATGTGATCCATCCCGTTCTTTGGCGCCGCTGGGCTGCGCAGCCGCTGGTGGGTTTGGATTTGGGTTTGCCGGCGGCCCTTCTGAAGTATGAACATTTCTAGACGCGGGGGGTAGGCCAGAACCCTGCTGGTGTTTCTTCGACTTAAAGAGGAATGCCATCGTTAAGATTGGGTCGTAAACGGTCGTCTCAAGCACAAAGCAGCGGAGCAACGGCGGAAGTGCAATAGAGAACTGGGGGAGTCCACCAGCTGCACCAGGTCACCTGTACCAACAGAGTTCCAAATGCAATGAGGTCGGGGTATATTATAGATTGAAACAAGAGATACCACTAAAGACCGGCAAGAGGATAGCCCAAGAGCGCCGGGTTGTTGAACGATATGAAGGAGCGAACGGCGGGTAGAATTGAATCGGAGTCGAAAGCAGAGTAACAACAGTAGGGACCGGCGTTCGTTCCTGACGATGCTAGAAAGAGCAGTTAAATGCACCCCATTCAAATAAACGACCCTTCTCTTGAAGCCGCTCGTTGGATCGATTCGGAGACTGCGAGAGTTGTCTTGCCCTTTAATATCGAAATAGCCTCATTGAAATCCGATCGCGACACTGACAGAGCATGGAGAGGGGTGAAATATAGAAAAATCACAAGAAAGCAGACAGGGGTGGATAACAGCAAACGGAACGGAACGACTGCGACTAAGGACAAGCAAAGAAGGCCGACGGAAAAGTGGACAACAGGGCACCCAAAGACGAGAAGAACATGAACAAGGAAAGAGAGAGAAAAAGGATGAAGGTGCGCGAGCAGCAAGATGGGGCTCTGGACCTGGAGAATTGGAGGAGAGGAGAGAGGGAGGGAGACGAGAAGAGTGAAAGACTCCGGCGTTTCACACTTTCTGGCCAGCCAGCATTAGATAATTATCCTCTGGGCTTTGGCAGCAATTAGTTTTAGTTTTAGTTTAGGGGGGGAAAGGCAGAAGAAGAGCGAAAAGACGGATGGGGATGCGGACCTGCCAGGGCGACACCGCCTCATCGCCGTTCTCCAAGGCAGCTTCTGCTCTGCTTACTTTACCGTCTTGTGAGAAAGTTAATCTCTTTTCCCTCCCTGTCAACAAACCCAAAGAAAAGAAAGATAAAAAAAAAAAAAGTAAATAAAGGTCAATCCATCCTCCCACGAGGCGTTTCCATTCCCCAGACAGTGGTGGTGGTACATCCACCTCCCATACCTCAAGTCTTTCCTAGTTACATTCCCAGCGTGCCCACCCTCCCCGAACCACCTTACAACCTCCTCCATCAATTCCGTGCCTCATTCTACTACTGATTAGCACGGACAGGCTACGATTAACTTGTGGTTCTTGATCCCCCTTGTCTCACTGCTTGTGTTCCATCAAACCCCGATAACTTTCTGTCAGAATCTCATTAACCGGGCCAACAACCAGAGTTCGGTCGATCGGCCTTCAAAATAAGCAATACAATCGCAACTGCCGACATGTGTCTGTTGTTGGTCCACTTGGCTTGTCGCTCCACCCAGTTATCTGCTTACACCTCAATGCATGGACGATAGATGAGATGTGAAAGCAGAGGTGTCTACCCAGACTCGGTCATCTTGAGGAGATATCCTCCATTGCAAGCCAGTAATTGCAAAGATACAATGTGAGTGGATGTGGGTGAGCCACTGGTCATGCAGGAACCACCGCGAAAGGTTGGTTGGTTCCCTTGTGGCTCCCGAGCCACATCATCGACACCCCGAACATTCCACCTGGCAAACAAAACTCATCGGCTGGGCAATGTACGGAGGACCGCAGCAGAAGTTTCTTAAATTATGATTAGTCCGACGATGATATCACATTAGCCACGATCTAAACATCCCTTGCTGATTCAGGGCCATCTTTCATGCAGGAACGAGACATACTTATTACAAAGTACATTACGGACAGTAGCAACACCCATCCATCCTGCGGGCGGGCGCATTTGGAGAAGGATACCGTTCTACGCCATGGCCTGACCAGCCATCGCAAAGCTTGCTAGTATCCATGGCTCCATATACTCCATATGCCTTTGGTCTCTGGGCCCAGACATCCGGCATCAGCCGGACATAGATGCCCCATTTAGTATCAGACAGAGAGTGACTCCGTGTCGCAGACAGGCAGACATAAGGACAGGTTTAGACTGAAAGATGCGCGAGGGACATGAACTTTATTTAGTATGCAGATAGCAACGATCTCGTAGTCCCATCCCTTTATTATGAGGAGCTCCCAACTAGAGCCCGAATCGTTGCAAAGCAAACAAACCGGGGTCTTCATAGACGGCATGGCACTGACTACGTCACAGTATGGCCATAGAAAGCAGTTTGCGAAACGAGGTATCTTTGTCTACTGTGACGCCTCGGATAGGTGAGCTGCCGTTGGAGAAAATGAGGCAAGCGTTCTGGTGAAAGTTGAATGTGTCGCGTTGATTGGCGACAGCCATTATTCAGGGATTATGAATCAGGTCGGTTCAAACTCCTCCACCTTCTAATTCTGGAGGGGAGTTGATCAACGGTAGACTTCCTAGCGAAGCTGACTGGCTGGGGAAATATGGTGTAAAGTCCGGATGGGTTAGCGCTGGGGGAGGGCCGGGCTTACAGACTTACAGTTACTAAGTTAGCTCCGCCCGTAGCGAGGCTCCTCATACAAAATAGCTCGGGACGCTGCCAGGAAACGAGAACCACGAGATTGAGCAGGGCGGAACCAGGGGTTGAACAGTCCCAATATCCAAGGGGGGTTAGGGAAAAGAGAGCCACTAGGGTCAAGCAGAGATCACATTGGTCACGGCAAAAGGGGCTGGTCCGCATTATCTGGCCCATCATTCCCACGACAGGCGAACTAATTTCTGGATTCCAGACAACGGTCGGTTCGATCGATATCTACATACCCTGTGTGGTTTAGTCCAGCAACCACTGGGACCATGGGAACCACCAGAGATATGATTCTCAGGCCACTGGGCATGGGGCGCTGAATGGCTGGTACCCCCTTTCATATCTGCTATTCAGTAAATATCTGCTACTTAGTAGAGTAAGTAACTAGTAAGGGACGCCGAAAGTACTACTACTACCTGTCAGTACTACGTAGCAGGATGCCACTACCCTTCCTGTCGTATCTTACAATGCTCAATCTCTCAATTGGTTTCTTTCGTGGCGGCAGTGGCGCATCGTGATCTGGGCGCTGACGGTTTTTTTTTATTTTTTTTTAATTCTTTATTTTTCCTCTCCCCCGGATGTCCCGTGATGGTGTGCTTGCCTTTCCTTTCCCTTTTGCAACCCACTCATAAGCCATCACCCGTATCGGGTTCCCTACCTTGACCACCAATGAGGTTGGCTCATACCCATGGTTGAACATGGCCCAGCCTGCAGGGCTTGCAGTAGCCTCGTTTTTACCACTTTAATTAGAGCGCACTTGGGGTGCAAAAAGAAAAGAAAGTTGTCGGCTGAAATGAAGCTGCGTCCTTCCGAATATACCTGGTCGCTTCTCATAAGATTTTCAGTCGGAAGGGTGCATCAAGCCTACTCGCTTAGTATTGGCAAACAGATAGACATGGGCAGACTGTTTCACACAGAAGAGTGACTGAAACGAAACATGATCTGACGGCTTCCGATCGCCGTTAAGCCTACCCGTCTTGGTCCCTTGTCTCTGTTCTCTCCCCCACGCCTCCTTACCACTACTGTAGCCGGGTTACGAAAATATGTTGCTACTGTGCACGGAGTAAATAGTAGTGGGAGAAGACACAAAGCGCAACTTCTCGTAGATTATATAACACTTTTAACCCTATTTTTCGGTGTACTAACCTGGTGTCCATATCTGTTCGTGGATAAAGTGCATCTGCGGTATTGTATTGGAAGATAAGCATGTAAATCACAACGTGTTGATAGAGTGTGAACCGTGTCATTGCCTCTCCTGAACTCCTGATATAAATATAGCTTGGGTGGGTAGTGTATGGAGTAGTTAAAATGATATTGATCTAGTCCAAACTAGGTACGTATGAACATTGGAGTTCCTGAGTACGCTTAGTCAACTTGCTAGACATGTGACTTATGAACTCTGGAGTGTTAGCTGCCAGGTGCGATGACAATGAAGATGGGATATCAAAGTACGTGGTTTAGATGAGAAGCTAAAACATAAATACTTAATCTCAATACATCCTCCCCCAGTAATAAGTAACCAAACCAACCACTCGGCAGGAATATCGTCATCCATGGGAGCTGCCTAATCCAGTTAAGCGCAGGCGTTGGATATGCTCCGGGGACAACGATGTTCCGTCCAGGCCATGCCAAGAGGATCCCGGCCAGAGCTCATGGTTCTCGCCGAACCAACATCATCAACCAAGTCCCCCGCGTCTTTGGAAGGGAGTGTCAGCAGTTTCAACGTCCTGGGGAGACCGAATCGCCTGGTGTTTGATTTCTTTTTGATTCCCTGACCGTGGCAGAGCTTCCTCGCCACAGGGCGTCCTCCCAACTGCTGGCTGCTGACTGCTGACCCTCCGGATTGGGTATGAGAATCGCCTGGTCCCAGTGAATGCACTGTGACATGAGTATTGATAAGGTGAGAGCATATTCACCGGCGCATCTGCCCTACAGTCAACAGTCGACGCCTTTGCAACACAAACTCCATGCATGTGAGATTCTTCATCGTCTTCCTCTATATGCTAACTCCTCCGCATGTTCAGGTCCCGGCCTGCTTCATCCTCGTTACTTCACGCCGCATGATGACCTTCGATGTATAACAAACCCTGATTGACCAGAATTCAGAATGGAGCCCACAATCCAGCAGGCATCGCAACCCGAACCTCGGAAGAGTCACCACAAGTCTGTTCGGGTTGCCTTTGGTCCGGATCTAGAAACACACATTCCCCCGCGTGACAGATCACCCGCTCCAGTTCCAGGACATCACCGATCATTCACTACCGTGGAGCACAAACAGCCTCCCGTTATCACACCCGAACGACCGACTAGCTCATCTGCAGGCGAGAACCCGGTGATTATCGAGAACAATGGCCGACTGGCTTCGGATCGATCGTCGGAATCTGGAAGACCGATTGCGACCCTGAAGAGGGCCCGCAGCGACTATGGGCCCAGAGTGGGGCTTGATAAAGCCATTGCTGCGGATGAGGAAGAGGACATTGCCATGAGACACGGATGGCAGGAGGAATATACCTCGAGCGAGTACCTGAAAGTCCTGCACTCGGTAAGCAGATGCAGCAGATAGCCAAGGCTTCCAATCCGAACGGATCTGACTGCTCTAGAATTTCTACATGTATTTTACAGAGAAGCGCCATGAGACGAACGGTATCCCCAGGGATCCGGTCGGAAGCTGGCCCAGTCAAGACTGGCGTATGAAAGACCGCCTGAAAACCGTCTCTGCTGCGCTAGCCATCTGCCTGAACATCGGCGTCGACCCGCCCGATGTGGTCAAGACGAACCCGACAGCTAAGTTGGAATGCTGGGTCGATCCCACGTCCACTACCGGCGGTGGTCACAATAAGATCATGGAGCAGATCGGAAAGAAACTACAGGAGCAATATGAGACACTTAGCTTAAGAACTAGGTACAAGCAATATCTTGACCCCTCTGTCGACGAGACGAAGAAGTTTTGCATCTCTCTGCGCCGTAACGCCAAGGACGAGCGAGTGCTGTTTCATTATAACGGCCATGGTGTTCCTCTCCCTACTCAGTCGGGTGAGATTTGGGTCTTCAACAAGAATTACACGCAGTACATTCCGGTGTCCCTCTACGACTTGCAGTCCTGGCTTGCAGGACCTAGCCTGTTCGTCTTCGACGTGTCGCATGCCGGGAATATCGTACAGAATTTTCACACCTTCGTTGAGAAACATGAGAAGGAGAACGCAGAGGCGAAGAAGCGGGATCCAAATGCCATCATTCAAAACTACGGGGATTGTATCATCCTCGCAGCGTGTCAGAAGACAGAGTCGCTCCCAACTAACCCCGATCTTCCTGCGGATATTTTCACATGTTGCTTGACTACGCCTATCGAAATTGCCCTGCGCTTCTTCATCCTCCAGAATCCCCTGCAGACGAATATCTCAATTGACGAGTTTAGAGTGCCAGGCCGGTTACAGGACCGGAGGAGCCCATTAGGAGAGCTGAACTGGATCTTCACTGCGATTACGGACACTATCGCCTGGAACACCTTGCCACGGGCGCTGTTCAAGAAGCTTTTCCGTCAAGATCTTATGGTCGCTGCTTTGTTTAGAAACTTTCTGCTCGCCGAGCGTATCATGCGCACATATAAGTGTCATCCCATTTCATCTCCTGAGCTTCCAGAAACCCACCATCACCCGCTGTGGAAGAGCTGGGATTTGGCAGTCGAGATGGTCTTGTCGCAATTACCGGCTCTGATTGATCACGAAGAGGGTCGCAGGCAATATGAGTATCAGCATTCAACTTTCTTTGCCGAGCAGCTTACGGCGTTCGAGGTTTACCTGTCGTCAGGTCCAACGGAAAAGAATCCCCCAGATCAGCTTCCGATTGTGCTACAGGTCCTTCTCAGTCAAGCACATAGACTCAGGGCGTTGATATTGCTTAGCAAATTCCTGGACCTGGGACCTTGGGCTGTCCATCTGGCTCTGAGCATCGGGATCTTTCCATATGTCGTAAAGCTCCTGCAGTCTGCAGCTCAAGAATTGAAGCCAGTGATGGTCTTTATCTGGGCCAGGATCATGGCCGTCGATCATACAGTCCAGAACGATCTGTTGAAAGACAACGGAATCCATTACTTTATTTCCATCCTCAACCCTTCCTCGCCGATTCCTGTGGGCAATGCTAGCGAACATCGAGCGATGTGTGCGTTCATCGTCTCGATATTTTGCAAGAATTATCCTCAAGGCCAGAATGTGTGCCTTTCTGCTGAGCTCTTTGACTCTTGCCTCAAGCACCTTATGGATGTGGAAAACCCCCTGTTGCGGCAATGGTCATGTCTCTGTATTAGCATGTTGTGGTCGGACTTTCCTGAAGCAAAGTGGATGGGCATCCGTTGCGCTGCTCCTGCAAGACTTTGCGAGCTTAATTTCGATCCGGTCCCAGAGGTCCGAGCTGCAATGCTCCATGCAGTAACGACGTTCTTGGGTATTCCTGATTTGACAGACCAGGTTGCCCAAATTGAAGAGTCACTGGCTATGACGGTGCTGCCTATGGCATCGGACGGCAGTGTCCTGGTGAGGAAAGAACTCCTGGTCTTTTTCTCAACGTTCGTGAGGCGCTATCAGAACAAATTCCTGGTTGCTGCCTACGAGGAATTCCAGGACGAGAAGCAGAACCTCCAGCTGAAACTGGAACAAGATGGTACTCGGAGCCTTTCCTTGGAGGATGTGCCAAATATCTCCGCAAATGGCTCCACAGATCCCACCCATCGGTCTCAGATATTGTCCCGGAACACGACTTTTGGTACAATTTGGAAACAATTACTTATTCTTTCTGTTGATCCTCATCCCGACATTGCTCAAGATGCGGCCATGGTGGTCGACTACATTCACATCTGTCTTCTTCAATCCCCTATGGCAGCGCTAACCAACAAGATTCGCAATGAGATCTTGGATCTCTCGAGTCGTGTATCTCAGAAGTTCCAGGTCCGAGAAAGGCCAGAGTCCAAGAAGACTGCCCCACCGCCGACACCTCCTTCCGCAGCACCGCCGAAACAAGAAGGCTATCTGTCACTGAGCCTCAAACGAACGGCGAGTGTCGCTGCATCGCTCAAGAACTTGGCATTTGGCAATTCATCGGCCGCCGAGGCGCAGTCGCAGCAAACGTCAACGGCCCCGAAGAGTCGAGTGCCCATGACACCGAGAGGACGAGCCCCTCCCGAATGGACGCGGCCTCCAGAGGTTAACGACCAAGTCGCTCCCGCGACCGCATATCACCAGGCCCCAACCCCTACTTCACGAGGCTTTGAACCCAGAGATCCCACTGCTGTTCCGACGATCCCCTTGATGAGCAGGTTCCTAGATTGGTCCACAGAGGTAATCCCAGAACTCCTTGATGCAATAAGCGCGGAAACCCAAATTGAGTATGAGCAACTTCTTACCCGTATCCAGTACTTCCGGGAACCCCAGATGAAACCCAATGAGCCCGACGAGCCCGGTAGTGCGGACTACAACGAACGCCTTTGGAGACGGAGTCGCAACGAGAAGATCATTTCAGAGACCCAGCCCCTGAAGGGAGTAGCCGGCAGCAGCCGATGGGACAATTCGTTGTCTCTCTTGTCTAACAGCAGTCAACCCTTGAAAATGTGCTTCCACCAATTTGAGGATCATCTCGCAGTGGCGGACGACAGGGATACGATTGCGTATGTGCTTAGGATCAGCCGTATATTCCTTCGCTAATACCAAATAGGATATGGGACTGGCAGAGCCACAAACGCCTCAACCGCTTTTCTAATGGCAACCCAGCAGGCTCGAAGATCAACGAAGTACGGTACATCAACGAAGATGATCAAGCACTCTTGATGACTGGTTCCTCCGACGGCGTCTTGAAAGTGTTTAGGAACTATGAGTCCTCCAAAAAGGTTGAGATAGTTACGTCTTTTAGGGCTCTGCCGGAATTAATTCCCAGTAACCGGAATGCGGGCCTGGTTCTCGACTGGCAGCAGGGTCAGGGAAAAGCGTTGGTCGCAGGAGACGTCAAGGTCATTCGTGTATGGAATGCAGCTACCGAAGTGTGCACCAACGTATGTATCCACTTGTTGAATATGGGGACACTCTTCTGACTAATGCATAGGATATTCCCGCAAGGTCCGGCTCTTGTATCACTTCTTTGACGTCGGATCAAGTTGCAGGAAATATCTTCGTGGCTGGATTTGGCGATGGCGCTGTTCGAGTGTTTGATCAGCGTCTTAAGCCGACAACCTCCATGGTCAAGGTCTGGCGTGAGCACAAGCAATGGATTACCAACGTCCATATGCAACGCGGCGGATTGAGAGAACTGGTGTCTGGTAGCCGAAATGGCGAGATTCGGCTATGGGATCTTCGAATGGACACGCCCTTTTCAACGTTCTCAGCGACCAGGGACACGCTTCGCACATTGAGCGTGCATGAACACGCTCCTGTGTTCATGGTGTACGTGCATCTTAATCAGATATGGCTAAGCAAATTGGCTGACGTGTATGAACAGGGGTACCAACCGACACGAAGTCAAGACGTTCAACGTCAATGGTACATATCTATCCACCTTCGAGCCCTACTCGAGCTTCCTCCACCACAACCGCTCGTCCCCGATTGCTAGCACGGCTTTCCACCCTCACCGCACCCTGCTGGCGTGTGCTGCCCTCAACGACAACCACATCAACCTCGTGAACTGCTAATCTATCTTCCATACCCCCTTCATGGCCATTCCATCCAACCCTTATACCACTCCTAGCAAATTTCGGCGCCTGGAACTTTCATCCTTCGGGCAATGTTCGATTCGGATTGTTTTCCTTCTGATCTTCAACCTAACACCTTTTAATGGCAAATCATGAAGCATCACTTTCTGGCGTAGGTCGGCTAGCTTTTTGCGTTGGCGCTAGGAAATATTTTTTTCGTTTCCTTTATTATCATATGGCCTCGTTTTCTTCCTTTCATTTCTTGTCTTCCCACTATGACCGTGTCGCTTGTATATGGATGGACATAGCTATGCAGGCAGACCAGGGTTTTAATTGTCATTTTATACCCAGTGTTGTGTGAAGAATGGCTTGTAGGATTGTAGATAGTATTCATTTACTTCACCAATGAAGTAGCCGACTGGCCAATCTTATAGTATCTTAGGTATGGACCTCCTGTCAATTAAAGCTGTAGCAAACATACCGTGTCCTTGCCTTGGTTCAAATATCATATAGTGGGCACATGACATTTATAATGAAATATCATCATGTAAAGATATCAGTAGCTTATAGGTGTTATCTGCAGCTTAGAAAGGTTACTACTAGTAATTAAAAGGATATAAAAGACGATACGACTAAAAGCCCCCAAATCGATGATTACTGGTAACTATCACAACTGTAGGTAACTTTTGTCAGACCCCCACGCAACTCTGGGCCCCTACTGATACCTTCTTCTGGTATTATTTTACAGTTGATATTTATCATATAGTAGTTCTATCTAACAAATGCAAAATTGAAACATGCTCACACTACTAGTGGAGATCGGAAACGCTGAAGAGGGTTTGTACATCACAGCACCCAATTATACACTATGCAGTACTAAGGCAACCAGCACCCGAGGTCAATTTGGAGCTACAACCGTAAGGGACAGAAGAAATATATACCATTGTTACACATATTCACCTCACACCACACATATCATACAAGAACTACATAAAAACACACTGAACTTTTCCCTCCCGGTCCTTCAACGGCTGCATCCCATCCCATCCCCTTGAGAATCACATCCACCAACAAGAAAAACCTACTGCAACGACTTCTCCCAATCCGCCGCCCACAACGCCGCCCCAACCGTATTCGTAAACGCAAACGCGATCGACACAAACGGGACCATTTCCAGCGCGAATGCCGCCATCCCAAACCTACCCAGCAGTCAGTCAGCCATCACCAACACCCTCAAATATACTACCACCTCAAGGGGGAAAAAAAAAGATGAAACATACCCAGTATACTTCCCCCTCCACCTCCCGACCCATCTCGCCCTATCCCCCTTCTTCCACCCCTTCAACGCAAACCACCGCTCATGCACCCCCTCACCGACCTTCTTGCCCTGCACATAAACATACATCACCGTTCCCACAACAGGAACGAAGTTCAATGGCAGCAGTACCACACTCCTTACCAACATATTCCACATGTTCGTTTGTCTCTCCTCGACTTCTTCCTTGCTCCCGAGGCGGGAGATAGCTTCATCACCACTACTCTTCCCAGACTGTTCAAGCAGTTTCTCCTGACCCATCTCTACGAGCGTCGCATCAAACGTAGCAGTGATCGCATCCGCGAGGAGAAACGACCTCGCGAGGAAGGTCGTGATGGTGGAAGACTCGCTGAGGACGAGTAATGCGGCGGAGAAAGGAGCCAAAAGGGGTCCACTGGTAATGGACATGATGGCTGCTTGGGGCACGTAAGTGAAGAAGAACATGGCTGTGGTGACGCCCACGCCGAGGGTGAGGGTTTTGGAGGAGCGGGAGAGGAGGGGTTGGCGGAGGGTGGGGCGGTTGAGGGTGTAGATTATTCCCTATATTGATATTTAGTATTTGGTTGGGGGTGGTTTATTCGGTATAGGTATAGTAGCTATGGATGTCTGTATGGGGGATGGGGGGATGTGGTTGGTTCAGGTGGTGGAAGTGCACCTTAATTGGGTAGAAATATGTCCCTGAGAGGACGACATCTTTGGCAATGGCCCGGATGTGGGTTGCTTCGTCAATGAGAGCTCCAGTTATTTTGTTCATGGTTGTTGTGAGGGTCTTTTGTGGTTGGCAATTATAAAGGTGTTCATGAGGGAAGGTGTTGCGGAGGGATACTTTTGGATGGCGGTGACGTCGTCGGGAGCTAGCTATCTACTGTACCCATCAAGTGGGGATTGCCAGACTAGGAAATTTCTTGACCCGCATTTTTACTATATTGTAAACATATCTATGATATTTTCAGCTAATTAGAGCTAGTCCTCGCTCAACCACTCTAAAATACATACTGTAGGGGTCTTTATCTCATAAGATAGGACATGCTCCCACTGATGGTACATGAAACAAGCCACCGTAACAGAAACAGGCTCAGTCAAAGTAGCTATGTTTACCATCCTGGCTGGGCGAGCAATAATAAGGATCTATGCCCCCGAAGTCGGCAAAGTTTGCTGCTTGCTTTTTGCGATTCTTGGAGACGTAGGAATAGAGGTTGATTATCACATCACCCAGTAGCAATGTCGTCTGCTTCTCCTTTTCACTAGCGCAGTTCTCTGCAATTCCCTTGACTTGCTGACGGAGTTTGTTATGGCCTCTTCCATCCTTGTGGAACCACACTTCTGCTTCTTTGACGGGTCTGGTGAGTCCAGGAGGAGTTCTCAACATGCTGTCCTGAGCTGCGGAGTCATTGTCGATGCTAGACACATTGGCTGTACTGGTAGACTTGGTCTCGGATGCCTGACTGTCCTGTGGCGTATGAGTCTTAACAGGTTCGGTCTCCACAGCATATTCCCGGAGCGGCGCCTGTTCCTTGTCCAACTTGGGGCTTTCAGGCTTCTGTGAAACGTTCTTGAGCAGTGCGGTGACCTCTTCCTTGAACCTGCGTTGTTTCTCCTCCCGTTCCAGATCCAGAGTACGCGAGCGCTCCAAATAGGTCGGGTACTGGGCCCCAGGACCCGAGATCTCCAGACCGGATGTAATCCGGGTTTCAGGACGCTTGAGACGGGTATGGACTCGCAAGGACTCGTATGGGGTCTGGCTATAGGTTCGATCAAAGTTGGCTCCGTAGAGGTCCAAGGAGGTATGCTCGGAGACCGATTCATGGAAAGGGGTGCCCAACGAATAGGAGGACTCATAGGATCTGGTATAACTCAAAGGATTTCGTTGAAAGTGACCATCGTCGCTGCTCTCCCATCCGTGCGATTCAAGACGAGAAGGTGTGAAGGATTCCGCAGGTATGCTCAAATGATGGTCTGCTTGGTTTGTACGGTGCATGGCTGAGAGATGAGATAAGGCCTTTTGCTGGCTCATGGGTTGTGGTTCTTTCGGGTCGCTGCTTGACGACAGATCTGACAGATGCTTTCGGGTTCTGGCGCCTCTTTTAGAGCCTGTCTTGGTGCAAAGCTGGAACAAAGGTATTGGCTGAGAGGATGCCAGGTCCTGGTAGTTGTCCAGTTCGTGATCTTCGTCTCGGTACGCGGTGGACGTTCTGGTGAAGAGTAGGCGACGAGACGCCATGGTGAAGTTTCGCTGGTGAACGACTGTGACAGACAGCTGAATAGGGTGAGAGATCGGAAGAAATGAGGAAGCTAGTGATTAAAACAATGAGATGTCGGGGTCATGCCATGGAGATGCAGACGGAGTGACGCACTTGCACATTGTAAGTTGCGAAGCGTACCTGCCCACTTCGGGAAGTGCTATCGTTCACTCGTTTGAACTGTCGAGTTTGCTGGGTTTGCTGTGTTACGCCGCTGCCTGTGTCTCTGCCAATACACCACTGTTTCTGTCAGGACAGCAACACATTTCATGCTGAAGGCCCCGCAAGGACTGTAATGTAGCTGATCTCCATGACTGCCCAACCATCATATCGACCAGCATCGAAGCCCGAGTTCAAGTAGACATGTGCGCGAACAAATTCTCAAACTACGCAGTATCTTCGAGGAGATTCGATTACTATTCCGCATATAAATTACCGCATGTCCATCATACATGTGTATTAAATAATCAACCTTTGCATGAGACTGATGATACTTGCAAGTGCCTCTACCATTGGTTCCGCTGCGGACCACCAGAGCGCACGTTGTCCGGGCCCATCGAATGGTAACCCATCTTGCCAGAGTCCAACCTGTTGGTAGGACTGTACTCATTAGATCCAGTGTCCTGGCCGTAGGTGTTGTAGCTGCTGTCTCCTGCACCACCGCCGAAGTCCTGCATCGCTCCACTGTCCATAGCCCGCGATTCATATCCAGTCCCTGAGCCACCGTATCTCTCCGTTTCATGTCTATAATCCGCAGAGCCAGATCCATAGCCACCCGTATTACCATAATCGTAGCTACTGGTCTGAGATCCGTAGCTGCCGCCATATTCACCACCAGTGCCCGAACCATATGTGTCCGTCCTGCGCTCATAGTCGCCAGCACTGTAGTTATCAGAGCTGGGCTGAGAGCTATAGGAACCATCGCCAGGCCCATATCGCTCCGCGCCGCCCGAATTATAGTTGTCGGTACTGGGCTTGTTACCCTGACCTTTGCCTAAATCGGGAATAAGTTAGAAGAAGGCTAGATGTAAATCCTAGGTAATATAGAAGATATTCATACGGGAATTGGAATTGCCGTGATGGCCAGTCAAGGCATCTTTGACCTTGTGCATGAGATTCGACATCTTGATAAGTCTTAGGTAGAAAGGCGATAATCGCTAAAGCTACTTTGTTATGTGATCAATGCTCCGACCCGGCATGTTGTGCGAGGTTAGCACACGTTCAAATAAGGTCCCAGTCCATTGTGAACGTCTGGCGGGGATGGAAGCCACCCATGCTTGTCACCACAAAGGGCAGGACAATGGAACGAACTACCGCGGAGGATGACGTTTGTACCAGCATCTGAGCTGATGGTGTGGGATGATGGAGGAAATGGAAAGCGAGGATCGGGATGTCATCCACGTCATGCCATTGAGACAGCTCCATCCAGCCCATGGATTTGGCCGGTGAAGCTCCGCGCACAAGCCACGGAACCCTGGGATGGCACGCCACAAATTAACCCCGCTTGTTTCCTTGCAGTACCCACAGGACCAAGAACTGGTGATGTTCTAGATTCCACAGAGAAGTGATGAAGACACTGCTCTATAAAGCACGTGACTTCTTGTTAGCGATATAACGTTAGTAGACTCTGATCATGTAAGCGACAGGAATGGCATTGGTGAAAGCTACTTGATAGACAGATAGACAGTGCTAGCACTGTTTCTACGGAGTGGTTAGGTGGGGTTTTCCCTTGACTCGAACAACAAACACACATTCCTGGGCACATGAAACGAACCCCCTGCATTGTCGATCGCTTCACTGTGTACCCATGAGAAAAAGCACTAAAGTCGAAGTCGACAGTGAATATTGAGCAGGTGTGGGGAATGACGGGAAGCCAGTTCTTATTGATCTGCGGGGGACGCAGAGAAGCAGTGGATTACACGGATTAAATTGAGGAAATGATAAGAGGGAAAGTTGTATTGTATGGTAAGATTATTGGGGGGTGGGTGTGACACAGTCATTAATTAGGGAATGAGATGTTGCCATGCGCCACACCATGTAGGAAGAAAAGGGTCTCGTGAATGGCAAAGAGTCACTAGTCATTGACTACCTAATTCTTAAGTCAAATTTTAAATCGATGAAGTGCTGATGGAATTGGGCAGGCCAGCCCAGAATGCACGGGCGCAGGGTCTGTGACGTAGTAGGGGTGAAAAGGTATGGCGGTTGCCTGACAAACCTGAGGAAGCCACTAGTAAGGAATCTCCCCTCCTCAGGCAGGGAATCCCGTGACTGAGTGCCCCCCCAAGCCAGACTGTCTGACAGAGAAACACTACTAAACTCACTAGTTAACAGTCCTGAGAGACACGGAGGGTCAGGAAAAGAGGCTGTGCTTGCGTGTCCGGCGACTCGCTCACAAGTTGATCATTCTTTTTTGCCTTTCTTTCCTCCTCCACATCATCCCATCATCCCATCCCCATCCCCATCTTCATCCCCTTCTCCCTACTTCCTCTACCGTCCATGTCCCTGCTCCTCTTCGCTCCCCGTCATCCTTGTCCGGTTGGCTTCTAAGTACCAGCCCGTCATTGCTTGACCACTAAACTACAGTACTACTTACTCGCTCTCCTTTCCATCTTGTTCCTTCGCGCCTACCCTCCTTTCCTTTCTCCCGTGCTCTCTCGATGAGTGTCCGTTGTGTTGCGCTTCATCGACCGTCTGATTGGTCCTAAGAACATCGCCCTGCTGCAAGAAACCCGCTGGTCCTGAGCGTTGATCTCCCTGGGCTTCTTTCCTTCCCGCCCCCCCAGCCAAGCAATATCTGTTCTATTGCATTTCCAGCACATCCTCTCAACTATGCGACCACCACGTTTGATTCTTGTCGTCTTCTGCCTCATCTTCCTCCCCATCATCCTCACGTTCTTTTCTGCTTTAACCTCCTCGCCTAGGGTGTCCACCCCCGATTCACTCGCTGGTCGAGCGACGGGACTACACGCTCTCTTCTCCTTCAACATCCCCTCATCCCTGTTCCCGCCGTCCGCCATCATCAGCCTTACCGATGACAACTCTACCTTTTTCCTGGCCCGACCTGCTGCGTTTGGCCCTCTGCTTCCGGACAAGGGACTCAGCGGCCAACTCTGGATTGGCAGTGGCTTTGGGGAACGAACAACCGCCGGAGCGGAAGGGGAGCTAGGATGCTCCGATATCCCGGGTTGGGGAGAGGGAGATGGTCCGAAGTCGGGCGGAGGTGCCGATAGTACAACTGGGAAGTCGGGGTCTACTCCTGGAAACGAGCCGACCGTGCCACAGAGCCATCGTCAAGCGATTCCCCAGCCGGATATCGACCTGCAGCATGACTCTGGTACCAGAGCGCCATCCCCGTTGACAAATGACGGCACCGATGACCATCTCCACCACCCGCTGCCCGAGTCACAAGTACCGGACTCAGGGGCCATGGAAAAGCACGGGGAGTTCTATTCGAACCGACAAGCGGCCCATGCTGATATCCAGTCATTGCAAGAAAGTGCTGAGATCAACGGCAAGGTCGTCCTACTGAGTAGGGGCGGCTGTGGCTTCTTGGAGAAGGTCAAGTGGGTCCAGCGGCGTGGAGGGATTGCTTTGATTGTGGGGGATGACACCCGAGGAGGAAGCCTCGTCACGATGTATGCACGGGGTGATACATCCAACGTGACGATCCCCGCCCTCTTCACCTCTCACACTACGGCACACCTGCTGTCATCCTTAGTCCCTCCGCAAGGGGAGGACTCGGGCGCAGACGATGGATCAGGAACACACACTAAAATATCCACTCACGGCAGTGCCGGGAAACAACGCATGGACGCCACGGCTACTACCTCTGCCACTGCGTCGCCAACTTCAAGTCACAAAGCAGTAGTTCACGATAGTGCGATGCCTCCGAAGCAGAAGCCTGGGCTCTTCCACGCTCTTCTGTCATTGTTCGGTCTCAGCAACCATGGTGGACCCGTCTGGTACCCACCAGAGGACAGTCGTCGCCCGCCAAGCAGCGGGAACATTAATTGGATTCTACTAGATCGCTGGGACGAACAGGAACCATCACAGGATGATACCGAGCGAAAGACCTCCCGAACGAAAACCGATGGCGTTTCCGAAGACCTCAAGAAATCAGGCACCTCGTCGAGCAGTACTGACGGTGATGGGTTCGTCATTGGAGTACAGGACTGGAGAGATCCAGACCTAGTAGTTCCGAAGGGCAGCGCCCTTCCGTCACCTACCAGCACCACCGACGCCGCCGGGAACAGGGTGCATACTGGTGTCAAGGGCTCGCACCCTACGCCTGCGACTTTAAAGGGTGGCAGCATCACTCCAGGAAGTGGCGAGTATCGCACCGTCGAGAAGTCCAGCGTTGAAAAAGAGTCGAAGGTGGAGGACTCAAGTCACAAGTCTGTGTATGATGTGAAACCAGGATCCTCTTCCCAGCGCAATGGTTGGTTTGCCAGGCATTTCTTCTGGGCAACGGACAAGCCAGGTCCGAGCCCAAGCTCCAGCGCCCATGGGCAGATTACTTCCGTAGACCAGAAGCTGCATGATGCGACAGCTCAGAACGGCCAGGGCGTGAATGCCGCCGAACACGACGGCTTGTGGGTCACACTCACGCCCACGAGCATGTCAACCAGCCCTTTCTTTGATACCCTCCTCGTCTTGGTCGTCAGCCCATTACTCACGCTGACCGTTGTTTACGTCCTGCTGTTGCTGCGGTCTCGTATCCGGCGTAGACGGTGGCGCGCTCCGAAGTCCCTCGTTGATCGCCTCCCTGTGCGAACTTATCATACCATTGCGAGATCGACCTCTTCCTCGGAAACGAGCTCGCCACGATCCGTTAGCCCTGGTCCAGTGTCGCCAACCTCGCCATTGTTGGGTGCGAAAAGCCGCTCAGGAGCCCAGTTGCCTGCTCGATCCCAGCAAGAGTCACATGTCTCGAATGCGAGTGCGTCCAGGATATCATCATCGAGGAAGGGCAAGTCGGGGTCCACTTTGTGGCGACGGAAGTACACTGGTCGGCAAGTGGAATGTGTTGTGTGCCTGGAGGAATATGTGGATGGGCAGAGCAGGGTGATGAGTTTGCCCTGCGGCCACGAGTTCCACGCGGAGTGCATGTAAGTCACAATGCTGGAGTCTGTTGTCAAGCATGTCCATACTAACGATACTCGCAGCACGCCTTGGCTGACGACCCGCCGGCGAACTTGTCCTATCTGCAAAGGCGACGTGGTTCGGTCAATGTCGCAGAACAAAGCGGCGGAGGCTTACGAGTCGGCAGAGCCGATGAACGAGGAAGAGCACCACCCTGACGCAGATTCTCAGCATAGTTCATCCTCAGCGCCGGTGCCGATCAGCGGAGTGAGCGAAGACGAGACCTCGGACCTTGAGCGGCATGCTGGCTCGGAAACAGGTCTTCTCGAGGGACAGGCATCCTCTGCACCACCGAGTTGGAGGAACTTTGCAGCACTGAGCTATTCTGCTCTTAGTGGTGATACGATCTGGCATCAGGCTCAGACGGACGGCAGCCGGTGAACTGCGTTGTCTTGCTTTATATTATTAACCGCCCCTGGTTCCTTTAGATGTATGTGATCGTGGAGGTGGGGGTATTCTGTCTTTGCAGCGTTTCCTTTTGTGAGCAGCATTAGCGATGTTTTGACACCGTCCTTGCTTGGTTGGCGTTTGATGGATTTTATGGAAGCCGTAGCGACATTGGCAGGAACAGTTTAGTTTCAGTTCTGCACTCACTTGTAATATTACCAGACCATAAGCCTCCGGGAATCACTTTTCCCACCGGTGCTTAGGACGTATTCATTTGCCTTGGACATGAATATTGAGCAAATCCCGAGACAAAGTTGGCACGTTCAACAGGTGATAGTCTACGACTGCGTTAGTCTGATACCGCGGGGTGTTTCAATATCACTTTCGCTGTCCAAGTAACTGGCATCGTTCCGAACCATCTTGACACACCTCGTAAGTAGTAAGTAGCAGATCAGACCCTTAAACAACTTTGAATGTGGGCACATGCCAGCATATCTACATCGGCTGGCCATCAACTCGGCCAATAACTCAAGTCCGACGGAACAATCAAGCCATGCAAATCGCTAAACTCCTTAGACATATACATCAAGTCATACACCGCCCCCCCCCCCTCTCCCCCCCGGGATACATTACAAACAGACACTCACTACTCTAGAACTTACACCCCTAATGAGAATATAATCATTTACATCCATCCATCCATCCATTTACATACATACCCACAACCAAACTTACTATACATACATTCCCGTCATGACATCAAAATCAAACAACCTCAGGCACACATCCCCAACTACACCCAACTCTCCTAAACGGCAACGGCCTCAACACTTCCCCAGATGCCCTAGGTCCCTTCAAGCCATTCTCATACGTACTGACATCCCACCACTCGATCCACTCTGTCCGCGCGAGCACAAAGCCCCGGTGACATGACGAGCAGTTCCTGCCCCCCGCGCTACGAATTTCTTTCGCTTGCCGGAGTAGGCGGGTCATCAGGGCCGGGAAATCTTCCATTTCTTCGTCTGTGATTAGGTCCGGGTATGTCGAGCGGGTGAATGCTAGGAGGGAGATTTCGCGGAGGGAGGGGACGCGGGAGATGCTGCTGGTGCTGCTGGTGTTTATTGTTTGGTGGTTGGTTTGTTCAGTAGGGATTTGGGAGGAGACTGGTACGCCTTCGGCGTTGTAGTATGTAACTGGGCCGGTAGCGACGTGTACAGGTGCCCATGCTTCCTCCGGAGGTGGGCCGTCATATGTTACTGATTTCAGTTGTGGTTCTTGGGTCTCTTGGTCGGTTGGAACGTGCCATTGGGCGATGGGCTGGTCTTCGATTTGGAGGAGGGGGTTCGGGCGGACGGTGAGGTGTTTGAGGTCGCCTTTGCGGATGAGGAAGAGGAGTTCCCAGGGGAGGGTGGGGAGGCGGTTCACGGAGATGTTTAGTTCCTGGAGGAGGGTGAGGGAACGGATTGCTGGGGGGATGGAGGAGAGTTTGTTGTAGCGGAGACTGAGGACGCGGAGGGAATCGAGGTCGAAGATTTCGCCGGGGACTTGGGTTAGGGCGTTGCCGGCGAGGAAGAGGCGGAGGAAGGGTTGGAGGGAGGTGTAGACGTCTTCGCTGATGGGGGGCTCTCTGATGGTTGGGAGTTTGGTGAGGTGTTGGAGGGGGAGGAGGAGGTTCGGGGGGATGAGGCGGAGGGTGAGGCCACTATACATGGATATAGATTAGATGCTGTTTCTGGATGATAGAGGGAGAGATGTAGGGGATTGGAATATACCTCAAATCAACACTATCCTCTCCCCTCTCAAGACAATCATTCACGATCCCCCGTGCGACTTGATGCTCGCGCGGTTCTTCCTCAACTTTCCTGAATCCTTGTTGTTGACTTTGAGTCTGCGGTGTCACCGTCTTTGAACCTCCATTCGCATGAGAGTTCAGCCAATCCTCTCCCAAATCCGCATCAGAAGGCAAGAACCCCGACCCCGGACCAGAGTCATAATCATCACTTCCCATCCACACACCGCTATCCACCAAGCGCTTCTCCTTAAAATCCGCCCGTTTGCGCTTCGCGTCCTTGTCCTTCACCATCTCTCCCCACCACGTGCCGCGGTACCGGCGCTTCCGACTAACAGGCGCATTATTGTAGTTCTCTAGTCCTGAGGCGGGGATATCGTCACTGGAGAAAAGCGCTGGATCACTGGAAGGTTGACTGGAGCGGTCGTCAATGAAGCGCGAGGGGAGACGGTGGTGGTGAGCAGGGCGAGTCGCGTGACGATTGTTATTGTTGTTGGAGGGGTCGCGATGGCGGATGCGCGGTGGTGGGGGGAGTGGGATTTCGTGGTCCATAGTTGTTATTTTGCACTTCCGTGCAAAATATGTGCGTAGGGGTATTCTTGATTGGGAGATGCTGTGTGACGCGATGCGATGCGAAGGGATGCAAAGGAAGTAAGGAGAGAATAGTATTGATGCGCTCAGTGGCTTTGGGATGGATCACCTCACTCGGATCATGACGTCCGGTGGAATGTCGATCGATCCGTCGGATGGGATGGATGGAAGAGTTCCGGAATGACGGGAGAACTCGAGGTCCAGAGGGAATGCTGAATTCTGATGGGCTGGAAGGGAGGGAATTGGTGTTGGTGCTAGACTAAGTTGTTTACGAGACGCGTCGCGGTGGAGCGGGGCGGTGATCCGCTTGATAACTTGACGGTGAACTGATTGATTGATTGATTGATAGCTACCCGAAGGACTCGGATCTGCTCGGTTCATTGCTCTGCTTTTCATACAATCTCTTTCAATCGTCGTATGTAGATCCATCTCTTGTATGTCTAGAACCTAAATCGAATTTACTATCTTTTGAACTCGTCGACTGCGGCACACATCTTCCATGGCAATCGCACCAAAAGTACCGCTCTTGACAGCTGAGAAAATAGGCATATCTTTAGAGAAACACGTCTGAAGCCTGCAGCTAGCAGGCAACTCATCAGGTGAAAAATATTATTGATTATCTACATATACTACCAGCATAAGGCACATCGGTTCACGCAATTGATTGGGTCGACCCTATACAAACACTATGCACAGCTTTCATCACGGCCGAACCCCGAAGCGAAGTCAAAAAGTAAAAAGGTAGAAATAAAGTCCATCCCAACTGTGGTTATTCACCAGCAGTCAAGCCATCAACTCGTCAAATCCGAAACATCATAAGGGGTATAATCAAGAAAGTATCCGTAGTAGATAGGCCCATTGTCGCGAGCACAGTCGATGACAATGTCCCGTGGAGAATCAATATAGGCGGTCGAAGCAGAGAATAAAGATGTGTGATAATTGAGTAACGGTCGAAACCATTCCTCGCAAGGTTCCAGCGCGTGAAGAGTATGCGACAAAGCTGGCAGCGCTGAATTGACTTAGAGCGCACCCAGGATCAGCGCCATAGATCCTGCAACCAGTACAGCGGGCATCTTGGCAACCATGCCGTCGGCTCCAGAAGTACCCACGGCAGGGGAAGTAGCAGCAGCAACTGAGGTGCCGGCGGGGGTGCTCGAGGTCACGGTGACCGAAGCAAAGGACGAGGAGGCAGGCGCAGAGGAGCTGACGGCGACAGAGCTGCTGGCGACCGGGCTGCTCGAGACCGCGCGGCTGCTCGGAGTGACGAATACCGAGGAGGTCGAAGGCGCCACGCTGCTAGGAGCAGTCACCGTGTCGACGTGGACCAGTGTCGCGGTGAGATAGTTGGTCACCGTCGAGGTACTGGTGGTGTCGGTCTCCGCAGCGACAAGCTGGGAGGCCATGAGGCAGAGGACAGAGGAGGCGAGAGTGCTGAACTTCATTGCGATGAGTTGCTGGTAATTCCGATTTGTTCAATTGAAAGATTTTCGGGCTGTGGATATGTATGTTTGTCGCAAATAGGCTCTGGCAGAGACTGCGCGAGTAGATCAAACGAGTGACGAAGAAGACGCAAAAGAGTGAGCGTCGAGAAGAGCAAAGGTAGCGAGGGTAAAGAACGTGGGGAGCGCTGCTCGAGTCAAAGGATTGTGAAACGATGCGATGTCTGAAGACGCGCCGAAGGGGGAAAAAGGAGGACGAGGGGGGGTCGACTAAATATGAGCCCCAGAGTGCCAGAGGGTCCCGTTTGGACCCAACCAGTCAAACTCGAACCCTCACGAGCGCTGCCCCGGAAAAATTGCTTGACGAGTCGCAAGGGGCACGTCTCGCCTGCCTATTGGCCTGGGGCACATTGAGAATGTGACCGGCCATTGTTCACGTCGACACGCCGTCAGTCGGTAAACAAATCACCCGGCCACGTTACTCGCCAGCGCATCCATTGTTGCGCTGGCGGCGCCTGGCTGAGGCCCGGTCGGTGTGTGCCTGACTCCTTTTCGAGCGACGATCGCCAGTGTGCGTTGCTTGGCCGAGAATACGCCCTGCTCTAGTGAACTCACTAACCGCAGCGGCGTGAGGAGCAGGACACTGGATTGGCTTCGGTTCCTGAGTTCTAGTGGTTGGTCAGCTGGAGTCGCCTGAAGATTTTTGATTTCTCCTCCACAACCGTTCGGCTGTGGCTCTTGGGAGCCGTGGTTGTCACCACGAGATGCCATGCCTTTGTCTCTCTTCGTTTCACACGCACCACGCTTCCGGTACTCCTCGCTGCCCCCTGGCCTGGGATACTAGTTTTGAGTCCATCTGAAACTCGAATGATTCGGGATTTAGCCGTCGATAGTCCGAGTTGGGAACTCGCAGCCAGTGCTGATTGATTCTCACAGAGAAGACCCCTGATGGGAGGGATGGCAGCGGATTCGGAAAGGAGAGCCGGCAGAAAGAGAGACAACTCCACTGGTTCGTTCCTGACTAGCGAACGCTGCATCCACTCACCATCCACTTGGTGGCCCCAATGACTCTCGCATTTCCTCCTCAACCGCTTCGCCAAACTCCGGCCTATCCCGCTAGTCCTCTCTAGTCCGGTGCAGGAACCAAGGGACCATTGTGCCCTTGCAGCCGCAATTAAACTCAATCGTGCGCATTTTTGAGCTGCGACTTCGCGCCATACGTATATGAACACTCTGGCCCCGGCTTCGATTGCTTGCTTCGTCTAAATGTCCGTCTTTCCGATGAGTTCTAGAGAAATCGGTGTGTGAGCTAATACTAGCATGTCTGTTTTTGTGAGGTGCATATGCCATATAGGGGGGTGCCGCGTCACCCCTTCAACTGTTATTATGAACAGCATTAATGAAAAATAAAAGTTTACTGAATACATTATTGGAGTACTTGCATGATAGTATCACCAAAACAACTCACAGTCCAGGCACCATTTCGGACAGCCCCTGATGCTGCACCGGTGAACAATACTAACACCGCCAACTTTGTCGCGCAAGAGACTGCTTATGAGAAGTCTGGGGCCCTCTAGCAGAAGTGCTTCCTGTGGAGATCACTGCTCGTAAAAGGGATCAGAGTTGCCAACAAGGGCCTTTGCCCGGTCGGCTATCCTTGGTGGCTGCTGATGCCAATGTGGGGGCCAAACAGTAACACTATATCAAAGGCCTTTAGTGATATCCCCTGCAGTGATAGAGCTATCTGGGAAACGATGACCCTGGCTTGTAAAGATGTTTTGGGCAATAGGCTCACTACCAACTTCAGGGTTGCTAGAATCTTGGGGTGGCATCCGGATTCAATTCCCAGGCTCATCTGCAAGGAAAAGCCCGGCTGATCGTAAGGCTGAGCGTTTCGATCTAGCCCCATTTTATGTGCTTATTGAGGGCGAATACTGTGCTGATCTGCTTTCCGCCTTGCTGAGCGCCAGCTGCTGGACCCTGAGTGTGGCCCTGTCTGCTGCTTTCGGCTTTTCTGCTGAAGAGCTATCGGTTAATGTCAGGGGCTTACAAGCAGTCCCGATGCTCATACAGACGGCTAAGTTGTCTCGCTGGTATATAGGCCGCTCTTGAGATCATTGACACAGCACCCGTCTTCATAGCTGTTGTATATATAGTAGTAACCATAGATGCAAGTGTTGGCCGTGAATGCATGCACTGTACAAGTAAATGACGCCGTATAGATGGCCACTAGTACGCTTGCGACTGTCAGCGCAGCAGCAACTAATTCCAGGCTCATTTGAATATAAGTGTCGTAAAGGTGGGTGGGAAGATGCGCCATGGAGCGGTCATTGACCCGGGTTCTCTTCAAGCCATGTTCTTGGGTCAAATTACCTGTATATTTTAACTGTGTGGGGTGGGAAACCTGCATCTTAATTCTCACAAACGCCTACAGCCATAGTCTCGAAATATTTGATGGAAATGGGCTATTTAGCGTCCAGCTCGTCATATATATTCAGAAGATCTTCATTGAAGGCGGGTCGAATCACATCACTGCACATGTTGAACCACGTGGCTCAAGAACTGTGCTCGTGTCCTATTACTAGTAGTCCTGTCATTTAGATGGGTAAGGAATAGTGATAATGAATCCGGGAGTTTGAGGGATGCTGTTCTTGATTTAATGCCTCCATTTCCAGCAAATATATGGTCCAAGCAGTAGGAGACATAAGGAAAGGGTGCACCTCGGTTGACACGAGTCAATGAGATGAGACTTTAGTAGGCCTGTGGACAGGCTCTAATGTTCGGTGCCAAGGTGAAGGCCCAATTGATCTTCCGAGCAGCATTAGATTCCCATTAAGGAACCCGAGACTCGAAACCAATGATGCGAAACAGTGGAAGTTTCTATTGAACGGTGTTTCCAACGCCAGAGAGCAAGTCACGTATTCTCATGGTATTGATCCTCCTCTGGACAGCGTTACGTACAGAATGAGTTTGATTCCATCAACAATGTTAGCAACTGGATTTAGATCATGCCTCTCTATAACTTCTATCAAAATGCTTTCCTTTTCTACATCATCGCCTCCAACAACCGTGTCATCATGTACCGGAACGAGATATTTAATCGCGCAATTTCCATCGCGATTACTGAGATCCATCCATCCCGACTATAGACCTGCTGCAACATCCACTGACCACAGTATTTCGCACCCTTAGTGCTTACCAACATCATCCGTCAATCCTTTGGTCAAGGCGCAGCCTTGCCCAAAAAGCACTCATGTGACTCCGCCTACAAGCGACGCATCATTCTTCACACCCCGCTAATTCAGCTCGTATCCAGGAACATGGAGCCATCTTAACATGGATATTCGCATATTCCAGACATCCTCCCCCTACAATGTCAAAAACCGCACCCAACCCGACTTTGGACCAACCGGGGCTCGAAGTCTCAGTTGCTGATGGTCTCATTGTGGACCACCGCCAGATACAACAACAAGGACTATATTACGCAGGGGATGGATCCGATGCACCAATACCAGTACTTGCAGAGCCGGGGGCGGGGCTCGATACAAAGCAAGAGACAAATGTGGGGGAAGGGAGCAGATCGGAGAGAAGGACACTATGTGGTCTTCGTCGGCGGTATTTCTTTCTTGGGATTATCGTCTCTCTGATTGTCATTGCTGCTGCTGTAGGAGGAGGTGTAGGGGGCTCTTTGGCTTCACGTAAGGATTCCAGGTAAGTAAGCGCTTTCTCTCCAGATCGTAATATCAATTATATGAGGAATTGATGATTATAACACCTTATTCACCAGCTCCTCCACTACGAACACATCGGCAACACCCACTACTACCACCACCTCAACTTCTACATCTACAAGTACCAACGAAGAATGTCCTGCATCGAACGGAACAACGATCACTGTCCAAGGCATAGTGTATACGCGGTTGTGTGGCATAGATCTATGCTCTTCGGCTAATGGCTGCACCGAGATGACCATATCGGATGACACATTGAAGGATTTTACAACAGAATCGCTGGTCAAATGCATTCAGCAATGCGAGTCGTATAATGATATAATAACAGGGTCTGAGTGTCAGGGTGTTAGTTGGGATGCGAATGCTCCGGCTAGATCGAACCATACCCATCGATGTTTCCTGAAGAATGCAACAAGTATACGAAAGTCGGCGCCGGATGGGTGGACGATAATGAGTGCGGTTCGGAATGCGTGATGTATGTTGAATGGAAGGATATCTATTGAGTAGAGTTGACTACATTAGACTCGATAGTAACGACTTCTATCAGCCCCAGTCACGCCCGTGTATTAATAGGTACTAACTAGCCTTAATATAGCAAGAACAACTTCGAAATTAACATCGCAGGCCAAGAGTTAACCCTTGACTTTAAGCACAAATATATACAAAACCCGTTACCAACCCATCTAGAACAGGACCTGCCTCACATCCTTATTATCCTTAATCTTAATATTCCTCATCATCAAAACCCAAGCAATCGACAACCCCATGACAGCAGTACCCGCAATCATCATATTGCGCTGACTCCAAGCATAAGCATTCTGAATCGCAATACGAGTCTCGGACCCAACCGGATAACTCAATTGCACATCCAACGACTCATAGATCTCCGCCCACTGATCCTTCGTCTCCGCCGGCAACAGCTCCCTCAGCTTTTGAGGAAGAGTGTTAGTCCAAATAGCACCAGAGACACTACTACCGACAGCACCACCCAGATTACCAAACGTGCTCAGCAATGCCAACATAGCAGCGTAGTCCTCATGTCTAGATGCCGCCAGGACAGCAACCTGCTCAATAAGAATCAAGGTACCGCCACCAACAGCCAAGAAGATCTGGCACATGCACATGTATCCAATGCTGAAGCCGGGCTGGCGGAAGTAGATCATCAAGCCGCTGGCCAGGAGGTAGAGCGGGACAGCCCACATAAGTAGCCACTTGAAGCGGCCGGTGACGCGGATCAGGTACCCGCAGCCGATCAGCCAGATAGGGTCCATGAGGTCGAAGATGGCGCTGATGTATCCGGCTTGGGTGAGACTGGTGTTGTAGACCACTTGCAGGAAGGAGGTGAAGTAGCTGGCCCAGCAGTAGTAGGAGACTTGGTAGGTTATGTCCAGGAGGCAGGCGCCGATGACGGTGCGGTTGGCGAGGAGGTGGTAGGGAATGAAGGGCTTGGGGGCTCCCCAGCGCTCGTAGGCGACGAAGCCGACGAGGACGAAGAAACCGACGATCATCATTGCGATGATCTTGGCGGATTTCCATTCGCCTTCGGTGTTTCCGGCGATGTTGAACGAGGTCAGGAAGAGGATGAGTCCGCCGATCATGAAGAGGATGCCGATGACTGGTTGAGGAAGAGCGTGTTAGTCGGGGGCGTTGGGGTAGTAGAGGGTTATTGGGAAGAAGACTCACTGTCAAACTCGATGATGTAGAACCAGGTGCTCTGCCACCAGGTACGGGTGCTTCGCGGCTTGTATTGCAGGCGACCCTCCTTGTCTGCCTTGCGCTTCGCCAGTTCCCAGGTTATGACCAGAGGCATTGCGACGATGGGAAGGATAATGCAGATGGTTCCGTAGGCCCAGCGCCAGTTGGTCTCGTGGAACTGGTTGGAGAGGGGAGAGCCGGCAAAGGCAGTGATAATGTAGGGAGAGGAGGTGAAGGCGTAGGCGATACCTCGATTGCGGAGCGAGGATGTATCGGAGGTCATCACGTCGACACAGAAGATGACACCGGTGAATCCGACGGTGTAGAATGCCTATTAGTGTCGCGGATTTAGTACGCTTGGGCATTCTTGAAGCATAGCAGATGAGACGATAAGAATGATCGATCTCGTATACACAGAGGGTAAAAACTCACCTGAGCAGCACAGTACGTGGCAATGTTGTTGCAGCCAGCCATCATAATCAGGCCCATGATAGCAATCAACACCATGATGCAGACACCCAATGTACGATCCCACAGGTTCAGTACCTTAGCAATAGGCATGACACAAGCAGCACCCATGACACTAGTAACGACAGTAATCACAGTGAGCAACGAGTGCTCAGAGAAATCACTGGTGATATACGCGGAAAGGTTCGCGGTCAAGCTGCTGTTCAATCCATTGACGAAATACAAGAGCCACATGCTATACACCGTTCAGCAGTCGCTCCAGAGGAACAGAAATCAAGCCACTCACGAAGCATAAGTGATAATCAGAGATTTCTTCGACCAAGAAGCAGTAACTGCTTCGGCGACACGAACACCATCCTGCTTATCCTGTTCATCCTCGACAGGCTGTTGAGGAGTATCGGGATCCAAAGAGATCGGATCCTCACTGACCCCGGTAGTGGTGGGAGGCTTGTCAGTGGCCATTTTTGAGGGGAGAAGCACAGCAATTATGCCCGAAGTGCTATATCATCAGTGGTAAGAGAAAGTTTCAAGAACTGATCGGCATCGAGGAAGGATATGCGCCATGTTATAAAGGCTTGACATGGGACGATGATTTCTTCGCCTCCCACGCACGTCCCACACCATCCCAAAGCTTTCCAAGTCCCAATTTCCTGAGCGGCCAACGCGAGAAGGAATTTGCGCTGGCTGTGGGTGCTGGTTCAGGCTTACAGTGGTAGTGGAACTCTAGGCAGTCTTGTCCTCTTGGCAAGCTGGCGACACCCCGTTCCACTTCGGATCAGATAATTCTCGCAGCTTGTCTCAGTGTGGTTCCATCAGGAGAACCTTCCCCAAAAGTTTTCCTGCAAAAACGGTTGATTTTGCCACATTTACATACATCTAGAACATTGCATCGAGCTCACCATGATTTCATGTAGTATGTTGTAGTAGTCTCCTAATGCTGGTGCAAGGGTCTGGTGTCCCTGCTCCACTTAGAGACTCCTCCCCTAATTTGTTTCCTGGCTCCTCATTGCACCATGACAACTTGTAGCCCCCACTGTTCCGTGAGTGCTGGTGGTCTGCTATTTTCCCGGGGGGCCCGAAAGGACCCGATTTCAACGCAAAGATCTTGTTATGGTTCCTAGTGACGGTGACAAGCGGGCCGTGATAACATCGAGACCCACGGACATGGCACTGATGATGGAAGATAAGATGGATAAGAGTTCAAGCTGGATTTGAGGGCAGAAAAAAAAAAGACCAAGGAAGATAAGTAGGCCTCCAATTTCGTTAATGCATGTCATCCGTGCAAGAAGACTGCAAAAATTCCACGAGAGGACATGATCATCATCACCACATAATGCTAGGGGTGAATATGGGCCAGCTCCTGCCCTTCCCCCTCCATCGGGAAAAACCCGGCCATTTTCCCGCAAGACAAAGACCGCACCAGCCGCACCAAAAACAAACCCTTCCAGCCTGTTTTAACGAGGGGCCCTGGTAAGGGAAAAGGTTCCAAAACAAGCCTAGTCAAGCCCGAAATATACTTGGCGGGTGCCACTAAACCTTATTGGCCGTATCTTATCTGATTTTGTATCGCACAATACCAGATCAAAACACACATCGTGAAACCCACTGCATGAAATCCCCAACATTACACCCACCCAAAGGTTCCTTCGGGCCATGCCTTATTTGGACTCTGAATAGGCCTAGGGTACTACTAATTACCACTGCTCCAGATAGTATCGTCTCCCCGCGGTTTATTTAAATGGCTGCCTAAATCTCTGCCCTGGGTTATCCCCACCTTGGAAATTTTCATACTTACCTCTCTCTTCCAGAGATTGATAACGCATGACTCACTCGTGACCTACAGCCAAGAAGTAAGCGAGGTGTGGATCATGTTGTGCGTAGGAGTGCGCTCTTGGCATGTCCTTGGCGGGTTGGAAGAGCTTTTCCGCCGTTAGCTGATACTGGGCATCAACTGGTGGAATGGGATTCTGTGGAAGACATACGTAGAGGTAGACGCTTCAACCAATAGTTCAGCAAAAGATCTTTATGTCTAGACATATACGAGCTGGGATGCTACGTAATGAACTTGAGTCATGGATAGTGAAATAGATTCTGCGCTTCCAGATATCGGACAAGCAGTAGCAGTAAATTGGAGGGCAGCTTCTGCGGAAAGAAAAGTTATAGAAGTACAACTAACAAAATTATTCTAGATTCATGTAGCAAGCATGCTTGTATTGTACACCAATATGAGCAGGACTGCATCGTTGGGCCGGCGACGTCCGTCCAATTGAACCTCGTGTGTAGCCCTCTCGTGGTACAGTGGAGCTACACCGGCTTTACCATGGCTCTTCGTTTCTGAACCCTGTCTGAATAAATGATACCTACTCTGACTTCCACAGGTAGAGGCGTCAATAATCTTGACCAAACGCGTTCGCTCTCTATTGCCGCGTCAGGGCAGCAAACAGTTTTCTACATTCAAGCCATTCAGCTCCGCGGTGGCCAAAATCATACCGTAGTCTTCACGCAGCCAATGGTTATCTCTAGAGACGGATAGCTTCCAGCCGTTCATAATGTAGTCAGCCTCACTACACTTCGCAAGCGCCAACCGCGCTATAAGAAATGGTACCTGAACAAGCCGTCCCAACACCAAACCTGTTATGGACCCCCGCAGACCCGGCTGAAGCAATGTTACTGGCCATGAATAACGAGACTAGTGTCTCTTCAAACGGTCTAGGGGGCTATTGCCAAAGGATTTGCTCCTCAGGGGATCTCCGATCTCGATATAAATCTGTCGTCAGCGCCGCTATCGGCGTTGTGTTGTGTATCCATATGTCCTGTGGCTGGAGGAAAGGGCCAAGGATGTGAGACGTAATCTTCGCACTTTAGTAGCGGTGTTCGATTTAGTGTAACAGATAGTAGTTTCTTGGACATTCTGACAATTTATGGGATGGCTTTTGTGATCATAATACGCATCGTTTAACATGAATAATGAGAGCGACTCGTTGAGCCCTCCTGACAAAGAAAAACAGGGGGAAGAGGGAGAGTAAGATCGGGGTCCTTAGTATCGTATCCACATATATGATGTACAAAATAACCGTTATTTGTAGGGACAATTGATTCTCTTCTTCTGACAGATTTTTCAAGACCAAAAATGTGACTATTTACTTATAGCTCTACAGACTAACTCGGTAATGGAGGCCCTCGTGCAGACTGACTACGTATGGACTGCTGAAACAGAGAAAGAAGTACTTTTACTACTACCTACCCATAAGGTGATGTTTACCTTTAGAGTAATAGTATTGATGTTGCTCCGAGTACGGCTTGTGCATGAACATATCCCTGGTATCGGAGCTAAGCCGGGTCTCATCGCCCAAAGAGATCAACAACTTCGTGGTACTTATTGGTATATAACGGTGCTGGCTTAGGTGCAAAAATGAACAAGAAAAGAACTTCCTAATTAGACAGCCCGCCTTCCTCCTTAGCCTTCAATTTTATCTGAACGAACTTATCCATCTCTTCTCTTTCTTCAGGTGTCAGAAGCTTGATCCGATCGTTCAGATCACCACCACCAAAGAACCTCCGATCAATCTTAGCCCAGTATATCATGCCGAATGCCCAGCTCTTTCTCGCGGCATAGTTGAGCCAGAAATCGCCACTTTGCCAGCGTCTCCACATGTGCTCCGAAAGCCGATCGGCCTCTTCTAGAGTCCCTCGGTCAATGGCTGCTTGCTCCTTATTCTTAAGCACTTTCAGGAACATCGGCAACACCTTCTCATATCTTGCCGTCCAATCATCCAAACCCGGTTTCCAGAGTTCTGGACGCTCGAGTAGCAACCAAAAGGGTGGACTGTGGGCGAATCCAGTAGGCGCCGCGTAGGTAAATTCCCAGTCCACCACGCCAGTCATCTGGTGATGGTCGTTCGCAAGGACGTTGCCGGGTCTAAGGTCATCACAGAACAATCTGAACGGGCCAGAGTCGTCCTGGAAAAGCTGATGTTCGCGAGTGATCTTGCGGAATAGACATCTTGCGATGTACTTGTTTCGGCAGTCTTCCGCAGAGTCGATAGCATCGTTTCGTTGGGAAGACAGATGGATCATGTGCATCTCAGCCAGTGCTCGGTAATAAGATGACGCTGTTTTGAACGTGCCCTGAGGAAGAAGGTCAGGCGAAACCCCGCCTAGTTGGACGAGCTCATTCATGTTGAAAGTGAGGGGACGATGCTTAACAATCCACGTATCATCGAATTCGTCATTTTCTTTGGCTTTTCCGATGCAGCCAATCTCCGCAAACGAATGCCTCGATACCTGGAGCACGATATCTGCCATCTGACCATAGATCCATTCAAGTCGCTCTTGTGAGACGTTTGGGTCTAAGATCGGTCTGTCGTCGCGTGACCGGCCCGGTATATTGAGGGCATCGATGAAGTCGCCTTCGTTGCTTATGTGCTTCATGATGATGAAGGGTCCAAGTTCTTTTGGACTCTCCTCTGTTATTCCATGGTGAAGGATGTGAGGTATGCGTAGATTTGTAAAATACTCCAGAAACTGCATCACTGCCACTTCGCGCTGGACTTTCTCTTCTGGGAACATAGTAGCACCCGGACATGGAAATCGAATGATGGCAGAGCCTCCATCTTTGAACAACATCCGTAGCCAAGCATTGAATGATCCTCGTTGGGGTGCAAAAAGCTCCTCGGGGACCCCTCCTCTATGCTTGTCGATGAATCGTCCTATCTCACGAAGAACGTCCGTTTCGAATATTTTATCTCTCCAAGGTTCGAATATTTCATCACATCGGGCCCATGCGACGTCGTCATAGTCCATGCATCTCTCGGCTACGATGCCAGCAGTTGAAGTTGCTGACATATTTGACAAGATAGAACAGAGAAAGCCTCTATCTGGCGCTGCAATTCTGTTTGTTTTCCCTCCAGCACGCCCAATCTTTTTCTAGGCGCGAATTTATGGAGGCAGTGATAGAAAGAGATGCGCAAAATCTTATAGGTTTCTGATCTTTGGAGAAGGGAAGGGGAGGAACAAAGGCGCTTGAATAAGGAGATCTACCAAGCCACCTTTGTTGATCACTTTGGCGCTGAACGCTGAATTGTCCTTTGGAGTGCCGGCGGACTCAACGGAGCCCGATCAGTCATCATTTGAATTCATAGATACATTTTTGACCAATTTTGAGCATTAGAAACTCATCCAATATTACATATTAACATATAAAGCTAACAGCTAGTATGAGTAAAGGTGGGATTTTATCCTACCTCTCACAGTAACTTATAGACACCCTATTAGTGGGGAAAATGGCGTTAATGGCTTTGGATAGTAATGTGACTAATGTGGGAAGTAGTACATTTCATGCCATACTGGTCGATTCGGAATACCTATGGCAAGTGATATAGGTATGGCCTGAATATTACGCCACATGCTAGCCAGAAGATGCCTCCCGCGTGTCAAATTGAAAGTTACTTAAAGGGGCTTTGAGGCGCTTGTAGGAGTTGGCCTGGCCGTCTTCGGCGTACGTATCTTGTCGTATTAATAATACGCCTTATGTAGAACTAACGAACTTCGATGCATACAAGACCGCATAGAGCACTTTAGATCATCTAGGTAGCTCTTATCAGGCTAATATAGCGTAGGCAGCATCTAGATAATCCGTGTTAGATACGCGATAAGCAAGACGCTAGTCCCGACCACTCAGCCGTCGGACTATCGTAGACCTAGCCAGCCTAGGGCTTACGCACGCTCTCCCTGGTTAATAGCGATTTGGGTTAGACATTTTTGATAGGAGCCAATTACTCTGCTGGGGACATCTGTCAACTTCAGCAGCAACTCCGTACAAGAATGCGACGACAGCCTCGTCGAAAATCATTCCGGTTCAACCACCACTCCTGCACCTCATTGACCTGTACCATACCTGAACAGTCACACAAGTTTAAAGTCGTCCAGCTAAGAAGATGGAGAACCAAGATACTTTCGAGTTGTACTCGTTCTGGTGTTCTTCATGCTGTCAGCGGATCATAATTTCTGCTCATCTCAAAGGCATCCCGCTCAAATTCAATTACGTCGACTTGAGCACAAGAGGGCACCATGACGCAAAATACAAAGATGAACTGAACCCAAGCGCTAGTGTGCCGACCCTGGTTGTGCATCACCCCGACGGCAACAAGACCGTCATCCGACAATCCATGACAATCCTAGAGTACTTTGAAGAAAGATTCCCGGATCAGAGTCCTCTGTTGCCACCTGTTTCTGCTTGGCAGGATCGCATCAAGGTACGCGACCTAGTCAACATCATCGCGATCGATGTCCAAGCGCCCACCAACTCCCGGATTGCCAAGCGCGTCAGGTCCGTGCGAGATAACGTGGAGGATCAGGTCGACTTCGTTAGGCAGGCTTTCACAGATGGCTTCCAGGCGTATGAAGCCCTGATCTCCGCAACAAGCAAGTATTCTTTCGGCGAGCAGGTGACATTGGCCGATGTTGTGTTGGTTCCCGCGGTCGATCAGGCACTGATGTACAAAATGGATCTTGAATTTGTGCCCAAACTCTTGAGAGTCTATCAGTCACTAAAAGAGTTAGAGGCTTTCAAGGCCGGAGATGAGAAAAACCAGGGTGATACCCCGGAGCAGTTCCGGGCCGCTTCCCAGTAGCTCTGGCCATTATGCGGGGTGTCCCAGTTGGTGGGTACTAAATACGTCTGCCGGGACACGTTTGTACATACCATATCTGTTCCATGAGAAGTTGATAGTCCCGTAAATTAACCTGACAAGTGCAAATCTTGAATAGATGATATGATGGATTATCAGAATGGAAGAATCGTGCTGATTGGGGCGCTATTGGCGCGACATAATGAATCTGACCTATCCAACTTGAAGCAAAGCTAACAAACAATATGCATGATTGTTACTTCTTGGCGTGTGCAACTCGAAGTGAGTGTTAACGTGGATCAAGCTGCAAGCTTGGCACATTTCAGACTCGACACGAGTCGATTGACACTTGGATATGAAGTTTGGCCCCTGCTGCTTGGCGCTTGAGATAAGATTCGTTTCCTTAGCAAGATGACCCGGTTATGTGTACGTCTCCACAAAGTGTGTTGTAAAGTGAGAAGGACTTCGGGCTTCCATGCAAGATGTAGATAGCATACCAACCATTTCCCTGTTATCTGTGGCTTCAGGTGTGCGGAATGTTGCTGTTGATATCGGGTTAAGTCGCACAAAATCTAGGCTGAAGGGCGACGGCAGGTAGAAGCATAGCCCTATAGTACTCCGTGTATCTCCTGCTCCGACATATGCCTGGTTTCACTGCTTGCATGGTGTTAGTATCTCAAGAGTTGATAGAGAACGTAAGCAACCGATATCAATGCAGTGAAATACATGCTGTTAGTGCTTATTCTCATCTACCAATTTTCCCTCTGGCGGTCTACTTTTGTGTAACCCGAGCTGCCATATGTAGATCGAAGTCGTAATCAGCACATGTGCTTCCGGACAGTGCTCAGACCACACACAATGGCATGAATTCGAGTTATGAAAATTTGCGACCCTCATGTTTGCCGCGCGGGGTAAAGAACGCTTGTTGTAGTAAGCCAGAGCCTCGCGCCTCGGAAAATCCACGGTTATCCCCCATTCAACTAGGATTCCGATCGCGAAAGTTTATGAGGTCGGTCGGCTATCTTGGCAAGTCGGTGGTGTCTATTCTGGCCCCTCTTCGGCAAAGGTGTGTTAGCATTATTCCCATATCTCATACCCGAAAATATGTCTTGACGAGGCCGAGAGGAAGGAGAATGGTGTGATGCGACCTGTAGAGGTTTCCAGAGTAGTGTAGAAGCAGATAGATCACTCACGTCTAGTCGAGTCGTCATACTTCGCAGTCGCCTTCTGACTCGTCTCCGGAAGTAAGTCAAGGTGCTGCAGGAAAGAGGCCATCTTGGACACGTGGGGCGTGTTGTTGTTGTTGTTGCCTGTTTAAGATCCTTGTGAGTACCATGGTTATCATGGGGTAAATACGCTCCAACCGAATGACCAGCAGAGTGGTTGAAGGCTTCTGGTAACTTGGTGAGGGAGCGATGCAGGTGAACATTGTGGCCGAACTGTTCTAGGAGGTATTGCGGCGCTAGCTATAATCAGCTTCACAATGTCAGCAATGCCATAATTATGAGCATGATACGCTGGAGTCATTGCAAGATTTTGCTCAAGATTATTTCTGTGTGTGTGTGTCCGTCAAATTCCGAAGCGCGGCCCCTGAAAGGTTACTTAGTAACGGTTCACGGGAGGCACATCCGGGGACTCGTCTGGCTCCGACCCGGCCAGTTCACTAAATGGGCAATACATCCTCGGCGATTGGCGGAGAAGGCAGGCTGCAGGGTGCTTGAAAAGCTTGCGCAGACCCCGGCACACCATCCGGTTGCATTGGAGGGGGTGAAATGCACCAGGAAAGCCAGGTCAGCATGAGGAACAGTGGGAGAGAGTGGGGATGGCTGGCTGTTAGAGAGCGGGTAAGGCTGAAGCACATCCCACTCGCTTTGCGGTACCGGATCCACTGCACGCGCTATTCACCCCCTAGGGCCCTCATTCTCTGTGCTGGTTTGTAGGAGAAATGGTGGCTCTTTAGTCACGCTTGGAGGGGAGATGAGAAGATTTTCTGTCGCCTAGATAAGAAAAATGATCCCTCTCTTCGTACTCAAGCATCCCTCCATATCATCCCAATGTCCATCTCTACGCTAAGTCCCAGTCTCTGCTTTCTTCTGCCAGGATGCAAGGCCTAAAGCAGCATCTTACTCTATTTAGGAAGCTCACAATAAAGCTCCTATGTGCTGCAATCTGCTTTGGCTTATCGGGCGCTGCCCGGGGTCCGTTGTCCCCCTCCCTTTCCCTGCGTCCTGGCGAACTGACTCTTTATAGGTCTTGATTCTGGGCTTATCGCCAGCACTGTTGCGGAACAGTCGTTCGTTGACCAATTTCATCTAGAGGCCAATTATCTCAGTGCGTCCCAGAAAGCCAATCGCTTGTCGAATATCACCTCTATGGTCCACATAGGCAGTCTACCAGGGGCTATAGTCGCATTCTTGTGCAGCGAGCGCATCGGAATCCTTTGGACCTTCCGTCAATGTTGCTTGATGTGGATCATTGGTTCTGTGGTGTTTATCACATCCCGTGACCTTGGGCAGGTATATGCCGGTCGCTTTATAATGGGTCTTGGTATTGGACAGTTTGGTGTGATGGCCCCGATCTACCTCGGGGAGGTGGCACCCAGGGAAATTCGCGGGATGCTTGTGGGTTTATACGGCATGTCAGAATATCTAGGAATTATGATCGGGGTGAGCATAATTTAAAAGCCGTAAAAGAACTACGTGGCTCAGCTTGCTGATCTTATGCAGTACTTCTCAATATGGGGAGCGTCCATTCACATCCCCAACTCGAGTGCCAAACAGTGGGTCATCCCACAAAGCGTTCAGATTATGTGGGCAGGCCTGCTGCTGATCGCTTCCATGTTTTGTGAGGAGAGTCCTCGCTTTCTATGTCGAAAGGACCGTCCTCAGGCAGCACTCCAGTCTCTTGCACGACTATGGAATGTGTCCCCACTGGATCCGGGGATTCATGTGGAGGTCTCGAATGTCAAAATTCAGCTCAAACTTGAGCGCGAGGTAGCATCACGATCAGGCCTTATTGGGGTGCTGAAAGAGCTGTTTGGAACAAAGTCCCACTTGAAACGGATCGCTTTCGTGTTTGTCCTGCAGTGTTTGGGCGAGTGGTCCGGTCCAAACTCAGTGACTAGTAAGTCTCAGCCTCGGAATCAACAGTATGCACCCTCGGGCTAATCTGTCGTACACTAGCATATGCCCCCGAGTTATTCGGACTCTTCGGTATCCAAGGACAGTCGCAAAAGCTTTTCACAACGGCGGTTTTTGGTGCTGTCAAGTTTGTATTTGCGCTGATTTCGGCAGTCTTCTTTATAGATTATTTGGGCAGGAGAAAGACATTATATATCGGTCTCGTGCTCCAAGTTATCGCCCTGACCTATGATTCGATCTTCCTCACAATATTTAGCTCTCTATCTGGCCAGTCGCAAGATGACCCAGCAGTAAGGCATGCGGCAATCGGCGCGATTGTGATGATTTACTTCATCGGCATTGGATGGGCCTTGGGCTGGAATTCAATCCAGTATTTGATCACCGCTGAATCCTTCCCCCTCGGGGTTCGGATAGCAGGGGTCACTCTCGTTACACTGTGGCACTACGCCAACCGGATCGGCATTTCCAAAGTTGGTTCCCTGTGTATCCTTGGCGCAGATTGACTGCCGGATGATATTGACTAGAATTCCCTCTTAGGCAACCACATTGATGCTGCTCGATCACGACTCTCTAACACCCAAGGGTACTTTCTGGTTTTTCACTGGGATGTCCTTGCTGGGTCTCCTATTCACATGGTGTTTCCTGCCCGAAACTGCCGGTAAGGGGCTGGAAGAGACGAATGAGCTGTATACGGGGGATCGGAGTGGCACAACCCCGCATGACCAAAGAAATGCTGATTAGACTCGGAGGATGAGCGGAATTCGCCCGCATCTCTGTATCTACTTCAAAATGGGTTTGGAACGTTGGGAACGACTAATGTTATATCCGTTGGCAGTCAGAAGGCCGCATATTTCCGTTCTTCTTGAAACTAAGATTGGGGCTATCGACTTACCCCGCAGGCCAAGTTGCACGTAATTCTCCTAATTCTCCTTGCTGACACGGCAAAGCTCCTTCTACTAGTGGATCAGGTTAATCAACAAGCTCCACCACAATTAACTTCAAGCGGGGTAAGCTTTGAGATACTGCCAAAGATTGGCTGGCTTCTTATCTCAATTGGCAGAGGAAGCTCAAGCCAAATGGCGGGTGGCTGTCTGAGCGGAATACTATTCCACTTGGGCGCTTGCCCTTGCAGCTGTACTGTCAGGTTTTTGCGAAGTATAGCGGCGGAATGGACTCCATGCACCGGTCACACCAGTGTATCCTCGCATGCTATAAACCCGAACGTGTCCGCATGGTTTTTCCCGTGCTGAGGGGTTTTCTCACAGTTTGGCTATCATTACTTGAGCCACCTTTTGGCTAATTGACTGCCCTACGCAACATGGAGGATTCTTACGATTATATTATCTGCGGGTTAGTTTTCACTTAGTATAGAGTGTGCTCTTTGTCTGATCCTTGCCTTCATCATGGCTAACTGTTGTTTCCTTCTACTCTCAGGGGTGGCACCTCAGGATGCGTGGTGGCCGGGCGCCTGGCTGAAAATCCACACATAAGGATTCTTCTTATTGAAGCTGGACAGCATAATAAGGACCTCGAAAATGTCCACATGGTCGGCGGGTTCGTACGCGCATTACACTCCTAGATATCGGTCCAACTTTCTGACTTAAATAGCTGGGGTAACCTGCTCGACACTACAACCGACTGGAACATTGTCACTCCGCCCATGCCTAATGTCAATAATCGCCAAGTAAAGCTCAGCAGAGGCAAATTTCTGGGTGGCTGCAGTGGCTGTAACGGCACAGTTTGCGTACGCGGCAGTCCGCAGGATTACGATGACTGGGGTCTGGATGGCTGGAGTGGCAAGGAATTTTTCAAGTACATGCAAAAGGTCTCGGCTGTCATATCCTCCAGGACGTGAGATCGAGACAACAAAGCTAATACCCTCTATTTAGACCGAAACCTTTCACACTAAGCCCTGGTTTAAGGCGTCCGATCGGCATCATGGAAACTCAGGTCCTCTTCACATCGAACCACATGACCTCGCGCCCATTTCCGAACTTGTAATGGACTCTTTCGTTTCGCAGGGCCTTCCATTGGATCATGACATGTTCACAACTGGTGAAACACCCCATGGTTGTGGCCACGTACCACGATCAGTGTACAATGGCATCCGCACTACTAGCGGAGACTTTGTCACGAACGGGTATCATCGCAACAATGTTACAATAATGACAGACACCACTGTGGACAGGGTACTCTTCAAGAAGACCCCGAGTGGGCTCAAAGCGGACGGTGTCTCAGTGGTAACAGCAAATGGGCGACGGACACTGTATGCCAAGAGGGAGATAATTATTAGCAGTGGATCTTATTGTAGCCCTACAATCCTAATGAGGTCTGGGCTTGGTCCGAAGGAAGAGTTGCAGAAAAACAGTATCGAGTGTTTGGTCAACCTCCCGGGCGTCGGGCAAAATCTCATGGATCATTTGGTAGGTGCTGTATAGCAGCTTCATCTATGTATATGATTTGCATTTAACCAGACTCGTCCAGATCGTTTTTATGTTCTACGAGACAGAAAAGCCCGGTCTGACGACCGACCACCACGTCTACCATGGCGAGAATTTCAACACAACCTCTGAGCTTTGGAAAGAGAAGAAAGAAGGGTTTCTGTCAACATTTCCTTTTGGCGCCTTTGCCTTCGCGCGTCTTGATGAACGTCTTAAGAATGAGCCACTGTGGAAGAATGCGCCACGACAGCCAGGCCGTGATCCCATGGGTTTGACACCAAATCAGCCTAATGTTGAGCTCTTCACTACGGAATGTTACGGTGGTCCTAAGCAGTACGATCAATTTCCCATTGATCACAAGTACGCATTCTCAATTATCGCCGAATTGTTCTCGCCCAGGTCTCGCGGTAGTGTGACACTGAAATCTAAGGATCCCTTGGAGAAACCTGTAGTGGACTGCAACTACCTCGCAGACCCACTAGATCTGCTTGTCTTAACCGAGGCGTGTCGATTCGCAAATGAGATCATCACCAAAGGTGCTAGGACGAAGGACATCGTGAAAGGCTCTTGGCCCCCTCATCTGACACACCACACTTACACGAAGAGAGAGGAGTGGATCCCTTATGTGAAAGAACATGCGACAACTTGTACGCCCCTTCCTTCTGTCTGTTGGAACCACTCATACTGATTGACTTATACAGGCTACCACGCTGGAGGTACCTGCGCAATGGGCCCAGATGGCGATACCCAAGCCGTTCTCGATAACAAGTTGCGTGTTCGTGGCGTGACCGGACTCCGTGTGGCAGATTGTAGTGTCATGCCAACCCTGAACGGGGGACATACTCAGATGCCAGCTTATGGGATTGGCGAGAAATGTGCGGACCTCATCAAAGAAACATGGACATCGTCCCAGACCTTCAATGTGGCGAAACTCTGAGATGTCGTACCGCGTTGGTGCCAACAACGAGGTTCTGGTGATCGACAATCCCCTGGTCCTGGCAATGCTAGAGCTTTCCTTGGATATTTATGTTGCCTATGTCATGAGCTACTAGTACCTCGTTCACTGATGTGCAAGACTTCGATTATTACCATGATTCTGTTTCCATTTTTCTTGTTGTTAGACAGACGGGACGAGACGAAGTAGAAGGAGGGGCCACCGATAAAATTCTTATTCCACTGTCGTCAAGCTGGTCACACCGCTGTAGGTTTGTCCATCGATCATCTCGGATGCCTCGAGAGTTGAAGGGTAAGCCTTGTGTAAGCTTACTTGTTTGCGCGCTTTATAAGTCCAGCCTATCACAATCTTCCAACAACAAGGTTGTGTAGTGTAATGGTTATCACTCTGGATTCTGATTCCAGCAATCCCGGTTCGATCCCGGGCACGACCTTTTTGCATCCTTGGCTGCATGGTCCGAGCCATCTTTTTAAGCCCACTACCATATGGTTATTATTATTCTTAGCTAAATAAACGTTGTCGTCTTTTCCTTTTCTCCCTATGATTCAGCATCCGATTGACAATGTTATCATCCACCCAGCAACCCCCAAACACCCAATAACAACCACCTCCCTCAGCCTTGTGGGCCCAACCTCCAATTCTACCTCAACGCTACCCACTCCTTACGATGCCGATAGCCCGGGCTACCAGCCAACCCACCCCAATGCGCTATTGCCATTTGTCCGTTCTCCCTTAGGGCTGCCGCAGTAAGGCTGATAGCGTGCTTGCGTGCTCCCAGCAGAAAATGGCGCGTGGAAGGAGAAGGAAAAAAGCTGCATTGCTCTGGATAACCAGCCAGATGTTCCAGTTTCTTTTTTTAATTTTTGCACGGAGAATTTCGTAGTAAGGGGTAATTGGCGCCCTTCTTTCATAGTAAGGTTACGTATCTACCTATGGAGATATTCTCCCCTCTTAGGGTTTAGGGTGTTGAAGAGGGTGTGGCTAGACGCTGTCTCTTCTTGCCATCCGTGATAGGACTTTGTAACTTTGCCTTTTAACCTATTCTTTTCTTTTAGCCCGATATAGTCGGTGGTCTTATCATCGCTTGCCGCATGCATACTTTATCTTAACCTTATCCCTGTACATATCTCATCACCTACTATTCGGTATACTACTCAGGAATGTCAGAGCCCTTTCATGCCGCGAAATCACCGGCCCTCCCGGTCGTGGAATCCTCCACCAACACCAAATCCCCTCACTCTCAAGAGACGAAAGCGCGCCGGTTAAGAGAAACCGTCGATAGCAACTATGCCGACATCATCTGTATCATTCTCTGCTTCGTCACGGGGCTTTGCGACAGCTCTGCCTTCAATGCGTGGTCATGCTTCTTAGCTATGCAAACCGGTACGTCTATCTTATCCCCCTTATCCTACTACACCACCTCCCTCCTATTACTCACATACTAATAATATCCTTGAATCAAACAGGAAACACCGTCGTCCTCGGCCTCGGCGCCGCCTCCCTCCCCAGAGATGACAGCGACAGCTGGCTAAAATCCCTCGTCTCGATCGCCAGCTTCGTCACGGGTTCATTCACATTCAGCTTCGTCGGACGACACCTCGGTCCCGCTCGTCGCGGCACACTTTTCGCCTCATTCATGGTGCAGGTGATTCTCATCGTGATCGCTGTCTCCCTGATTCAGTCCGGACTTATCGCGGAATCCGAAGATGTCGTCACCTCCGGTCACCATGGCGGCAAGCTCCTAGAGCTGATTCCTATTGGCTTGCTGGCCTTCCAGTCCTCCGGGTCTATCAATAGTACGCGCTCGTTGGGGTTCAATGAGATTCCGAGTGTTGTTATCACAAGCGTGTATTTTGATATTGCTTCCGATAAGAACATCCTTGCTGTGCAGAATGTTAAAAGGAATAGGAGGGTTGCTGGGGTGGTGGCACTGTTGATTGGGGCTATTGTGGGTGGGTGGTTGAATAGGAGTGCTGGGGGTATGGCGTCGACTTTTTGGTTGGCGGCGGGGATTAAGTTCGCGATTGGGTTGGGGTGGTTGTTTTGGATGCCTGTTAGGGGGTAGAGGGTCTGACTATGTTGAAGTAAGTTGTTGGAGGGGGGTTTGGGGAGGGTGGAATGGTGGTGAGTTTGTGGTGTGTGTAGATGGGTGTAGGATTGTATAGTATCTTGTTTGGAGGGCGTTTATGTATAGATGGATGATGGATAGACTTGAGGTTGGAAAAATCAAGGGTATAGATTTCTTTTCTTTTTTTTCTCTTTTCAGTGCTTGTTTGCAGAGTATCATGGGTGTGAATGGTCAGTAGTATGATACTTCACTAATGTGAAGCTGCGATGTAGATGACCACTATACTGATGAATATACCAGCACTTGCTATAGCATGCATCATTCATGACTTCCATTATGATTAACCCAATCATGCCAGGACGTTCAATACATTGCAACGCATGGGTGACTAGCGGACAGGGTTGAGTTGCCCTTCGATATGTACATGATACTGTCACTGCTGCTCTGCTCTGTCTTGACGTCTCGGCGATTAACTTGTCATTCCTTGCTCCATGTTTCAGGATACGCTATCGTACAGTCTTCCTCCACCTCGCAAAGCTCACATCCCTCAATTGGTATAATTCCATCATCTCATCAAATATTTAGTCGCGCATAGGGCGCAGAGGGCTCTGACGGGGGAGCATCATCGGGGGTCCGCGAGCGCGGAGCCAGGCATCGTTGTGAGGGCCTTCGGTACGAATAACGCTGCCGATGGACATGAAGAGACTATCAAAAGAGTATGATTAGTATTAACCAGTCGAACATACAGAACCGATAAATAGACATAGAATCGCAAGGAATTGCGCAGAACGTACCCAAAAGTAGCACCGGAACCAAGCATATATTTACCCAGGGTACGCATAACACCGTTAGGTCCAGCTCCGTACTGGAAGATGGTGACAGTTCCTGCTCCATATTAGTCGGGTTCGGAGGAGGGGCTACGTTTGCATAGACGAACCGATGATGAAGCCCATGATACCTCCAACAGCTGTTGGGAATGATTAGTACCGTATTTATCAGCTTGCAGACTTTCTTGACCTACTGGATCCCATCATGGCACCCATCTTCACTGTAAAGCATGTTAGTTGATCCGTACGGCAGACTGAGGGCGAAACTCATCCAGCTGGTGAATGGCATGGGACCCGTTTAACTAACTCTTCTCAAAGGTAGAGGGACCATGCCCTTGGGGGGGACCAGCAACGACGGGCATGTTGAATGATAGTTAATAAATATACAGCGAGCGCAAGAAATTTGACAGCACAAGACCAGTTTCCCTCAGACGGTCGTTTCCTCCGGCTTCAGTCTTCTAGAGTCGGCAGCAAAGCTCCAACGGTGGGCGCATCGAAACCCGAGGCCCAGAAGCACGTGACACCGCCTGCCGTATTAAGAACGAAAGGTCTGTGCGGTGTTACTTAAGCACACGTGTGTTAACACGTGATTTCGGCCTCAGGCGTAGGGAGACGAAGGAAGCCGTGAGCTGATCGGCTCTTCTCTCCCGCCGCAAGTTGGTGGCTCTCCCCATGAAGTCTGCTCCTGAATCGTCTGATCTAGTGCCTCGACTTACCATTTCGGCGGCTTAGGAGCCTGTGCAAGGCGGTAGTTCCGTCTCGTGCCTCCGTCTTCTTCGCTGCCCGGTCGCTTGGTCCGTTCACTCCTCGGTTCGGGCCAAGACCTCCACGCCTCCTTGGTCAGGACTGAAGCGCCTTCTTGCCTCCCCATCAGATCCCTTTTTAGACTCAACTGTTCATACTCATCCTGCCGTGGTAAGTTTGACTTGCTAGCTGTTGGGTCTCGTGTGGCCCTCGACGATGGCAGGCGCTGTTGCGTCGATGCGGAACCGGAGTCGATGTTTATATGAGGGTCGTCCGGACAATTGCTAACGTGACCTCTTACCAGCCGAACGGACTGTATTCACGATATTTCCGCGCGCCTACCGTCGCTACAAACATTTTTGCCTTCGAGGTCCGTCGCGACGGGCACTCACGGGCGGCTAGCGTCCGAACGCTTCTCCTTGCATACTTTGACGATCCTCTTTTGCCGTTGAGCGGACGAGCGCCTATGAGATAGAGCTCCTTTCCATCACACTCACCATACGGTATCCTTCTCCATGACTGCTGTGGCATCACCACCTAGTGTGCAATCGGGCCCTCACTTGGGATGGTTCGACTCTGGTAACGGGGGACAAGGTGCTCTGTCTTCAATGGACGCGGAAGAAGTTTCACGCACATTTTTGCCGCGAAGGACTGTTCAGAGATCGAATTCCTCCTCTTCCCTAGCATCTACTTCATCAACCTCGACCGCTATAGTTACGCCGCAACCCCCTAATGCGGGACACGTGAACAACGTTGAACACGCTACATGGTCAGCAAAGAAGAAACCCTCAAGAAATAATTGGACAAATTCTAAGTCAGAGCCGGTGGCTGGGCTGAGCAACGCCCGCTCCCAGGCCATGCCGGCCTTTTCTTCGGGCCCAGGAGCCTCTTCTACTATGACCGCGATCCACCAGCCGTCTTCCATTGTTCCATCTCAACACATGCTTCAAGCATCACAGCAAAATGGCGTACGCGCCGCAAGCGCACCAGCAGGCGACCCCCCCGCCATCCTTACACTCCTACCCATCAACGGGACCTTCGACAAGAAGCAGATCAACGTACCGTTTTATCCGGATCTACTACGCATAGGTCGCCAGACAAATGCCAAGACCGTGCCAACACCGGTGAACGGCTACTTCGATTCCAAGGTGCTGTCTCGGCAGCACGCCGAAATCTGGGCAGACAAAAGCGGAAAGATCTGGATCAGGGATGTTAAGTCCTCAAACGGTACATTCGTCAATGGGCAGCGGCTGTCTCCAGAGAACCGCGAATCAGAACCCCATGAGCTTCGCGAGAACGATACTTTAGAGCTGGGAATTGATATCGTCAGCGAGGACCAGAAAACGGTTGTCCATCATAAGGTTTCCGCCAAGGTTGAGCATGCCGGCGTATACAGCAGCATTCCGAATATTCTGGATCTCACCCTAGGCGACTTGGATCCTGCTTCTGGAAATGGACTGCTCCCGTCTCCCCTTAGTCAACCGATGTCGCATCTCAGGGGGCGATCGGGAAGCAACATGAGCAACCGCAGTGCCCAGAGTGCAGCTAGCAGCCAATTCAACGCAATTCAACAACAACGTCAGATGAACTACTGGAATTCACCTATATCTATTGAACAAGTTGTCAAGCGACTTACGGTATGTCATTCGGATCACATTCGCAGCAAGCTTGCTCTAACGAGTTTTCAGAGTGAAATGAAACAGGCTAAACAGCAATCTCAAGAGCTCCGGCAAACCGACGAGTTCTTGACTGCCATAATGAAACCCGGATATGTGGAGAAGGAGAAAGCGAAGCCTCCACCAGTGGATAACAATGCTCCCCGTCCAGTAAACGGGCGGCCAAAGATGCCTCGCGTAGATTCTTTCTCTCGCTTTTCCGACCCTCCAGCTCCTCCACCGCAACAACCATTGCCCGAAAAGCCCGATGCTTTGCCGCGGAATGGCACAGACGCCCTATCGCCGTTGAAGCGATCCGAGACAGAAAAGTCTAAGCTTGGCCCCAACTCGCCTGTTACACGTGAGAATAGCCAGATCTTGTCCCTCATTGAGGCTCTGTCCTCCGCCAAAAGGGAGCTCGATAGCCAGGGCGCTCGTGTCAAGGAGCTTGAAGCGTTACTTATTCAGGAAAGAAATGCTCGCGAATCTGCCGAGGAGAAGGCCCGGAGCCTGGAAATGAAATCCACTCAATTTGCTCCAGGCCCAACCGCAGATTCCGAACCTGAAGACGATAGCACTAAGAAACCAACTGAAGTGGAAGAGCCAAAGACTATGCCGCCGGATGCCGACATTTCAACCGATTCCGATGCACCCACTTCTGAAAAGCAGTCTTTGGCAGAAAGCCAAACAGATGTTTTACAACGTCGTCTCGAGTCAATGATACTGGAGATGGAGGAGATGAAGAAGCAAGTCACGATGTTCAAAGACCGGGCAGATGTCGCGGAGAATGAGGCTGTCGAGGCGCGGAAGTCGCTGGCGGAGATGATTGAAACTTTGCGGCAAGAGCGCGCAGAGCGTGCTCAGGGCAACGCAGTGTCCGGTGCGCAGACAGATGCTCCTGCTTCTGCTGGTTCTTCATCTGAGCCGCGAGAGTCTGCCGAAGAGACAGGCAGCGTGTGCGCCGAGCAATCACAGCCCACCACTGCGACGCCGTCAGGTACAAAAGCGGTGGACAACGCAGATACGACGTTTGCGACACAATCACACCGCCATGACGTCTTGGAGCAATCCAGTCCATTTGCGTCTATGCTTGGAGTGGTGCTTCTAGGCGTTGGGTTGATGGCTTACCTGAATGGCTGGCAGAAGATGGATAAATGATCATTTTGGCAAGCACATCCTGCCTTCTGCTGGCGCATGTCACAAATTGTGCATTCGATAGCACCTTGAAAAGCTTATCTTGTTCTTCAAGTTACCAACCTCCGATCCTTTTATACCTTTTCTTTCTGATTCTCCACTGGTTCTGTTTTCTAGTTCGTCCCATCTTGTATTCTGCTCCGACGCTCAGCAGGGATTGTGCGCTGGGTCTATGGGTTGATTCTTCTTCGTTCCCCGTTATTTCCGTTTATTCCCTCTTCTTGACCTCCTCTTATGTGCAGTTATCCTTTTTGCATAACTTGCATGACCCTCTCTCACTTTTCTTGTTTGTTCCTAGATATCACTCCTCGTGGGCGCCCTGCTGTACCAGTAACGAATTCCTGGCAGCAGTGGGATTTCTTTCTATGTCAATGTCTCTTTCTCACGGGCAGAAGCAGGTCGTGTAAAAGGCTCACCCGCCTTTGTGTGTATTAGTCTATCATAGCATACTCCTTTTTTTCAGCCGAGCGATGAATGACCATTTCATGCTTTTCTTGTTTTGCTTGACGACCTATATCCAGGCCGAATTCATCAATTGCGTATATTCTATCTATATTTCCATAGTTGGCGCTTTTGAATCGGTAGTAGTATATTCGCGATGGCAGCCTCACGTGATGCACCTGAGACGTCGATCGCCGCAGCCTTCCGACCGGGGTTCTAGTTGCTACAACTAAGTCAAGGATGATGTAGTTCCCATTCCAAGCATGCAGTCAGGACCATCTATAGCAAAACCTCGTCCCAAACGCCGACGGCGAATTTGTCGCGCTTGTGATGCCTGCTACAAAAGAAAGGTACAGATTGCTATTTTCGACTCCTTACATGTCCGATCCGATCTTAAACCCCAATCTAGATCCAGTGTGATGCAGCAACGCCCCGTTGCAATTGGTGCCATCACCATGATATTCCTTGTACTTTCAAGCGCAACCAGGAGCGTATTCAGGAACGCTCTGAATCCCATGACTCTTCAGGGTATGATTTTCTCAATGCAGTCATGGTTGTTCACTAAAATTTGTCCAAAGCACTCAACGGCTTGATTCCACAGCAATACCTATTGCTTCTCAAGGTAAACATATACTGCCCTTTCCAGCATCCATTCAATGATCTGAGAACTTGTATCTATACTGAGAAAGACACTGACCCTGTTGTGGGTAAAATGTAGACGTGACCGGCCAATTAGCCGCGCCAACAAGACAAAGTGGTTCGGACTTAACCTTCACTGTTGGGCCCCAGAGCAATCTCCATGTCGGAGGACATACTCTCGGGAATTTATGCACCTTCAATGGCCTGCCGTTCTTCTCCGCTACTGGCCGCCAGTGGATCAAGGAACGCACCGGCGAAGACGTGAATCTCGAATATACGTCACCAAGGCCATCTACACTCGATCCATCAACGTCGAATGGCGCCGCGCATGCAGTACCGCTTCCGGACAAGGAGTTCTTGTATCAACTACTCGACGGCTGGCAAAATTCAGACCTTGCTAGATTGTTTCCGTTTGTAGACCGAGTGCTCCTCGAATCAACTGTCGCTGCCGCCTACCATAATGAAACAAGTATCTCATCTCCTGGTGCTGAGAGCGCTAGGGCCTGCATTCATGCGTTTACAACAACTTGCCTACATGCCGCAGACAAACAACATGGGCATAGAGTAATACATACAGTGGACCATCTTCAGACTGCCCACGACTTGATCCCCCGGATGATGCACGAGTCTGTTACTATAGATGGTCTGCAGGCCATTCTGATGCTTGTAAGTTTGACGACCTTGCACTGATTTATGGAAGATGAAAAGAGATTCTAGTGTGAGAAGTGGGCAAGGCGGGCGGGTGCTAAGATATCATGCATGTTTAGAGTCTTTGCTCCCTGGTAATCACAGGGAATATCCTGATACTCGAGATGTTATTAGCATCCGCGATACGCTTCGTCTTTCATCTAAATGGTCACCTTGCTCCAGTCTACATCGATGACGATCAGTTCAGGAGGAGCCTGCATGTCCGAGAATTATTTTGGATATGTTACATCATGGATAGGGAGTTTAGTCTACGCGCGGGTCATTCTCCGTGCCTGGATGAGAATCAGTGCGACCTCACTCTCCCTGATATCCACCGCACTGCGACAGAATTCCTCGCAGGCATACGTCTTGCCATGCTTCAGTCTGAGGTATACCATCGACTATACTCCTTGAAAGCTTTGCGCCAGACGGATGCCCAATTATTGGGCGCTATTCGCGATCTTGACAGCGCCTTGGAAATTTGGAGAATGTCTATCCCCACCAACTTTCGGCCACGCCTCATTGATCGGGAAACAAACGCCATGGACACGCCAAATACGATCTTTCAATTACACTACCTGTATTGCATGGGTATGATCCACCAAGCAAGTGGACGATGCTCTTCCTGGGTCCAAAATCAAGACACATCTGAAGCGGGCTCAAGCCTCGCTATCAGCGTTGAAGCGAGTCGATCGATGCTGCAGAAATTCCTAGATGACCGCCTCGAATTCAACAAGAATAACCTGAGGTACGCGTTGGTTGTAGGCAAGTTCATTTTGTTTATCATTAACATGTCTCGTAGGTTCTGTCTTCCCTATTTCCTGACAGCCATCTGCCACCTTTTTTCCAACATACTCTTCAACCCAACCCACGAGGGCATCGATGACGACTTGGAATTGTTCATGTCAGTGCCAACGCATATCAGAACACGTGTACCACCGGAAATCCCGAGATTGACGGCTTATCACATTAAGCTCTTCGAAGACTTTGTGATAGAATTAGGTCGCCTTGCTAGTAGTGCTATTAAAAGGGCGCGGGAAGGATTTGAACACAACAACTAGAAGTTGCTTCTGATGTAAACAGCACAGTTTGATTTTCTGTAACACTAGTTCCCTAGAGGGTTTGCCGTGCCCTTGTCCAGAAAAATAATACCTGAAATTCTGTGAGATAGATCGCCCGCCAACGCTTGTACGTTGCTGCTGGGCGTCCGCTGCACATGGACGCTGGGTAGACGCTGCATAGCCGGAAGAATCTTCCAAGGCGGCTTTTGATGCCGCCGTCAAGACACCGGGCAAGGGCACAATCGACACGAAGTCTGGATCCATTTCTGTACTTCGAGGGGCCAAAAAGCGGTTAAAGTCAGATTGGGCCTGCTTGCTGAGTTGCGTCTGCATCTGCAGAAATGCTTGGCCATGGCGCCCGCAAATGAAGGGCCTTACCTGCCTGGCTGGTCTCAGTAGCGTGCCGGTTGGCTCCATCGTCCTCCTTTTCTCATTGCAATGTAATACCATTCCATGGAATGCCTCACTTCAATGAAACTGCCACCTCCACCATATTCACCCACCTCGTCCTCGTCTCCGGTAGCTCCTGTTCGCCCTCCAACCGCGCAACAGCCCTCTTTCTCTTCCGCATCGCCGACTTGGATAACTCCGCATTCTCACCCTTCAGCTTTGCTTCCTCCACCTCCTTTTTCAGCCTCTCGCTCTCCTCTACCGCCTTCTCCCTCTCTTCTTCATCCTCCACCACATCGTCAACCACAAGGACACTCCCCGTCTTCACGCTCACAGTATACTCCTCTCCCCTCGCCTCAAACCACTTTCCCACCTTCAATGCCCTCTCCATCGCCCGCCCCGTGGCCTTCACAAACACCTCCTCCTTCTTCAACGCCTCGTTACTTTGCGCCAACTGCGCGAACTGATTCCTTCGGTCGCCCTTCTTTCCTTTGTTATTTCCGCTGAGCAGTTTTGCCGTGGCGCGGTTCTCCGCCGCCCGAAGGTACTTCTGGACGCGCTTGACAACGCCCATTGTGGGGGAGCTGGATGAAACGTAGATGGTTTTGGGTGACGAGGAGCCGGAGTATGGCGAGGGAGTGGATGGATGTGGAATCGGGCGCTTTTGGACTTTCACATCTACATTGCGTAGCAGGGTTAGTGGGGGCTGTCGCTTGAAGAGAGGCGGAGGAAGGAAAGCTTACGTTTGGGGAGTTTTGGCATGTTCTGGTTCTTTTTCTCGAATTCGAGTGTTTTGGTTAATGGAGCAGGTGTCATCTTGGGCGGTGGTAGAGGGTATATTTGAGGTTGCTGGTAAGAAGCCGCAGGTGAGTTGTTGTATATCGAGATGAGGGTGTGAAGAGGAGCGAAGCAGCGATAAAGTAAAGTGATGGAATTGGGAAATTGAAGGTGCCATGCCGAATGTGGTTAGCGTCAAGTTGTTCGGGATTCTTATCGGGCTTATCGCGACATTCCTTAAAAGCAATTCTCGTTGTATTCCAATCATTCATTTATTTCTCGTATTCACATTAAGAGAGTATCGTCAATGTTGACTTTCTACTAAACCAAATCCCAAACGCCATAGCTTTTGTACAGTCTTACCATAATCTCATCCGCCAACCCCCACGACCAATCAATACGCAGCCTGTAGCTCAGCTTTCGGCTCCTCCGCAGAGGAAAACAGCGCCCGCATCTTCTTCTTACGGCTCTTCTTCCCCAGCTTCTTCCCATTAACGTTGACATTCTCCGCCGGAACACTCTCAGTTGCAGTCTCCTCCGTCACGGAGCGCTGCATCTCAGGGTACTCCGGAACGGGGTCTTCGGGCGGCGGCGGCTCAGGAACAGCAGGCTTCTCAGGCACCACCGTCGTCGCTCCATCATGCATGTCGTTCCTGTACCAGTCCCTGTCTTTGGTTGCCCAGTTGCGCCATGCACCCCACCGCTCAGTCACTATGTCTTTCTCTAGTCCGTGTGTCTTCGTCTCGGTCTCCGGTCCTGGCTCCTCAACGATCGTCTCTTCGGTCGGGGCGTATCGCTCCTCCTGTTGCTGCGCTTCAGGGACGTACACGTCATCTGTTAGTTCGGGGAACGCTTCCATGTGTTCTCTTGTGGTGGTGAGGTTCTCTTCTTGGATTGAGTCCGGATATCCTGCCTCCGAGGGCGCCCCCTCGGAGGGTTGTCTGTCCGACATGGTCTCCTCGATGAAGATTACCGCTTTGTTGTAGTTTCGTCCGGGGCTGGTGGGTATAGGCTCCATGTATCCACCACCATTAGCATTATCATGTTCTTGCTCTTCCCTGTTGTCTTCGTCTCTGTCATGATGGTGGTATCCGTTTATCTTAGGATACTGCTTCAGCTCAGACAGCTTCGCCTCGTAGATAGCTACCATGGCCTGGACCAAGCACGTCACGAACCCCGGCTCCGCTCCAAGAAGGTACTGGAAGCGCGGACTCTCGAACAAATCCTCATCTTCATCGAACGCCGCAGCGAGACGGCTCCGTACATATACGCTGAAAAACCACTGATCCCAGTCCGGGATTTTGGTGATGGCTTTTCTGGCCACGCTGAGGACGTCGAAGATGGATAGGTCTTTGTCTAGCTTCTGCATGTATTTCTTGGAGAGGGTCAGTAGCCCGCTGAGCTCGTACTTGGATGCGGCAGCGTAGGCGAGCACGCTGCGTCGGTACTCGGTCTTTGTCCAGTCGCCGCCATGCCGGAGGGTCTGGTACGTGCCGGTGTGCAGGTAGTGGACGATCGTGTGGGTGATGTCGTCGTCAATGTCTGGGAGAGCGATGCAGGGGGTCGTCCGGGTGATGAAGTTGGGGTAGGTGCTTAGGATGTCGGCGAAGACGGGCGACTGCTTGAGGTAGTATTCTGGAATGGAGAATTTGCGCTCGCTGGGGCCGAGGAGGACGATTACGAGGCGGGTTTCGTAGGGGCTGTTTCATGCCAAGGATACATGGTTAGTAAGTGGTTCTAAGAGGTGGTGAAAAGGAAGGGAAGATACTCACGATAGCTCTGGCTGCTCATACTCCTCGAGATCGTCGTCAAACTCGGGCTTCACATTGGGAGTATATCTAGCCGACATGTTGCTGGTGTTGCCGCCGGCGACCATGTCTGTAGCTGTAGATGAAGTCGTACTTGTAGTTGTAGACTTATCCCAACTAATACTAACACTAACACTCAAATCTTCTTCTTCAGCCGAGCAATAGTAGTCAAAGATGACCTCCAGAATGTCGAACAAGAGGGGGTGGGGGTCAAGCAGCAGCACAATAGTTGCTAACACGACCGGACCAAAGTAACGGAGAATTCACTGCACTTCCTGGAGACGCAACTGGGGGGAACACGCAGGATATACCTACCTCTCCCCTTCTTACCTCCAGTATGCATTATTCACTCAGTGAGTAAGACATCAATTCATACCCTATGAGCTGTCCACCCCATGATGATTTCCACTGGGCCAATCACACGGCAACACATCAAGCTCGAGGTGCTTAAAACCCAATGCAGTCCATTCCAGGTGCCATGTTTCATCTGGTGGTTTGGGTGGAGATCCGTTATAAGCTTGATGTGTTGGCGGTTGTTGAGGGTGGGTTGTTATTGGGCAGATTTGGGCGTGAGTGATGCTAAAGGCACCGGGTATGAACTTGTCACCCCACTTGGTTACTGAAGGGAGTCTAGTGGTCTGGATAGTAGGCACGTCATGATGGTCAACGGAGAATTGATTTAGTTAGTGGGGCGTGGAATAGAGAAAATCTCCACTAAATGTCACCCATGCCTTTTGTTGTTGTGGGATTTGATTCTCTTGGTTTGGGTTTGGAGGAGTTGAAGTGGTGGGGAATCTGCACACTACTAACTCTCCGGACGATAGAATTACCTATTAACCAATCTTTCAAGTACATAGTACTGATCCTTATAGGTATACTGATTTAATATACTGACAACGGAGCAGCTCTCAGAGAACTGAAAATAATTGCCTTTGATGAAGAGAGACTGTAGTCAGCATTTGTGAGTCATACTACTAAGTTCGTAGTCTCTGTCTCGCAGATATATCAATTGTTTCACCACTTAGCTAGATCATGGCCAAGTCTAAATTCTGATCAGCACCATTGTTCTGCACATGAAGAAAAATGGTGTGCATATGTCGATATCAGTTCGGCGAGAAGGATTAGAGTTGGAATGTGTAGATCCGGATCATCTCTCCAACTCTCAGTGGATGTGCTTCATCAGGCAAGTGCCATCGTAGCAAAATGGTGTAGCTTTGATACTAAGGAATTAAAGACAAAGGTCTACATTTCTAAGAACTCAATCTCTGTGTGTGAAATGGATTGTATATGCTAATTTCTTAATGACCTCATAAGCAACATATTCATCATAGCAAGTCATAACAGTCGTCACATCATTATATCTCGTAAGACGCTCTCAAATCAAGTCAGAACTCCATCCAAGAAAATATACCCCCCAAGTACACCATGCACCGACATATCATCAAAAAGCAGAATGCATGCGCAAATTATCCTTCGTTTGCGAATTCCGGAATATTCCTTTGCCTTTCAGCCCTAACATCGTTGCAAGAACTCCGCGTCGTTTCGGTCGTATAGTTGTCTCTGGGCCATTTGCATCCACACGAACCAGTCCGTTATCTGAGGGTTTGTCTGCCGTGGTAGTGCGCCGGTTTCGCACCATAGTCTTGACAGCGTTGGTGATCTGCGTCCGGATGGGCGGAAATTCTGACTCTCCGCTCGTGGGCGCCAGATCTGGATCATCTTCATAGGTTTCTTTCATGACTCGGGCATTGTCTTCTTGGGCTGCTTTCACGCAACGGATGAGAATGTTGTGGTGGCCTAGGCAGCGGCGAAGGTCGGGGGTTTGAGATGCAGCTTCGCGTTGTAGCTTGCCATGGGAAATGGCTGCCAGCTTTCCTGGCATGGCGGGTCGATTTGTGAGTTGAGAGATGCCCGCACTGAGGCGGGGTGCCCGACGTACTACCGTCGTGGGCAGATGGAGGAATTCTGCCACTGCAGACATGATGTTGAGGGGCTGTGGAGACGGAGGGTCTTTGGTTTGCAAAGTATTGGATCAGATGAAGGCATTTGACTGGTGTTTTGGACTGTAGTGAGGGCGACACAGTGCATTATATACTGAATTCCCTGCATTGGCTGCAACAAAAAAGGCCACAGCAAAATACCCAAATAGGAAGGAGTAGGACATTGCCATCGTATGTCGGAATTAAGATTCGTCAACCCGTGGGGAGAGACGAAGCTCAACCATGGATGAAACACGTAAACCTGGCCTGTCTATCGCTGGACTTCAAGTCACAACGTCAGTCATAACCTAAACCTTGCAATTTTGGTAGGGCCTGGAATGCCACGCGGCTTCGCTACCTCTCTTTTCTCCTTGCTGAGAACGGTCTTGCTCGGGGTGGCTGCTCAGCCAGGGTGGCCACTTAGTCACTCTGGAATTCTCGAGTTCATGGATCGACATCACCATTCCCTTGGTGAGATCAAGCCCGTCATCCCCCTGCCCAGACATTTCACTTGCGTGTTGAGTCGCCGTCACAGAAGAAACTACCTTTTCTCGAGTCAGATAAGTTCCTCTGCCCTGGTTTGTTCCCCGGTCACGTCTAGGTCCCCAAAAGCATCCCACCCCCATGTTCAAGGTTACAGCGGCAGCACATTCCGCCTCTCATATCGTTCCGTTGGAATCTTAGGTAATGAGTGATGAAGCGTTGTGCGTTGAAACACTAGTAATCTCCACCATAATTCATGAAGATACCGTCATTGATTGTGAAATAAATAGCATCATGACTGAAGGAGCTCATGATGAGGGATAATTCCATCCCTTTGCCACTGATTCGTTTCAATATGGATATCCTGATTGTGTATGATACGCCACGTAAGTGTGTCTCTTGCTCTCGTGGCCTGTTGCTTTGGCTTTGAACTTCTCTCGTAGATTCAGGTGTGCGCTAACCAGGTCAGCTTCACTAACGTAGCTACAATGAAGGATAGCTTATCGACAGAGACTGACTGCCCCGCCATGAGTGGGGGAACATGGCGTCACAGCCCACAGTGATCAGTGCCCAGTTGAAACTGCAGGGGCGAGACAGGTAGGAGACTGCGTCGCAGAAACCCCCTCCGGCCACGTGCTTCGAGGCCTTCGGGGAGTAATGCATCCCAACGTTGTATCATCACTGTAGTCACCCAAGGTTTGGTCACAAGCAAATCCAGAGTTATAACCTTGTTTGTCTCCGGCTTCTTCGCCTATTGGCTCGTTGTAGACTGTTGCTGTTGTTGACGTCGCCACTTCTCTGGAGTCTCGCCCTCATTACATTCCCAACGTCTGTCGGTTGTTGTCGGCTCATAATCAAAAGGGAAGGTGTGAATGAACCCCGCTGCTGCTAATGACACCACACTTCTATTGTTAGAGGATTTAAGCTCAATGGCAGCATGCCGATCTTGTGAACAGCTTCGATGATGAGACTGATACAGGCTAACTCCCTTGTTGGCCATGAGGTATGATGATAGAAACCAAGGAGATATGATCAGCAAGAACGTTTCAAAGATATTCACTCTAACCTGCTAATATTCTGCTCGTTGTTCTATGTGCGTCATTCGACATCCACCGGTTTAATCTCCTTGCCGGTGATACTCTCCGCTGTAGGGTGACCAACCCAAACAGTGTCTCTGGAATGACTTGAGCTACATGAGCTTTAAAACAGCCGCATGATATTATAGGACCGCTATTATTATCTGTGTGACCTAACACCCACATTTCAACGAATCAAGCGAATCAAAAGCTTCTACAAGTTACTCTTGCAGCACACAGACCCCACCGGCTCTGGAGCCTTGTACTCAACACTCTGATTCGCCTGCTGGTTAGATGGAGGTACGTCATTCGTCGGATTGAACAAACAGAAATTGTAAAATTTCAAATGCACCTGAACAATCTCTGCCGGCATTACTGGGAAGTCCTCCACACGAGGGTTATGCGTAAGACCGTAAGTGTGCCAGATGACAATATCCTGGTTGCGGACGTTCTCCCGGGACTCAACCCAGGACTTGATGCCTGTGCCACCCAACGACTGGTTTGTGTATTTTCCGGCTGGGAAGAGCTGGTCGTCGTGATACCTGGTGACCCAGATCGAGTGCTCGGCGAATTCAGACCGCCGCCAATGCCAGGAGCCGGGTTTGGCTAGGAGCATCTGTATTCGGTCAATGGAATTAGCATCGCTACCTTGCGCTGTGCTCAGTCACTTGTTCTTTGTGTTCTTGTTATCCGGTTCTTTTAATCCCCTGCTGGTTTCGGGGACACTGGGTAGGGAGGACCTTACCTGGGACCGATGAGGAACGAGTTTATACCCCAAAGGGGTTCCCGAGACCGGGTTCTCAATGTTTTCATTTAGTATTTTGAATACCCGGCCTTTGCTGACGTCGTCATCAACATGACCTGCTCGGTCGAGGATCTTCTGCTCTGTCACGTAGCCTGTACCAAGAGGATTGAGTTGATCATCCCATGGCATGGCCACAGAATCTGTGGAAGCAAAACTATTGCGCACTCCGCCGATCGCAGGATCAATCCTAAGGCTAAACAAGTGCTGGTGGTACGGGGCCATGACACCATCTGCCACGCGGGTTCCCCACGGGACCACGACGTCTTTTCCAATAGGTTGAGTGGAGAGGATCCCAGTCGCTCTGGTCTCGAAGGTGATCTCACCAGATTGGTCAAAGTACCACATAAAGATGTACTCGTAATTGGCAACTGTGATAATAGTCTGGAGAACCAATTGGCGCTTGCGAACTACCGTCGCTCTACCGGTACGGTGATTGGTGTGCTTCCATTGGATCCCGTTGTCAATCTCGTGGATACAGATCGCATTGGGTCGAGGAGATGCATTTCCGTCTACCGAAACGACGTGACCGTCTATATACTTGATCATTCCCAGGCAGTCGCAGCCAACTGATGAGAGTAAGCTTGGATACATCGAATGGAGGAGTGAGGTCCTTACGCTCAAGGTTGTTGGCCGTTACACCTGCTCCCACATTTCCCAGATCAAACGCAGCCTTACGGTAGATGGGATTGCGCGGATCACCATACGGAACGAACATCTCAGCGAGCGATAGACGGTAGAAGTTGCTTTTACCGTCAAAAGAGAGGTCATGCAGTGTTAATCCTGTCCAGAGTCAGAAAAGGTTTTAGTCAAGGGGCAGTAAGCTAGGACCTTCACGCCAGTTGAACCCAACTCGGAATCGCCATTTCTCCCACTCGACAAGGTGACCTTTGACAGTGAAGGAGGCACCCTCGGGCTGAATCACCTGGTACGGTTTCAGTGTCATCCGTGGAGGAACCTTCTGCAGACGATGGTCATATTCAGGCTCCTCTGGAGCCGTACGACGATGAAGTACATTAGAGCCGTGCGTCACGCTCTCATCGACCCCAAGAGGAAGCCGGATGATCTTTTTCACCTTCATGGCGCACAAGTCAACAGTGACCATAAAGTCTAGCGGAAAGCTATAGTGATTGGAGTCTGGGTCGTTGTTTGCAGGGTTTCTCATGTACATGAACACCTGAGCGTGCCTCGTTTGTGTATCCTCGCCGTCTACACCATAGTCCCACGGGTCAAGAACGACTGTCGTGTCATCAATCTGTAGGCGCTTAATCTCTGCTTGTACTGCAGGATCAGCCATAACAGCCTGGGCCACTTCGTTCATCTCCGCTCGGTCGCCCGGGCCATGGAAGTCTCGAGGAAGCTCAGCGTGGTGAACAAAGGTGCCGTTGGATACATTTACCACGGCTTCGAAGAACCTAGGCGTCCTTTTGATGTACCAATTGAGAAATATACATCTTGGGAGAAAAGGTAGGGGTCTGTTGTTGTGTTCAGCGTCGAGGAAATTGAGCAAAGCCTCCTTGGGTGGTTCCTGTAGACCACCGGCCTTGAAATGCAGGGGAATCCCAGGATAAGCGTCTTTGACCAAGGTGGTAGCCTTTTCGATCTCGGCCGCAGTAGCGGGGTCAAGTGGATGAAGTGACATCGTCTACCGGTAATGCAAGACTTGAATTGGAGGGTGAGATAATGGATTCAGCCGCTGTCGGTTGTCTGCGTATTCTGGGCCAGGGTTGGTGGTCTGCCTTATGTAGAGACTTCTTTTGGGCCGAGTCAACACGTCGAGCGACAAGCTCTTATCGAGAGATTAGGCGTTAATACAATCCTACTCGTCAATAGCCCGGATATGGGTGAGCGGGCTTGAGCGAGGGTTTCATGGCGGGCCGAGTCGATGAAGTGTCCATGAAGAGCTGCATCTCACCCCGCACTGATTGAAGGGGGATTGGATGAAGCTTCCGGCCAGATCCCGTCCATTCGGGACTATTCGTTCAATGCTCCGTTATCCACGTAGGAGGCTAGCATTGTCCGTTATCATTTGCTTCTCCATCCCCGTCATATCTACCACTGATCAGTGTTAGACGACTCCCCGGAGACGCAAAACAGGACGTCCTAGTATAATCATAGCGCATGTGGCAACCAATGAGCACACAATTGCAAGATCAAAATTGTACCTCATCGTCTGTTCATCCGTGCAAAAATCAGTGTTCAATGCATACGACTAGAAAATAAATATTAGTTCAATGATGGGATGGAATTGGAAATAGCCTATTAGTATGCCGGATGTAACTTAAACTGCTGAACGGAGCCGGTTCGCCCCTGGCGGACACAACTATATATATTCACCAGTGTCATCATTTCTAGTACTGACTTGCATATATAACATGGCAGTCCAGATTCTATGTATCTTCCGCTTCAATTCCTGTATCCAAAATCTATCAAATGCCAGTACTTAGTATATATTATCAGCAGTCACCCCACAATGACGTCTATCATCTCCTCTGTATCCACAGGCAAATCAATCGCTCCACATTAACCACCAGGCATTCAGCACTCACCACTAACAAATACACGAATAGGTCGTATACAGTTCCACCGATAAGCACAATAAATAGTAACCATGGACAAAACGACACCCCCCAAGACCTGCCACCCACCTATCCGGCTAATATATGCTAAGTGGTGCAGCAAGGGGAAAGTCTGTATTACGCATGGTCTTAAAGTCTTTCTACATTTGAAACAAAACAACCAACACGAGATAGTCCCACAACTCTTACAACTGTGTTCTGTGTGTCATCCATTCAAATTACAGTCATATAATGAATTGGCCCACGTCAGCTATGATGTAGCAGACCTGACAGCAAGATGGACACTCTGCCAGTGTATCATCAACGATAGTAAAGAGAGTATATATCTGGAGAATCTTTTTAGAAGGGTATCGATGCTGGAAAAGGTGAAAAACAGAGTTAAATAAGAGGATCCATATAGCGAGATGCCGATTTACAAAAATCCGAGCAAAGAAACCAAAGATCTTGCAACGAAAACAAATTACACTCAGCCTGCATGTAAGCATGAGGGTATCACATGCGTCCGTCAATCTCAGCTAATCTTATTTCCTGTGTTACCTCTCACTCCGGATATGGAATCGATTAAGGACACATCATATCACGGGGGGAAAAAGTAAAATAAAATAAAAATAAGAAAACAGAAAGTAAAATGCAAATCAATATCAAATGTAACCAAATAATTACCAAGACAGAGCTAGTGGACTGAGAACTAGAATTCCGATGGCGACCATAGTCCGGCTTCATCTATATTCCAGAGCTAATAGGCAGCACTGAAGAGTCTATCTCACCGATTGCGGACAACATGGGTTTCGTAACAATGCATTCTCTCTTATATCTAATTAAGGGTTAGCCAGTCCTTTTTTTAGGGGAAATCAAGGTCCTACACATGTGGGTGGCCACATCATATGCAGAGATCCTGCACTACGATGATCTGTTACCCGATAGTAATTCCGGTTCGCCGAATAGGAATCGTATGTTCTTCCAAATCTTACACAATATATTGCTTCATTTACATCTGATTATGAGGCGCGTGCAATGGGGGCGATATAGTATTGTGTGATCGAGAGGGCAGCTGAAAAGATGGGGAGAGACAAGGTACTGGGATCCTTATGGGCTACTATGTGGCAAGTCATCAGCAGCGTAACAATTTCCTGCGCATTCACGATGCTGCAGATTAGTTGGTATCTAATCGAAGCAACCAGGAAGTTCTTAATCCTCTGCTTCTTCTTACTGAACTTTTCCAAAGGTTACAGATGCGGCACTTAGTGCTAATCTCTTTGCAGAGGCGAGCCAAAGAGTATGTGTTGTGGAGATGGCACTGCGTCGAATACCACTTCCGAGGGTATTCGCTGGTTGCTGTTCAGGAGAGGCTCAGCTCTCCATTCATTATGGGGTGTATATGTTGCACAGAGAAAGGTTGAACGCCATTAGTGTTGGGTCACCGAACGCCTGGCATTGTTTCCAAATGCTTCTCCCCGGACAGGATGAAGCCAGGTCCAGTGTACAGGCAATAACTTACCAAAAAGGTCTATCGACTGTGTGTTCCTCGGTGGGTGTAAAAGTGCAGCGATCCTTGGTCCATCAAGTGTCCAATGGCTGGACAATAGAAAGTCCGCGAGAATTAGCTGCGTCGCCTTACACTCATCCTCGGAAAGCTACTGCAGGCAATCCCACATCGGACAGGATGGTTCGTGATGCCTACACCTAATGCAGCAGCACCTGAAGAATTCGTCCGCGAAAGGCGCCGACAGGCTCACCGTAGCATGGCTGATTATGTACTCCGTAATCCCGTCCACCGTGGGTGGACAGGCACAGATTTGCCCCTTGTGACAAAAGCTGATCGCTAGTGTCAATTAGGCTCCTGCAATGGAATCATGGTTAACTGATCGTCGTATCCCGGCAATAAGGGGCGGGTTTATCAGTTGCTTGTCTCAGATGGACAGGCATAGACGATCTCCGGCTCTGCGGTCGTTCCCGGACGCTCCGGCAAAAAAGGGATAGGCAAGGCGTCTGGATCACCGGCAGCTACAGACTGTTACCTTTTGGCGATCTTACTCGTTTCCATTTCCCCCTTGGGTACTTGGGTACACTGCTCCGTAAATGTTTCGTGCTTTTGCGCCCAACATCCTGGATGGAATCATGTCCCTCGTGGGCGAGGTGGTAGATCACATCCCACAATCCTGCATGCAGGATCAGGGCCTTTAATTGATCGCCGAATTGGCAGTGGCCAATCGTTTGGGCGGTTTTCTTTCTTTCGCGACAATCTTGCCCTTCCCTGCTCACGGAAGAAAAAGCAACGGGACCAATGTTTATCCATAAATTTACCAGTAAAGTGAGTATATCCATTCTATTGTGGCTCAGATCACAGTCTCATTAGGAGCTGACGCTAACATAGGCGGTTGTGCACATGCAAATATGTATACTGGACTGAACGGTACTTTCTCCGATCATTACTAGTAACTGGCCAACTGAGAGCCAGAATCGCATCGCAACGCTGGCACAGGGCCCAGGACTACACTTCGTATGCTCAGGTTAAGGCGTTGCTTATGACAGACGTATGTGTCCCACCCGTGTTAGTCTGTTTCAGGTAAAACCATATTGAATGTCTTAGAAAGAGAAGAGTGAACACATCCCACTCGCACTGGCGTCGTCGTTCTCTTTAAGTTTCTGATGTGTACGACTGTACGGAGAACCATGTACGTAGTACGCAATGTCAACCCGAGCCTCAGGTATGACGCACTGGCGATACTATTTATTGCCCAGCGAGAGATCCGAGTGTCAATAGTTGCCTCATTTCGCTAATCTGTTCATTGTCTGGTGGTTCCGTGGGTGGCCGTCCTGAGATAGATTGCGTGTCCTGACTCGAGACCCACACGGACGGTTCCAAGAGTCACTGGCGGACCCTCCTTGACTGACACGCCCCCAATTGACAGCCCGGTAGAACCGAGGTTTTGGACCGTGGGATTCGTTGTGTCTAGTCTCCATCGAGTGTTGCACGTTCAATGGTACTAATCTGGCATGGTATGATGGATCAAGTAATTCATTAATCGATCAATCAACCATCTGACCCGAATTACGAAGGAGGCGCGCACGACCTGCAAAAATTTCATTGCCTGGTGCGGCCAAAAGATCGAGACCGAGCGAAGAAAACCCCCCACAGCCACCAGAACGGACGCCAGGGCTCAATTTTGAATTTCGAAAGTCCGCCGTCTATTTGGCCCCATTTATCGGCGCCCTAAGCCTTCTTGGGAGGTTAGTTCGTGCCGACCACGAAGGAGTTTGTCCTCCGAGCGGACTAAATCCTGCCTGCTGGAGCCCGAAGCTCTTACGCGGAAGTCTGGCTGGTCAACGATGCATTCTCCGTGCATATCCCCTTATGCGGCCTGTGGCGAGTAAGTAGGCGTAAAAATAAATCAGCTGCGCACAAAATGTGGGTTTGTTTTGCAATTGAGAGGGGCCTTTTTTTTTTTTCTTCCCTGATGCATCTGGCTGCTTATCCGCCATCAGAAAGTACATTGTTAAGAGACAAGCCAGCGGGTTTATAGTTGCTATCCCACATAGACATTCTAAACAGACTGGTGCGTGGATGTTAGTAAACAAACAATCTCGTCTACCGTTAGACTAGCGGGCCATGATTGGCAAGCGAAACGGTTGGAAAGACGGACTGGAGCTTCACCAGGACGGGTGACATCCATGGAACCGGGATGAAGCCGATCGATCCTGGAGTTAAACCGGAATGGACGGCAGCACTTGAGTGGCCGAGGAGGGAGGTGGATGGAGGCCGGCGGAAGAGAGAAGGAAGAGAAAGTGGGTGCGGCCAAAAGTCCAGAACGGCGTCTGGTCGAGACAATCAGAGTCGCTAACTTCACTTGGGCCGTCCGCGCCATTCACGTCTGACTAACAGCTATCCACCTCCCCTTCCCCTCTTCCTCCACACAAAACACACTGCTGGTCCCTGTTCCTGTTCCTGTTCATGATCCTTTCTTAAAGTATCTGATTTCTCGCTATCCCCGCTCGTTATCCTTTGTTCTAGACATCTCACTTTCCCTTTCCCCCTTCTTCCCACTTCCAACACCACATCTTCATCGGTCGGCACCTCCTTCGTCGCCCTTGTTGTGTCTCACTCGTTCTCTCCACAATCGTTTCTCCACTCAGATCCTCATTGGAAACTATTGCTGGCTAACGTCAAACCGCCAGCTTGGTTCTTTATTGCTCTCTGATACATCGAAAATAGAAAAGAAAAAGGATCTCACGATTAAGGAGAACTATCTAAAGGATTCTACCTGTTTTTTTATAACCTTCATTTCCATTATCGTGATTCGCCCATTTTGTTTGCTTTGAAAGCAACCTTATCCGGGTACTATTGCCTCTGTGAGACTCGAGTTCATACATCTAGTATCTGCTTCCTCGAGGCCTTTCCATCCTTCACACATATCCTTCGCTTCTCCTTGGCTGTTTCGTTTTCCATTCCTGGAAAACAACCAATCACTCAAAGCCGATCACAAAGAAACTCAAAAGATACCACTACTACGTACCCCACCGGCGGATCGAACTGACACCCTGCCGGGCTGATCCAACCGAGGCACTTCCGCAGGAACGTTTGCCCCCTCACACCGAGAAGGAAAGGGATAAGCGCTCCTGCTCTCCCTAGCCAAGGGGATTTCTTGTCGCTTCCCAGCTTGATTCTTAAGGCGCATATCCGTGCTATGGGAGGACAGGTTACACGCAGCTGATGCCAGCCGTCATTGCAAGTAACTCCTGCCCACTTTGATCTCCTGCACGTCTTATCACGTCGCACACAACTCCCTTGGCTTCCCTTTTCTCCGACTGGACCCAACCGGCTTGTTATTCCAGAGTGGCTTTAATATCCCGGCCTTTCCATCGGTCCTTGTAACCAGCTGACCTTGTCATTCTTCACTCTTGACTTTCATTACCATCTCCATCAATGTCGTCCAAAATGACGCGTGTTGAGGAACCTCTGGATGCCCCTGATGGCTCTAGTCTTACCTGGATCTTTGAACATTGCCTTCGCTACCCTGGTACCTATGAGATCCCATTGCGCACCATGTACGCGCTGAACTGCAATCCCACGAGACAACCGGTGCCTGGTACTCGTGCTCCCGAAACGGCCTTTCATCGCCCAACCAACTCTTCGACTTCCCAAGACTCGTTGGACCCTGCTGCTGATTTCCGAGCTCAATTGACTCATCAGATCTCGCGGTTGCCTACGCAGCCTTGCTCGCTTCCTCCAACATTTGTCACCTCATTCCTGCGTCGTTGCTTCACCCCCGAGTTGGAAGAGGTCGATTTCCCCCAGGCATTGACTGCTTTGGACTATCTTAAGGACTTTGAGAACCGTCGCCGGAAAGAGGTTGCAGCCGCGCTGCAAAGGCTAGGAGTGGAGCCCAATGATGTGAAGGAGAAGACCGAGCTGGCGAAAAAGTACCCTGGCGTCTTGACTTGGCTTGAATCTATCAGTGCTCAGGGCCGCCGAGTGGAAGCTCTTTACACTCAGATATACGTTGGTCTGCGTCGCTGGGTAAGCATACCTGCCGCTACTGTGAAAACTTATCCTGGCTAACTTACTTACTAGACGTTGATCAACGAGATGCTGATGGAGCCCTTCAACAAGGCCAATTGCATCGCTATGCTCAACACGCTTTTCCCCCCGGTCACAGAGGCAACCGTTCCTCCCACTTCGCACCTCACCCTGCAGGTTTTAAAGTCTCAGCGGGACGGGTTTTTCCGGTATATCGCAGCCGTTGAGGTCAACGGTCCAGACGTTCTCACCAAAGTGATCGCTCAGGGTGCTCCAGAGGGATCGGACAATGGTTGGCCACTGATCAGGGAGGCGCTAGACAAGTATCTCCGAGCAGCCAATGAGATCATTGACGAATGCATCGTGGTGAATGGCCCGGCTGGCATGGACGAGGGTATCGAGTCTCAGCCTCGGGCTCACAAAGGCCGCAAGGTCGATTCAGGCATCAGCTTTGATGCCGGGGAGAAGCTTCCTTCCTCGCCTGTCGAGTGCAGCAAGAGCATGGATGACCTTCTAGAGAAGCCCCTCCCCCCGCCTCCCTCTCCTAAGGGGCCCAGCCACAAGCCGGGGTCGACGCTTGAGCGGCTGGCCCGCGAGATCCGGAAGTTGGGTGATGCCGGTAAGGCGAGGAATCTCAAGAAGATGAGATCAACTAGCGCCCTGGGTGTCCGGTCAGACACTACTGGCGGCCGCTCAACTGAAGACAGTTCACTGTTTGAGGTGGACGAACAGAAAAGAAGGCGGCTGCTGTGGGAGGCTTCCAACCGCAAAAGGGCCCACGTGAAGCAACTCAGCAAGGACACCGCATGAGTTGGAACCGGAGTGTTGTAGCCTGGTGCTAGCTTTCACTTCTTCTTTTCTTTCACTCACAATTTTCCTTCAATCTTTTTCAAATGTCTTTCGTTTTTCCTTGGCGGTTTGGAGAAACAAAGACAAGGATCAATATAAGCCTGGATGCTTCAACACTGGATTTATTTGGGAGTTTGAATGCGGGATTTAAGGTGCATCGAGGTCTTGCTGATTTTCTGTTTTGATTTCATATGGTAGTTGGGTTTGCATACAAGACTGGCGTATGGGGTGGTTATTTTGAAGCGATTGAACGCCAGATGGCGAGAAAAAGCACAAAAGCTGGAAAGACAAAAGTGCTGACACATTCTGATACGACTACTGACTGATATAAATGATCATGATCCTGTTCCTATTAGCGAATCTTGCTGTTCACTAGCCAGAAAACAATGAAAGTTACACCAATCTGCATAGTCTCCATTAGAGCCATTCACCCATCCGGCAACAGCCCCGGGGCAACAGAACAGGAAAGAACACTATGAAATCGGACTCGTAGACCACTACCTAGCTTCTATCGACCCTAGGAAATTGCTATATGCCTTGTGATTCTCGTTATAGAATCCAGCCTCATACTGTGGACAGCAGTCGCCAACCAATGGGCCGCAGCTGAAGCGCGGAAGTTCGGCGTTTTTGGCCGCTGCGCCGACCGTAGTAGCTCACCCATCCCGCGATGTGGCCAAATGCCCCCCGACTTATAAGCGCTGCTCTCTTGGCTCAACAACCCAAAGAAACTTCTTGTGCAAGCTCGACTGGGCATCTTTAATGCCTGATTGGTCTATACATCAATTATACTGAATTGGTAATTACATTGTTGCCATTGATCACCTCGAGCTTATCCGCCGCCCGTTATGTGTGCTTGCTAGCTAGCTTATCGGGAACAGCTAGCTAGTCAACACCGCTGCCATCAGCTCTAGGTATCATTTCCCGTGGTGAGCTGTGACGATGGTATCTGGACTGGCAAATTTCGCCTCATGGCGACTTGCATCTGTATTGATTGCCGGTCTGCTGGCTATCCAGGGACGCGCTAGTCCATCAGTCAATGTTGCTCTCCAAGCTTCGTTTGATTCCCCACCTTATCTGATAGAGCTACTGTAAGTGAAATCCAGACAGATCTAGTTGGATGCTCTTGATTCCTGGGCTGACCTCTATGTAGCGAATCCGCTGCGGAGGAGAACTCCACCTCATACTTCCCGTTACTCGATCGGATCGCCGATGGTATTTTCGATGACGCTGTTACGGATAAGGACCTATATGATCGCTTCCTGGAGGTTGTGCGTGAGGATGGACACTTACGGACCCCTGAAAGTCTCTCATCTTTCAAGCTGTCGCTGGCGATGAGATCCGCCAGTCCGCGGATCACGGCTCACTACCAGTACTACAATGCTTCGGTTCAATATTCGTTAATGGCCGCGCAGGATGCGGTCTGTCCTGTTTGGGTGCACTCCGAAGGAAAGCAATACTGCTCGTCTACTATGGAACGCGCCCAGCAGGATGTTACGGGTTCTGAGTGAGTGGTAATCTCAAATTTGTGTCTACATGCTGGTGACTAACCGCTACAATGTAGTGACCCACGAGAACTCCCTTTCGATCGTGTCTTCGGAGATCCCTCTCTGCCTCCAGCGATTTTGTATGCGGATATAGCGTCCCCGATGTTCAAGGAATTTCACCAGTCACTGAGTACGATGGCGAAAGAAGGACAAGTCTCGTATCGCGTGCGATACAGACCTCCTCAACATTGGTCTCCACGTCCTGTTTTTGTGTCTGGATACGGTGTCGAGCTGGCGTTAAAGCGGACGGACTATATTGTGATTGATGATAGAGACGCGGAAGAAAGAGGGACCGGCAGCATTGAGTCCGGAAAGTCTGATGAGACAGGAGATGATTTGGATGACCTGAGACCCCTGTCATCATCCGAAGTTTCTCGGCTTGGGCTGAACACGGTCGGGTATGTGTTGGATAGCGATGACCCGTTTGACACACTTGTGAAGCTGTCACAGGATTTCCCCAAATACTCCGCACGCGTTGCGTCTCACAACGTTTCCACCGAGCTGTTGCAAGATGTTCGGTCCAGCAGATTGCGTATGCTTCCGCCGGGGCTCAACGTGCTCTGGATCAACGGTGTTCAGATTGAACCTCGACAAGTGGACGCATTCACTCTTCTGGATCACTTGCGTCGCGAAAGGAAATTGATCGAGAAGTTCCGAAACTTAGGCCTGTCCGCTACAGATGCTGTAGAGCTTTTGTCACACCCTCTGCTTGGAGAGGCCTTGGCACGGGATGGCCCTCAGCGTTACAACTACCGTGATGACATTGAGGGAGGTGGTGTCATCATGTGGCTGAACAATCTCGAAAAGGATGCGCGCTATGAATCGTGGCCCAGCGAACTCGCAGGAGTAGGTACATCCGGGATTCTTTATTGCGGAGATGCTAATGTCTGGTAGTTTATGCAACGCACATATCCAGGCCAGCTTCCGGCAGTCCGCCGCGATTCCAACAATATTGTCTTTCCTGTCGACTTGACGAGCACTGAAGATGCTGATATTGTTGTCAAAACAATCCAGGTCTTTGTGAAGAACAAAATTCCCGTCAGATTTGGTTTGATTCCGGTCACATTCTCAGACGGAGCAATTGCTCAGCTCAAGGTCGCTCATTACCTTCAAGAGACTTTTGGTCTGGCCAGTTTTATGGATTACCTTGAAGCGGTAAGGACTAACTTTCCCGTACCCAAATTCCGCTATTGTTTGTCAGTTACTAATTGGAGCAGTCGGCGTCCAAAAATAAGTTGGCTTCTCCGGATAAGGCCTGCTTCCAGGCTGCAACTCAGGACCGGAGTCCTCGTCTGGAGAAGGTGTCTCTATCTCTAGATGAAGTCTTGAATAATGCTGTATATGACGCAACGGTATCAAAGACAACTGCGTACCTAAACCGTCTGGGGATGAAGCACGAGCCATCACATGCTTTTGTTAACGGCATTCCTGTCACCCGCAATGACAAATGGGCGCAGGAAATGAGCACAAAAATAAGCAAAGATACTCAGCTAATTCAGCAGAAGATTGCTGATGCCGAGGTCGATGAAGATACATGGTTGCCAGAATTGTTTCTCTCGCAGGCTTTCGATAGGCGCAATCCGGCGATCGTTCCAGAGGACCCGAAAGAGATCCGGGCTGTGGACTTGGTGCAGATTGCGGACTCCCAAGAGAAGCTCTTCAGTCAGATTCCACGTTTAGGGCTAGATGAAAGCAATGCCTTGGAGAGTGCCCATGCCATCGTTGTTGGCAACTTTGATGAGAAATCGGGTTACGAGCTACTCAGCGCGGCCCTTGAGAGCCGAAAAACACATGGTGAAGTCGAGATGCTTTTCCTACACAATCCTAAGCTCGAGGCGTCCCCCGCATCTAGGTCTGTCGCTGTTCGTCGATTGTTGAATGGTGGCAAAGAGGTAGATGCCAGCCAGATTTTGGAGGCGATCGCCTCTTCCGCCTCGCCAGCAGATGAGGAAGCTGGGGATGCGGCACTCTTCTGGGAGGCTCAGCGAGCTGTAGTAGAAGAGCTTGGACTCGCTCCGGGCGAAAGGGCACTTGTCATCAACGGAAGGGTCGTTGGACCGATTGCAGAAGACACCGCCCTGGCCTCAGAGGACCTGGACCAACTACTGATATATGAGAAGCAAAAGCGGATTACTCCGGTAGCAAAGGCGGCCAAGGCCCTTGAATTCGATGAGAAGCTTTCTGATCCGCTAGACTTTGCCAAGCTTACCTCGCTCACCACGCTCTCTACGATCTCGGATGTGCCAGAGGGCATATATGAGTCGACTTCGGACATTCGGTTGAATTTGTTCAACAGATGGAACGACTCACAATCAGCTATCACTGTCTCCAATTCCGATGATCCAGCGATTACCATTGTAGCATCTATCGATCCGACTTCGGAAGTTGCTCAGAAGTGGCTACCAATTCTAAAAGTACTGTCGGAGCTGGCAAGTGTCAGAGTGAGATTGGTCCTGAACCCGCGCGAGGAGATTAAAGAGCTGCCCACCAAGCGCTTCTATCGTTATGTTCTCGATTCGGAGCCATCGTTCAACGAAGATGGGTCGGTTTCCCGGCCCACAGCCTCCTTCTCGGGCGTCCCCGTCGAGGCACTCCTCACCCTGGGCATGGATGTTCCCTCTTCTTGGCTTGTGGCTCCCAAGGACTCTATCCACGATCTTGACAATATCAAGTTAAGTTCCGTCAAGGACGGCTCGAATGTCGATGCTATTTACGCATTGGAACACATCTTGATCGAGGGCCACTCCCGGGATATGACCACGAAGTCCCCACCTAGAGGAGTTCAGCTTGTCCTTGGAACTGAGAACAACCCTCACTTCTCGGATACAATCATCATGGCCAATCTCGGATACTTCCAATTCAAAGCCCAACCTGGACTGTGGAACATCAACCTCAAACCGGGCCGTAGCGAACGCATCTTCACCCTCGACAGCGTAGGCAGCCTCGGCTACAACCCCCAACCTGGCGACGAAAACAACGAAGTGGCCCTCCTCTCCTTCCAAGGCCGCACCCTTTTCCCGCGTGTCTCCCGTAAGAAGGGCTACGAGACCGAAGACGTCCTCGAGACCAACCCCAAACCAGGTTCTGCGATGGACTACATGAATAAGGGGTTCAACTTCGCCTCCGGCATCCTCTCCAGCGTCGGAGTCGGCGCCAAAGGCAGCACTAGCGGCAAACAAGCTGACATTAACATCTTCTCCGTCGCCAGTGGACACCTCTACGAGCGCATGCTCAACATTATGATGGTCTCAGTGATGCGCAACACCAACCACAGCGTGAAATTCTGGTTCATCGAACAATTCCTCTCCCCGTCCTTCAAGTCCTTCCTGCCCCACCTTGCGAAGGAGTATAACTTCTCTTACGAAATGGTCACCTACAAATGGCCACACTGGCTCCGGGCCCAGAAAGAAAAGCAACGTGAAATCTGGGGCTACAAGATCCTCTTCCTGGACGTTCTCTTCCCTCTCGACCTCGACAAAGTCATCTTTGTCGACGCCGACCAGATAGTCCGCACAGATATGTACGACCTCGTCAGCCTTGACCTCGAAGGCGCTCCGTACGGCTTTACTCCCATGTGCGACTCCCGCCACGAGATGGAAGGCTTCCGCTTCTGGAAGCAGGGGTACTGGAAGAACTTCCTCCGTGGTCAACCCTACCATATCTCCGCGCTTTACGTTGTCGACCTGAACCGCTTCCGTGCCATCGCCGCCGGCGATCGCCTGCGTGGACAGTACCAGATGCTGTCAGCTGACCCCGAGAGTTTGAGCAACCTGGACCAGGATCTGCCGAACCACATGCAGCATCATATCCCGATCAAGAGTCTGCCGCAGGAGTGGCTGTGGTGTGAGACTTGGTGCTCGGATGAGTCGCAGTCACAGGCTCGGACGATCGACCTGTGCAATAACCCGATGACGAAGGAGCCGAAGTTGGATCGTGCCAGGAGGCAGGTACCTGAGTGGACGGAGTATGATGATGAGATTGCGGCCTTGTCGAAGAGAGTTGCCGCTGAGAAGCAGCAGGAGCAGGAGCAGGCGGAGGAAGAAAGGGCCGGTGAATCGTACCCTGACGAGGGTGAGGAGGGTGAGACTTCTTCTGGCTGGGATAAGGATGAGCTTTAGCGGGTTTCGTTTCAATTATAGCGTGTATACATAGATCAGTTTGGTCTCCAATAGGAAATAGATTGTTCGCTTTACAAGCTTTGGCATCGTTTCGTGCATGATATTCTTTTAGTTGACTGACCTAGGATCACAATGCCTTGGCTTCTCAATCCTACAAGACCTACATTGGGAAACACAAGCATTCTCTTAATCGAGAAACACAAAACTGAACTCATGGAAGACCTACCAAGTAGCTCTCATCTGTGAGGTGCCTTAATTGCTGTTGGTAGGTTCTCCACCACCTTGACAATACTATCTCCCAAGTGGGCCTCTCGAAGTGGAGCGTGCCGTTAAGCCTTATAAAGCGTGGAGGGAATAGTGGAGTTATTGAGACCAATTGCATGTTTTGCTGATAAGAACTAAGACAGGTTCCTTATTGGGCGAAGACATGTACCTTGAATAACATGTAAGATAATGGAAACTTTCAGGGGACTAGACTTAGTACGTCTGCCCATGCCTTAATTAAAAAGTTCCCAGGCCAATTCTAGGCCTCCCTACGTCTTGTTTCCGGATCAGGATCGCGCGTTAGGCTCTCCACGTGATGAACTATGTCGGCCCTAAAATGTCGCTATGCGCCTTTTCCTACCACTTGCCTTTTCAGTAGTGGATTAGAAACCTATTCGCGCATGCCACCCGCTTGGCAGTGATGTCTTTCATCGATGAGACCATCAACCACCCGGTCCCCATCCTATCCTCATTTGAACCGCACAATGCATCACACAACGAGCAATCCCTGACTACGGTGGACAACGAGAAGGGAAAAATCGCCGACGAACAGCCATTGGAAAATGCCGATGCCAGCGAAGATAGCGATCCAGATGTCGTCCTCGTGGACTTTGACGAGAACGACCCGGAAAACCCGCTGAATTGGTCGCCAGTGCACAAATGGCTGATTGTGATTGTTGTTTCATGGATGGGGTTTGTCAGGTGAGCATCATTACTTCCTTGGTTGTTTTCCTCGTCGATTTTTGTATAATCTATCGCATGCTCGTTGAATTAACCTCAATATCTAGTGTCTTCTCAACAATGACAATCGTACCCACGGCACCCGAAATCCTCCAAGAATTCCATTCACACAGCTCAGTTGACCAGACTCTCCTCGTCACGATCTGGGAACTCGGCGAAGGAATCGGCCCATTTTTCATCGCGCCGCTGTCCGAGAGATTCGGTCGACTTCCCGTCTTCCATATCGGGAATTTCCTCGCGCTGCTCTGCTTAGTCGCCAGCGCGCTGAGCGTCAACATCTCCATGCTGATAGCCTTTCGCTTCTTAACGGGTTGTTTCCTATCCATTCTCACCCTGGGCCCCGCCATTGTCGGGGACCTGTTCAAAATGGAACAGACCGGCCGCTCCATGGCAATAGTCATGGGTACGCAAATGATCGCGGATTTCATCTCCCCTATCGCGGGCGCGTATATCGCTGAGGACCTGGGTTGGCGGTGGTCCATTTGGCTGGCGGCTATTGTGCTGGGGTTCTTTAGCTTGCTTTTACTGCTGGTGCTAAGGGAGACGTACACGGTTGTTCTGCTGAGGAGGAAGGCGGAGCGATTACAGATGGAGCGCGCGGGCGCAGACGACAATATTCACCTGAAGTATCAGTCCGAACATCAGGCTCAGATCGATGCATCAACTATGCTTGAGAGCGCTATCAAGCCAATGCAAATCCTCTTTCGATCTCCTATCCTCATAATGACCACGACATACATGTCTACGACCTACGCCCTGGTGTCATTGATCATGGCCACCCTCACAGAATCCATGGAATCGACCTACCCCGGCACCTTCACCAGCGGCTCCATCGGCCTTACATTCCTCAGTCTCGCCATCGGCAACACCGTCTCTTTAATCTTCTACAGTTTCACCTCCGACCGCTACGTCATCCATCAGAAAGAAACAAAAGGCGACGCATTCAAGCCCGAGTCGCGGCTAGTGCATTTGATTCTCGCTGCTGTGATCCTGCCTGCGGGATTTATCATCTACGGATGGACGTTGGATTATCATGTTCAGTATATCGTGCCGCTGGTTGGAACGTGTCTCGCTGGCTTCAGCATGACGCTTTCTGCTATTCCGGCGGAGACTTATGTCGTGGATACATATGAGATTCATGGGGCTTCGGCTATCGCTGCTGGGGTGATTTTCAGAGCTATTGCAGGGGCGTTTCTGCCCTTGATCGGTCCAGCTCTGTATGACAGTATCGGGCAAGGATGGGGGAATACGGTGCTGGCTTTCATTGCGGCGGCTTTCATTCCGCCGTTGGGAGCGCTGATGATATACGGGGATTGGTTTAGAAGTAAGGAGCGATTCGGCAGGGAGGGACGGTAGATACTACATAGAGTCGAATTGTTGTTTGTTTGTCCTTAGTAAATGTTATATACTCCATTCTACACCAAGTATAATATCTGAGAGTTCAGTCGAAATAAACAAATATTCTCGCTTCAATACTCTCCCGCAACTGCGTAGTATCACTGTTCCGAGGATCCCGAAACGCCGTATGTGGAACTCCTGACTTCCAGTATCAATATCATTCACAGCGACAGATCCTATTTGGAAAGGGTAAATGAAATCCATACCTGCACTGTTCTCAGCTTGAGAATCCGCCTGCACGAAAGCGATCACCTCATCGGCTTGCAGCCCATGCCAGTAGTACCATTTGTGGTTCTCGTCATAGTATATTCGAGTATTCTCGTTGACGTAGTCACGCGCAACGATGTCCATGGCTGTGGTCTGAGATGCGTAGTCTACTGTTCGGCGGTCGCAAACTGTGATTGGGAAGTCGTATACTGGGCCGCGGATTGGTTTCCATAGGCTGGTGGGATGAAATCTGTAAGCTTGTTTCTGTTCTTGGATGCAAGTTTGATGGGAAGGTCTGGGATAGATATTACTTTACAACGATGAATCTGGAATATGTCTTTGGGTGGATGTTGAACTGCTTGATGCTGCATTTTGCTGCTGAGGAGGCTGTCATATCTAAATTCGATCATTCGATTAGTGATTGATATTATATGGAAAATAGAATAGGACATACCAATATGCACATAATCGCTCGGCTGGTTTGTATCAAGCTCATGTCGTTCTACACCCTCAGTCAACCATAGAGGGTGCCGTTTGCGAGTCTGATTCCCAGTAAATCAGCCTAGCCCTGTTTGCCTCTTCGAATTGCTTTAACTTACAGCATGCTCTAGAACTTCAACCCGCGCGGCATCCGGGAACAAAGATCGCGCAAGCGATTTGTATTGAGGATATAGGACTTCCTCCACTTTCTTGTCGTAGTAGTACTCCTCCGGGGCCAAAGGACACTCAAGATGTAATTGAGTAAATCCATACTCCAATAACATCTCCTTCGACGGAAGGTCTAAGTTCCGAGCATTATGAATGGGAACTATCCGGTCATCTGCCGCGGTGTTTGTTGGGGGAATGTCGGTATCGTACTGGAAGTGCAAGTAGTATGGTTTCACATGTTGGTGCTGGTCGTCTTTGGCGAGATACTGGATCTTTGCCTTGACTGTGTCGCCTTGAGGGTCAATGGAGGCAACAGTGGCCGTTGTGGATGTATTGATTCCTCCTGGAATGGGCATTTTCGTCGATGACACTGCTCTTGGTTCGAATGTTCTCTGGGGAATGAGGCCCAGTGTCCACGATAGAGAACAGAGTATATCCTGGTTAGTTTGTTTGCCGCATTAGCCGATTGCATACTTCCCTCTCGAATTCGGGGCACAGGCTTACGGTTCCGTATTGAAAGTCAAGACACGGCAACGCCGAGCTGAAGGAATTACATCCTGAACTCAACTCGAGACAATCAATTTGCTACCCCGCAGTTTCTTGCGAATCAAGAGCCTGGCCCACCGGATCTACTATAGGTAATCGGGGGCCAAAATGACATGATCCACTCAGACACACTTCAAACCGGACACCATCCATGTCCTTGACTAGGGAATCAAATCCCTCATCTGCAATACGACGATCAAGTGAGGGGAATAGAACCGTCTCTCGTGCATAAAACGGATCTCCTAGTAGCCACAGCCTTAGTCCACGTCTCACGCTATCGTGTCACTGGCTAAGCAGGCGCTTATCTTTCCAAGAAACTGACCAAAGTGGGGATACGTACTTTCTACAAGATGAGGAGACCCACCTCAATCCGCAGCGGCCCGAAAGCCTATCTATCACTATCTAGGCGGTATGACCCACGCAGGTGGTCTTCACGAGCATCGAGATACTCCTTCCATGAGACCCCGGAGGAGGCTTTTCTGCGCCTGTGCGCTGATGCACTGTAACCTAGACGTGTTGCGCTTGACTGGAATCTCATCCATCTGCTTCGTAGATTTCGGGCGTTTCAGTCGGTATCTTTCAAGTTGTTTCTTGGTGGATGCTCCTCGGAGATGTAAATGCCAGTTGTAAATGCATACTTGAGTATTCTTGTCTAATATGCACGCTGTACCGCGCGGGTGCGCCGTGCCAGAAGTGAAGACTGGGATCTCATCCTTCATCCTTCGAAACGTTTGACCAGCATGGATGGGGGGTAATTGCATTGCGCAAGACTGATAGCCAATGCAGCTTGGTCTACTTTGTTCCGATTTCCATGTAGTTGACATTTACCCTCCGGCTATCATAGTCTGCACTAGACTTCAATCAGCGTAGTGATGGCCAGCGCGTCATTTGCGTTGTAGATAGACGATACTCTTATCTTGCTATCTGAAATCGGTTAGCGACGCGGTCCCCTTCGGGGCAGACTGCAGTTGTACACCAGATGATGGTCCCTTCTGTTCGGAAGCACTGTCAACCGAGACGTGTTCGCTTACGCCGATTAATTCTCACCTACGTGCAACAATAGTATCTCTGTACCCTCCATATCTACCTACTAGGTAACACAAGTCGTCAGGGTCAATGCAGATCCGTTGCGCCACAACCTTGGCGTGCGGAGTTGCTTGTTCCAGCCGAGGATGCTTGGCATATGTCTTAGGGTGCTTGTCTTGCGGATGCCAAGTGCTTGTCCGTAGTTGGTATCTATCAAACATCAACCTATTTAATTTATCCGAGATTCAAGAGGACTCCTGTGTACAAACAACACTAACCTGCCTGGGACGAATATGCATGGGTATCCGACAATTCCCTCATTTCAATCGCAACCTCGTGATGCCATCTCATATGCACATGGTATCAAGGAGAGTAGTGCACTGCACAGCTCCGAGGGATTTGGATAGTTTGATCCTTCTGGCTTCAGCAATGGAGTCCGCAATAAGGTGAGGCATTTACGCAAGGCCTATCACCATGTGTAGAAAGCGAAGAGATCCCCAGATACGGCTGGAGATACGAGCAAATGAAACACGCTTGATGAACCATGCATAGACGAGAGAGCGAATCATGCTGGATGAATGGAGATTCGGGGCACGGCTCCAAGCAGGCGCTCGGATGGGGTTGAGACGCAAGAGGGGGATATCCCTCGATGATCAAACCCCGTAGATAGCTTCAACGGCTACTGTATGGCTTATCAGCATGAGTTACGGAGTACAATGTACCACTGTGCCTTGATCCGGATTCATGCATACTCGCGTGCTTTCACAGGCTTCATGCACAAGCAGCGAATACGTATGGCTGAGGATGTCGGAGTAATCCACGCATATGGTTGAGATAGACCCGTCTGGAGTGCTATATAAACCCCTTTGACCATCGCCCATCAGAGACGGATATCATCAATCTCCAGTCTCAGACAAGAACAACTTCAGATATTATCAGAAAACCACACTTTTCATACAAGCACTCTTCAAGATGGTAAGAATATTCCTGAACATCTTCAAACATACAGGACTTGCCAAAACTAATCGGTTTACAGCCTCAGTCCACCTCTACCGCGCCCCAGGAGAGAGCCCAGCCCTGGAAGGCGATGCAGGAAGTCCAGAACCTGTTCAAGCCCGAAGTGCCCGCCGCTGCTGAAACCGCCGACAAGGCCGAAGAAGAAGAGCCCTTGAAGCTCAACTTGCTCCGGGCTCAGTTCAACTCCGCCAGATCCAACATTGCCAATGTCGAGGAGAAGCACTAAGCTATGTTGTCTTATTTGGGAATGTTGAAGGAAGGATGCTAGAAAGGAAGGGATTGGCCGGACCCATTTGTCATTCCTTTGTTATATACGAATACTAGCTAGCCTTCCTTGTCCTTGTAGAGAGGGCACAATACAATATCTGTGCGCACAGATTGAATTACCTTTTTCTTCGTAGTGATTAGCCGGTTCAAAGATAGATACAAGGGATTTAAATGTCACTTATTTTCTCGGAAGTGGCTATTGAAAACGACAAGTTTGGACGTAAATATGCTGTAATATGGCTACTGCTATCTTTAATGCTCTGTGCTTGTTTGCTGCGAGTAGTTTCAACAGACTTCCCTATGTAGGTGTAAACTCATCCGCTCTTGAAGTCACGAAGAATTATTTACTTGAAAGCTCCAGGTGCTTTGCTCTATACTTGGTAGCATAGTGTGCAATGAGCACAATGAGCACACATCAAGAGATAAGGTAGCTATGAAGAGAGTATTCACGCCTCCCATAACCAAGAATAATTCCAAATGGCACCACAGTCAGACGACAGCATCGCCCGCCCTTACAAATCGTCAACATATCGCAGCGGCTTTAATTCCGATATAGCGTTGATCATTACAAACTGTACACATGCAGCTAGACACACAAAGATGAATAGACTATGAGTCTAGGCGCATATACATAGTGAAAATAGACAGGGTAAACCCCATCCGCTATCTCCGCTCTAGTCTCAGAATAGATTAATAACCACTACAATCTTTCCGTGACTGAAAGAGACTGACGCATCCTCTCGTCAGATCCTTCCGGTAATGCCAAGAGAGATTGACCTTCGTTGATCAATTGAACTTTCCTTACACGCTACTGCAACATCTCCACTTCTTGCAAGGCGGATAAGGATAGATAGGTCCGGAGAAAGGGGGATTGGGACCCCGACGGCCCACCGACGGAAGGATTCTCAGCTAGGATCATAACCTGATAGTATCCTTCCCTTCAATACAGGATGTAACTACATGGTATGTTACGTTTAGCCTGCAGCATACGATGTATGATAGGCTTCTTTGGGTTTAGCGCCTGGGTTTGGTAAGAAAGACGCTGCAGGGAGGAGTTTCTTACGCGCACGCCAGTGTGTTCATTGCTGGAGTTGAACCCTCCCGGATCCCTTATCGAAGCCATGATGTAATGTTCGTTGTTTGTTGTCGCGGACTTGAGGAGTGCGATGTTCTAGATTTCTTATCTTTGAAACGTGGTAGGAAGCTTCATATTGTGACGTGGAGCTATGTATGGAATCCTACGTGATAGTACATCCTCACCGGAACGCCAGCTCAGATGGCTGGTTTAACAACAGGCTTGCATTGATTAGCAAAAAGAGGTGCGCTTGACGATTTTCTAAGGAAATATTGGGTGGAAACTTCTGGAGGATTGAGGGACTACATTGTGAATGATTCATGTTCGCAAACTACTTCTTTCGAACGTTGCGATCCGTAAGTCAGAAGACTCACGCAGGCGCCAATTACACTTAAACAAACAGCTAATCTGTACAAGCAACTACTAAATATCTAGAGATTTGTAGCTAGTTTGTAAATATTTCAATATAGTTACTCGGCTATGTGTACCGTCGAAATTTCAGCTTCAGACAACCTGCAATAGGACCCGCAGAAAAGGCATCCACCTGTTCCACATTTCCTCTAAATTCATCATCCAGGTATGTCTCGTAATCCGTATAGATTGTTGCGAGCAGCTCCCCAATGACTGGTTGTGATTACACGGTCAGCACGTTCTTCGATCGGTAAAGGGATGGACCTACCGCGCATGGAGAAGTGAGTGCCAATGCACACCCGCGCGCCGCTTCCAAATGTCCAAACCCACTTCCGCATCTCTGCGACCGTGTTCTTATCTGCTTCGAGCCACCTCCCCGGTCGCCATTCCTCTGGAGACGGAAAGGGAACCGGATTAAAGTGGAGGGCCCAGGCGGAGGAGCTAACGATGGTGCCGCCGGGGACGTCAAACTTGCCCGCGAGCCGGCAGCCAGAGTCTGGCACGACACGAGGAAACGGGCCTGGACACGGTGCCCTGGTTCGCATGGTCTCGGTAACGACAGCATCAAGCACTGGTAAAGCTGCCAGGCGATGGGCCAAGCTCTGATCGCTAGGTTCGGCCAGACTGAGGAGCTCTTTCCGGAGCGCCCGCTGGTAGTCTGGATGTCGTGATAACTCATACATCGTATATGCTAGTAAAGTTCCCAGGCCAAGGTGGCTAGCCGAAAGATGGTCATCGCACTCAACAGCAATGAAAGAAGCCATTTCATTACGAGGCATCTTGGGATTAGCGGCTTTGAAAGCATCGTAGAAACTGTCATACAGGCTCGCGGTGGAAGACGGCTTGGTGGGATGCCTCCTGTAGGCATCTGTGATCGCTCGTGTGAGCCACGCTTGCCATCGACCAGTGGCGTCGGGATTGGGCAGCCTGCTGCCAACCAAGCTTGCAAAGTAGGTAAACGGCCAGTAGAGCGTGGTCCGCACGGAGACTATTTCCGATGCAGCGGCAGCCAACGTTGTGAGGTCGTTCTCAAAGCCCGGGTCTCGCAGAGTATCAGTCGCGTTCTCGCTGCCAAAGAGCCAGCCCGAGGCAACGTCAAGGGTGCAGCATTTTGCCTGCTGGTAGACATTCACAGAGGTACCAGTGCTTGCCCACTCTTCCATTTTCTCCCTTAGGTGCCTCGATACGCGGGAGAGAACACTGCCGAGGGTCTGGGAGTTGAGAATATACGAATTGGAATAAGGGCGGGAAAGCATACGTTTACGCTCTCTGTGCTCGTCGTTACCTGTCATGGTGACCATATAGCCAACCCTGGACTCAATTAGACATCGACTTGTGTCATTGGATCCAAAAATTGCGAGTGCATCAGGAACTTACTGGTCGAACAATTCATGGTAGAAGGACTCATCTTTGTCGAACTTGCTGCTGTAGATTGTGCGAACCCCGTCATCGATGCAATTCACACTCACGTCACGGGGTCCAATCCGGATGACTGGACCAAGGCGACGATGGAGTTGAATTCGAGTCCGATTCTCCAGATTCCGCCATCGGAGCGACAGCAACCACAGGCGTGAATAGGGAGCGGAGAAATGAGCATTGGGGATGTCTTTCAAGCTGGAATTGCGGTTACGATGGATTGAAGCAACGATCCATGATACGAGAAAAGTGAAGCCGACGACCACGGCAAGCATGTCTTGAGAAGGCTGACTTGAGAAATCCCGGCAGTGGATTTGTTCGGCAGGCAGCTTAATAGCCACCGCGACTGGAAGCGTCCCAGCCGCGGTACTTATGCCCCCATCATTAAATTCGAATCAAATGCATGTTTGGCGATCCGATATGGAGCCAAGGCTTGGTCCAACATGACCAAGGGACTTACAGGACGCAGTCTGGATCTCCCTAGTCTCACCTAAAGCTAGAATCTCTGCACCAGGTCATCCCGTTCGGCATTCTTGCTGTGCCGTTCCATCCGCGCTATTCTTCAGCTATTGTCGGGCTGTGCCGAATTAAATTGGAAGATATTATGCAAGTCGACAAGCGGGGTAAAATACCAGGTTGCGTAAAGTCAAGTCTGCATGGGTTTCATCGCATGGCGTGGCATTAGTGGCTTTGCCTTGTGCGCGAGACTGCTGATCTGTATACTTCCTTTTCTTCAAACCTGTCGCCCCTGCACGCAACTCGCAACATTCAATGAATCTCTCTACTCGCTTCTGTTAATTTATCGTCTCTCTATAGGACTACGATTCAAGCGTTGACGGAACCGCTCAATTGACGAATTTCAATGACCCTCAAAGTCGTCATCGAATTTCCATCTTTGTTGACATATTTTAGACTGCAGCAACCTCAGTTTCTAGTCACAACGCCTCAGACTTGCTATCGCATTTGATTACAAGAGAGGTATTCGGGAGGATCTACGGTCCAAAGAAGGGGGACCATGGGGGAAGCTCTTCCTTTCGGCTCTATTAAGCTCATATCGGATAGAATGGAAAAGCCGCTGTTGGACAATCGCTCATACCGAGTGATTCAGTTGTCCAATCAACTAGAAGTCCTTTTGATCCATGATCCAGACACTGATAAAGCCGCCGCTGCTATGGATGTCAACGTTGGTAGCTTCAGCGATCCGGATGACCTGCCGGGGACCGCGCACGCGGTAGAACATTTGTGTTTCATGGGTACGAAGAAGGTGAGGACCGATCTACAGACCTATTTGAAACACAATAGCTTATTGACGACGAAACAAACACTGACATGTTTTTGCTTAGTATCCGGCAGAGTCTGAATATAGCACTTATTTAGCCAAGCATGGTGGCTACTCCAACGCCTACACGGCCTCAACATCAACCAATTACTTTTTCGAACTATCAGCGAGTTCAACGTCCAATAGCCCGGGTTCAGTCGCAACTGTAGAGCAATCCAATGTTACCATCACCAAAGATAAGGTTCCCCTCTATGGTGCTCTCGATCGTTTTTCGCAATTCTTCATCCAGCCACTCTTTCTCCCCGATACCCTAGATCGCGAACTCCGCGCTGTGCATTCAGAGAACAAAAAGAATCTTCAAAGCGACACATGGCGCCTGGAACAACTGGGCCGCAGCACTTCGAGTGAGAAGCATCCCATCCGCAAGTTTGCTACTGGCAACTATCAATGTTTACATGAGGAACCGGTGTCGCGAGGCATCGATATCCGGAAGCGCTTCATTGAGTTTCACGAAGCTCATTATTCGGCGAATCGTATGAAGCTCGTCGTTCTGGGTAGAGAGGCACTGCAGGAATTAGAGAGTTGGGTTCAGGAGCTCTTTTCTGATGTACCGAACAAAAACCTGCACCGTCTGAGGTGGGACAACATACCAGTTTTAAATGAGTCCGAGCTCATGACTCAAATATTTGTCAAACCAGTGACGGAGCAAAGACAGTTAAACATTGACTTCACGTATCCCGATGAAGAAGAGCTTGTTGACTCCCATCCCAGTCAGTATCTGGCGCATCTGATTGGCCATGGGGGTCCTGGCAGTGCTCTTGCTTATCTGAAGGAGCTGGGTCTCGCAGACTCTTTATCGGCTGGGGCTTCTGCTTTGTGTCCCGGCACAGCTCTTTTCTGTATTGACGTGATGCTTACTGAAAAAGGCGTTCGGCAATACCGGGATGTCTTGAGAGTTGTCTTCCAATATATCGCTATGCTAAGAGAGAACCCACCGTCTGCCTGGATCTCGGATGAAATGAGCCGCTTGGCTGAGGTGGACTTCAAGTTCAGGCAGAAAAGCCCTCCATCCCGAACTGTCAGCGATCTAGCTCAGCTCATGCAGAATGCTTGTATACCACGCGAGCATTTACTCAGCCCTTTCCTAATCCGCAAGTTTGATCCGGAAAGCATCCAGTCCGGTCTGTCTCATCTACTCCCTGATAATTTTCGATTTTTTCTTGTTGATCAGCAATTTCCGGGGAACTGGGACGCAAAAGAAAAATGGTACGGAACCGAATACAAGCTCGAAAAGATCCCCAAAGAGTTCATGAAGGAGCTTTGGAAAGCCGCGCAGGCTCCGATAACAGAGAGTCCCTCTATACTTCACTTACCGGCTGTGAACGAGTTTATTCCTCGACGGTTAGATGTTGACCGGAAGGATGTCACAGAACCAGCTCGACACCCTACGCTAGTCCGCCATGATGACCATGTCCGTGTGTGGTTCAAACAGGACGATCGGTTCTGGGTGCCCAAAGCCAATATAAAGATCCTTCTTCGGTCCCCTATAGTCTCAATCACTCCGATGTATGCTGTCATGACACGATTATACGTTGAGCTGGTCGAAGACAGCCTCATTGAATACGCTTACAACGCGGATAAGGCCGGTTTGAGCTACGCTATATCCGAAAGTTCACAGGGACTCAATATAGAGCTAAAGGGCTTTAACGACAAAATGTCAATGCTTCTGGAGAAAGTATTACTAGCAGTAAGAGACTTAAAAATCAAGCAAGAGCAATTCGATGTGGCCAAGGACAGGGTGTGGAAAGCATATAAGAATTTCGACTACATGGAGCCGTACCGGCAAATCAATGCCTTCTCACGCATGTTGATCAACGAAAGATCCTGGACTCCTTTTCTATTGGTCGAGGAGCTTCCAGCAGTGACAGCCGAGGACATAAATTCATACTATCCTCACCTGTTGCGACAGATGCATATTGAGATTCTCGTTCATGGCAATCTAAATAAAGAAGACGCGCTGAACCTTATAGGTTTAGTGGAGTCAACACTCCGCCCACGTCGATTACCAGAGAGCCAGTGGTTGTCACGCCGCACGATTGCGTTACCAAGTGGAGCAAATTACCTATATGAGCGTGGACTGAGAAATCCGGATAACGTCAATAATTGTCTCGAGTATATCATTTCGGTCGGCTCTGTCTCGGATCGCTCGCAACGAGCCAAGCTGCTTCTTTTCTCCCAAATTGCCGAAGTGCCTTGCTTTAGCACGCTGCGCACTAAAGAGCAGCTCGGATATATCGTCAACTCTGCTATAGGAGTCTATGTGACGACCGGTACATGGCGTATCCTCGTGCAAAGCGAGAGGGACTGCAAGCACCTTGAAGAGCGCTGTGATGCATTTTTGGTAAACTTTGAGCATTATCTGCGCGCGATGACCGACGAGACGTTCGAGGAGCATAAGGTCGGATTGATCAATAAACGCTTGGAGAACTTGAAGAATCTGAACCAAGAGACGTCGCGATTTTGGACTCATATTACCAGTGAGGCGCTTGACTTTGAGCAAGGTGCGTTTGCTACTTTCCAAATTGTTCTGATCTATGCCCTGTGCAAAGGCTGATTTGAACGATCAAATTGCCAGTTTATCACGACGTCGAACACATTGAACCACTTACAAAGGAAGACATACTGCAGTTTTTTGACCAGCACATCCATCCCTCTTCTCCAACCCGCGCAAAACTGGCTATACATCTTATTGCACAAGCATCAGCTACAGCAGAAGCTGCATCAGGAGACAGTGCCGTCGCTGTAGGGAACCCTGACGCCTTAGCGTTGCCTGAAACTCAAGACGCTGTAGCAGCCAACGCATATGAGCCTTCAGTGTCACCCGCGATTATTCCCATCAAGATTGACAATGTCAGAACATGGAAGGCAAGTCTGCCGCTTTCGCCGGCTGCAACCCCAGTGAAGGGCCTAGCCAAATTTAAGGAGTTCAATTCGAAGACATGACATTTCTTTTCATGGCCTGCAATCGGAAAGGAAAGCGAATGCTCTATACGAAAGAAAAAGTTACGAGATATAGGAATTGTCTATGGAATTGATCAGCAGAAGTATAAATAACATTGATGTTTATCCTTACCGTCGTAGATCGCCTGCTTCACTGCAGATCATCACTACAATTGAGCATTATCATACCAGGGATGCAACGACAAGGTGCAACGCTTTCCAGTATGTCCTTGTGTAGACTTGCTTGGTGTAGGATGACTATGTTTACTCAATGATTCTATTCTGCATCTTTATTTGACCTCAACATATCAAGTGCCTCTGAGGCCTCTATTCGACTCGACGGCACAAATCTCATCAATTTTCGAATAACCAAAGCAAGAAGAGTAAGTACCGGGTCCGGCTCCCTTCTACTGAGCCTTCGGTCTAGTTCAGACACCTCAACGTCTTTCCGTTTAATTAGCAAACATGCCTTGTATTATGTACGCACAATGGCTTATCTACTCACCTTCTAATAAATCTAAGTCACGCTTAAAGCTCGATTTCATGCGCTCCCATATCGGCTGCCAGTCCTCCGGCAACTTCCCCACAAAACCGATCATCTGTAAGATCAGGACTTCATCTTCGCCTAGGTATTGGAACGGATATGTCCCGAATATGAATGCATGGATCTCATTGTGATGTCAGAATTATATTTTCTGCGCAAGAACAGGAGCAGCGTACTTACCATACATCCCGCACGCCACAAATCAACACGGTAGTCAAAGCAATTGGTGAAAATTAGCTCAGGGACCCGCAATTGCCCTGGCTGAGCAAGTACTTTAGGCTCATTTCCCTGAATGAATGCCTCCCCGAAGTCGAGAATCCGAATATCTTCTTCATCTTCATCTACCCAAGCTTCCCACTCTGCTGGTTTAACTAGTTGCTTCGGTAAGCTGTCGTCTAGTGGCTTGCCGTCGAGTCGAGCTAATTCCTCAACTTCTGGAGATCCGAGAACTGCAAAGAGTTCGTCTTTTGTGGCGTGCGAGAGATTATCACAGCTGAAGGCGATATTTCCGCCGCTTATATCTGTTCCTTGGTAAGTGCCATGGTTGGAGACATAGACTCTTCGCAGAGATATAGGAAGTTTTACAAGGCATAAGGTTTACTTACCCCCATGCCCCATGCCAGCTTCATGAATCAAGCTAACGGCTTCTAGAAGCTGTTCCGACATCCGAAGGATAATGTCCGTCTCAAGGTCATCTCCAAAGGAGTAATAGTCATCAACGACCTTATCGACAGAAGGACCGAGCAACTCGAATACAATACATAAGTGGGTCCCATTAGGGCCCTCATGGGTGAATGAGTCGAGGACCGAAACAATGTATTTTGCAGACGGCTTTCCCTGGGAGCGATCTGCTAATAGATTTAGATGATAAAGTTCTCGAGATCCTTGGGAAGTATCTGCTCTCATAATCTTCAGAGAAACCCATTGATTGTTCCTGTTGTGTGTTAGTAGTAGGGAAAGAAAAAGTCCAATGCAGGACTCAGCTCACTCTCTGTCGTTCGCAAGCCACACAGTAGAAAACCCTCCCCAGCCTAATTTATGATGTATCTCATAACGACCATCCTTGAAGGTGTCTCCCAGGGAGACTGGATGGTATCCACCTGGTTGATACTTCGATAGTTTTTCCTGTGAGTAGAGGAGATTATTTTGCTTGTAGATGGATAGGTCTTCCATGGTCAAGTTGGAAACGACCATTGACGCTAAAAAAACTATTTATTGACAAATTTTTTCTGAAGGTCTCCTGCTGTCAAGGTTATGTTTCTTTCTACGAACTCAGTAACGGATGCATGCTACGTAGTATTTACTTTGAACCTTCGGGGTGGGGACCAGCCTTTCAGACGCGGTGGGGGGAAGCCCATTTGTGGGGCCCGACAGGATCTTAGTGTCGATCGTATCATTCCGGACTTGCTCAAGGGGAATATGCCATTTTCTTTCAGTTCCTGTCTATGTAGCAATTGACCCATCAAGAACTAGTATTTAGTTGGTTCAACCTCCTAATATATGATATGGCAGAAAAGTTCATCATCTGTCTGATGGCATGGAACTAATAATGACACTAATGTAGGTACTACTAGTAGTATTTATTCAGAGAAAGGTTGTCCAAGTGCAATACTACCCTAGTATAAAACAAAAGAAAAAACTGGTTTTTAAGCACCAAGAACTGCACCTAGACACACCCCGACAACAACTAATACGACAATTCTCAGTGTATTATATATTTGGGAAACAAAGTAGGCGGATTCTGAGGATTAGTAGGGAAGCAAGCGAAGGCTTGCAGCACCTTACGTGGGAGATCTTACATGTGTTATGAATAGCCTGCAAATAAGATATTGGTGAGGGCGGTTATCACAGCTGAATGTGTAGCTCCCTCATCAGGATGTCAACTCTATTATCGAGTATCGATCACTTCTAGTTCCTTCTTTCAAGGAAGAAATATGGGAAAGGCAATAGATTGATCATATGCGTTGACAGTGTCCTGCACAATTGCCTCATTGCTCGCGTAGAGACCAGAGTTCGGTGCATTGACATACCAGTTGATCATGGAAATTCGTTTTGGTGCTGATATGCTCTCCCGAAACGAGTATCAGTCACTACCGGTGGTCAATGGTTCCAATCAGGAAACATGAGATTGTACTCGCGAAGAGAGTTAATTGGCACTATGTGGTTGGTCGACAAAACCTGTGCAGCGTCGAAAGTTATCAACTGTGACTGGAGGTGGCATGGGATTCTGTTACTGACTGAATAACTCAAATTCGGGTTCTTTTGTCTATGGCAGTCAAGCCTTTTATGCATCTTGGGTACGTGTTGTACGCGCTCAACAACTGGATTCGGTTCCCTTAAATAACATTGACATTCGCACCATCTATGGAATTAAGCGCCATCAATCATAAGCCTACGATATCTAAAGGGATACTTTGATGTAGGACTGATGTTGCGAGCACTTTCTGGGCCAGACGTATCTAATGCTTTTGAGAGACACTTATTGTCGGAAAGACTCTGCCCCTGAGGAATTAGATCTCATTCGACGAGCTTGCTCTGCTGGTCATAGTTTTCTACTACTCAATTCTAGGCCCAGGATAACACACCCATGTATGTACATCAAGTACCTGCATTTCTGCTACACTCATCGCTCGCAAAGAATCATCAAACAATGCATGGTATTATCACACGATCAATCATTAAGAGACAAAGCACATCTATACCTCAATTTTCATCTCGCGCAATATCCTCGACACCAACTTCTTCTGATCCGCCGGGTTCAAATCATGCTCATCAATCGTAGTCAGACACCGTCCAACAGCTACCGTCGCCTTGACCGAAGTTTCACCTCCACTAGAACAGTCGACCCAGACTTTACCGTTCCTTCCCACGGCGATCTCGAAGCCGCCCGATTTCTCCAGCTTCTTGCCCAGTTCGTCCAACACCACCAACCCGGCCACACCCTCCTGTGATTCAGAAGAAGATGAGCTTGCCCTCATCAACCTCGCAGCCATTCCAGTAGAGATATCAAACACCATTCCCCCGTTCAATTGACCGAGTCCTCCAGGTTCAGCCTTGCCCGTCGCAGGGTTCACACAGGCCAGCTCAACCTCCGCGCCCGCACCCAGGCCGACCGAAAGCACACGCGCGTAAACCAAATCTCCTTGTTTCAGCATAGGACGGGTCTTCTTCGTCGCGCCTTCGAAAGACAGCTGTCCTAGTACTGCATGGGGCGCTTGCGGAGTGATCATGCAGTGAAAATAATCCACACTGGAGTGGTGGACCTGTGCGATGACCAGGTCATTAACGGTAGGGATGTAGCGGCGATTCGGAGTGGAGAGGATAGATACAGCATTCCGCTTGGTGTCTGTAGATAGAATGCCGGCTTGCGTGGCTGTGAGGACATGGCTGGGGGAGGATGATGCTTGAGGGGAAGAAGAAGGCGGTTGCGAAAGTAGACGGAGACCGGGGCCAAGTCTCAATGGTGCGGAATTGGTGGATGGGAGGTATTCTGAGGGGATCTCGTCCCCGGGGAGAAGAACCAGAGGAGATGACATGTTGGATGTGTGTTTACCACTGGGGCCTGCAGTGGTTTTGGGGGGGAAGAAAAGCGTGGAGATTCACGAATGCTGGAGTGGTGACCGCGACGGGCAAAAAGAAGCGCAAATCCAAAGGCTTATCGGATGGATCTTATCGCCACGTGATACTTGTTCTAACAGTAAACGATGCGCGATATACTTGCGGTAAGATGGTAATACCTAAGCAATCATCTCCTCAACTCTCCATATGAAGTCATATATGTGGGCATTAATTGGGCCCCATCAGATATTCGACGGTATTGCTGCATGACTACCGAAATGTATCGTTGCACCGCCACAGTTCCTATCGATAAGCCATCAGCCACAGCTGCCCGCCAATTGCAAACCAGCCAAAATTTTTTTCCTTCGGGGCAAAACGAAGCGCGGCGGTTCGAGAAGCAGCAGCCCGACTTACTTTGACTTGATCCCTCCTCTTCTTCTTCCCTCCTCCCCCCAATCCTCTTCATCTTTTTTCACATCCTACCGTCAAGATGAGCTCCGAGACTAACGGCACCGCTGAGAGATTCGCCATCGGTATCTCCTTTGGCAACTCCTCCAGCTCCATTGCCCGTATCAACGCCGTATGTGAATTTTGTACCCTTCCCATGCGGTTGCCCGCCCCATTGGGACTTTTACACCACCGCTGTGCAAAGTTGCGACAGATCGCTGACTTGACTTGGGTTACAGGAAGGCAAGGCTGAGGTTATTGCCAACGAGGAGGGAGGTTAGTATATATTATGCGCTCTCTAAAAAGTCTTTCTTTGAACGCTTGACTTACCCATCACCAGACCGTCAAATCCCTACCGTCCTCTCCTACATTGATGGCGAGGAATACCACGGTACTCAGGCTAAGGCCCAGCTTATCCGCAACTCCAAGAACACCGTTGCCTACTTCAGAGATTTCCTTGGCAAGGAGTATGTCAACATGTTCTGATGACAACCAGGCGCACATGCTGACGGACTTCCACAGCTTCAAGTCGATAGACCCCACTCCCTGCCACAACTCGGCCCACCCTCAACAGAGCGACTCGACCGTTGCTTTCTCCATCTGCGATACCACCAGCGAGACCCCCAACACTGTCACCGTCTCCGAGATCACAACCCGCCATCTCCGCCGTCTGAAGCAGTCTGCCGCTGATTTCCTTGGAAAGGAGGTCAACGCCGCTGTTATCACTGTCCCCACCGACTTCAAGGATGCTCAGCGTGAGGCTTTGATTGCCGCTGCCAACGCTGCTGGTCTCGAGGTCCTGCAGCTCATCCACGAGCCCGTTGCTGCTGTTCTTGCCTACGATGCTCGTCCGGAGGCTGTCGTGACCGACAAGTTGGTCGTTGTGGCTGACCTTGGTGGCACTCGCTCCGATGCCGCCGTCGTTGCTTGCCGTGGTGGCATGTACACCATTCTTGCCACTGCTCACGACTACGAGCTGGGCGGTGCTCAGTTGGACAAGATCATCATCGACCACTTCGCCAAGGAGTTCATGAAGAAGCACAAGACCGACCCCCGCGAGAACGCCCGTGGTCTGGCCAAGTTGAAGCTGGAGGGTGAGGCCACCAGAAAGGCTCTCAGTCTCGGTACCAACGCTACTCTGAGCATCGAGTCTCTCGCTGACGGCATTGACTACGGCTCTACCGTCAACCGTACTCGCTACGAGCTGCTCTCCGGCAAGGTGTTCGCTCAGTTCACCGGCCTGATCGACCAGGTTGTCAAGAAGGCTGGTCTCGATGTCCTGGACATTGATGAGGTTCGTTCCATTTTATCCATTCTATTTGCAGCATCATATTAACTCTTGCAGGTTATCTTCGCTGGTGGTACTTCCCACACCCCCAAGATTGCCCAGCTGGCCCGCAACATCTTCCCCGAGAAGACCACCATCCTTGCCCCCTCCACCTTCATTGGTGCTATCAACCCCTCCGAGCTGGCCCCCAGAGGTGCCGCCATCCAGGCCTCCCTGATCCAGGAGTTCGACAAGGAGGACATCGAGCAGTCCATCCACCCCATGGTTACCGCTACCCCTCACCTCCAGAATGCCATTGGTGTCGAGTTCACCTCCGGCGAGACCGTTGACTTCAAGCCCCTCCTCAACACCGAGACTGCTCTCCCCGCTCGTCGTATTGCGCAGTTCTCTGTCCCCAAGGAGGGCGGTGATGTTTTCGTCCGTGTCTGCGAGGGTGTTCGTGAGATCAAGGTCACCAAGCCCGAGCCCAAGCCCAAGGAGGAGAAGCCCAAGACCGAAGAGGATGAGGATGACTCTGACTTTGACTCCGATGAGGAGGAAGAGGAGGAGATCCGTGAGATCATCTGGAAGACCGAGAAGCCCATTGCCGAGCTGGCCGTTAAGGGCGTCAAGGCTGGCAGCAAGGTCGAGCTGATGGTTCACGTCAACGCTGACCTTGGCCTGCAGATCACGGCCAAGGAGGTTGGCGGCCAAAGCGCCGTCCGCGGTGCCGTTGAGGCTCCCAAGGCCTAGATCTCCTATTAACGTATAATTTTCTTGCTCATATATCTTTGAACATCTCAAGACTATAACGATGCTTTTCCTTCTATGAATCGATCTAGAATTTTATAACCTGAAATGTTGAACGGTATCTGTGACTGCTGTGGCTGCTTTGCAACTAGCCTTGCATTCATTGTGTGCATGGGGCAGGGCTCAGGGAATCTGTTCTGCATTCTGTCTTGCTATGACTTATTGATGATGATGTATCGATGAAGGCTTCTAAAAGTATATAGAGCTGTTTTGAAGCACAATAGAAAGCCGATGGGTTTCTAGACCACTTTCCTAACGTTACTAGAAAGTAGCATTGTATGGAACCAAAGCTGTGCCGTAGTTGTGCCGTAGACTTTCACCCTTTGCATCTGTAGGACATTATTCATCATATCCTTATGATTCTTAAGCAATTATAGCACAAGTACAGACACTCCGAGTAACACAAGCCCAGTACTCGCAGATAGAAATAAGAAAAGATAATTATTAGCAACAGAAGACAAACGTCTCAGACAATGGGCGTAAGTAACTAGTATTCTCAATTGTTCTCATACATTATACGCGTATAGCCAATTGCCAGTTTCTGCTTTTTTATCGACCATGGGTAGTAATTGACACCTGCAAGTGATGTGCCGCTTATATTTCAAAACGAGGAGAAAGTTGCAATGAGGAAGAGAGTGGCAGTATGCGGTGTCTGCTGAAGAGTCGTAGTAGGTCAGTTTAGTAAAGTACCCCATCCATATCTAAAAGGAGGTGGCACTTGACTGGGACTTAGTGCGAATATGTTGCTGTCTGACTTCAAATTAGTAGTGACTAGCATGGAAGTATTATGATACTGATACAATATACATCACGAATAATGTTGTATCCATAAGCTCTCAGTCATCGGATCAATTCTTTTCAAATAAATTGTATTACAATTAGGGGCAGATAGATATAGAGTAGCAAAGACAGTATAATACATGAGATTGGCCGAGTAAACAGACAAGAGATTCATCAAAGAGACATTAATGTAAGCATGCGTGGACGAGCCCACTCGTTCACTCAGGACGGCGTGTGGCTCCTCAGCCCGCAAAGCGTAAAGTCATCAAAACAGTCAGATCCATACTCCGGTAGACGTTCCCTCCTGTGTTGAGGGGACGAAATAGGCTTGCAGCCGATACCTAGACAATTGTGACAGAAGTCGTTGTACTGTAGTAGGCATCGACGAAATACTATAGCCCAGTTCTTTCATTTCCGCTTGGGTAACATCCAGGAAACAAGACCATGTCGAATTTATGGCGCAGTCTCCTTGTTGCTTCTTACGCTGTTTGAGCGTGCGGACGAGAAGAAACCGCGCCGGCGGTGCTCACGGCCACTGTATCCTCTTTCTTTGCGTCCGACAGCACCACCCATGCAATAGAACATGCATGCAAGCATCAAGCAAGCCACAGCAGTCCACATGAAAGCGAAAGCCTTAACACCCACGCTGGCGCTCTGGCCATTGGCGTTGAACTTGTTGCGGCCCTGGACGTAAACAGCCCTGATGGTTGTCAGTAAAGCTCTGTGTTTAATTCTTGTGTTAAAACTTACGTGATGAGGCAAGTCGTGATGATCTGGAAAACCAAGGCGATCCAAGCCATGAGCGAAGATACATAGCTGCCAATGCGCGTGCACATGGCCAGGAACCCAGTGAACAGCGACACCACGCCAAAGAATAGCGCGATGATGAGGAAGGGGAACGAGAACCGAGATGTCAGGAAGTAGTGGTTCGTGCTGTGGCAGGTTAGGTCGCGATCATAGTATAGGTGAGCCGGCAATTGGGTTCTTGCTTACCCAATGAAAGCAGAGGGGATGTTCTGAGTGGTGTCAAAGTTGCGGTGGCTCGGAGGATCAAACGGGAAGTCTGGGTACGACGATCCGCATAGATTCTTTCCATTCGCCGTCACTGCACATATCTCCCAGAACGTCCAGCGAGATAGGGATGGGGCACCTGGGATATTGCTGGTGTCGACCTGCAGGAAGAAGATTTCGTTCAAGGGCCGCGAGTTTCTCGCTCCGCCCAACAAAGTCAGGAACATCAACAGAAGAGCACCGGCCGTGAAGAACAGGCCTAGGAAGCCCATTGCAACTCCTAGAACACAGATAATGTCAGTTTAGTCGTTGTGCGACGCAGCAGGAACCCGTCCTGCAGGGAATATACTCACTGCTGAGAGCCATTGTGATGGTAATTGATTGTAATTTCTGAGTCTGCGAGTAGGCTGATAATCGAGAGTGTCCCCAGCACAAGCTAGTTTATTGGTTGCGACAGGTATCTATCTATCATTCGGGGGAGAGATACAAGGCCGTATAGATGGGGAAGAAGAACAAGAACAGACGAAGAGGGATCGAAAGGGTCTGCGAGGGAGTGGATATCCGGAGAAGCCGGTGGAGGGACGTGAGAGGGAGGGGGGGAAATAAAGTACCAGGGGAGCCATAGTAGTGATATAATGATGAGGGTGACCTTTCAACAATGAGCGTAACTGCGAATCAATGTTTTCTTTGGATCGACGAGGCACAAACTGGCCAGCCATGACGGCGTCGACGTCATGGTTGCAGCAAGCCCCGCTAACTGTCCTCGGCTAGTCTAAACCTTAGCCTTACGCTATTCCCTTTCAGGATAAGGCTGCCTGAAGGCCTGGGCGCTGAGGCCCATCGTTTCTCATCCATGACGTTGTCGAACTCCCTCTTCCGCTGCAACTTTCGTCCTCTGAACAGACGTTGCACCACCCATCATCCATCCATTGAGTTGGGTACCCGCCTTTGCTCCTCTCGGATCGACGTGGATCACACGAAAGCCAATGCGGATTTTTTCTTCTGTCGACTTCGTCACCAGACCCTGAAGACAAACCCTGCTGCCTACCGTGTCCTGTCCACACCCACTCCCCCCAATACCCCCCATCGCTTCCCTACCGATCCATTGACCACTTGCCGGGCCAAAGGTACAATCGTCCGATCTCCCGAGGGTCGCAACTAACCCGCTGGGTCAATACTCACAATGGCCACTTGGGCTTACCCGCCTGTACCCCCAGAGCGCCTAGAACAGGAAGTCGACTCCGCGTTGGTATGCCCTGTTTTATTTCCCCGTGTCCCGGTGAACCTCAAATTTGAGCCGGCCCGATGGCGCGCATGCATCATCGATAGGGCCAGGACAATACTAACTTTTTCTACCAACTACTATAGGCGAAGGAGCTAGAATGGCTATTACGTTCGCTGCAAGACTCCCTTACCTCGTTACGAGAGGGCCTCCATGAATGCGCAGCCCTATTGGCACCCAAGGAGCCGGGATCAACACTCGTCCTCTCATCTCTACGCTCAGAAAATGTAAAAGGTTTTGTGACTCGGGTTGGGACAAAGATCGTGAAAGGCGTATGTTGTTACTATCCACGTTTGTTGCTTACTATGCAGCCCAGTGTTATGGATCCGCATTCTTTGCGCGCTTTGGCCGTTGCTTATCACAACGTAGCGCTTCGAGGTTGATGCTGATCGAGTCTATTTCTATAGGACATCCAACTCCGTCTTAGCTCCCTTGCCTCGCGGGGCTCGGCCACCACCCGCCTGTGTCTGGCGAATACGCCTACAACACCCGAGCTCATTTTAAGTCAACTAGTATCGGTCAAAAACTTGGTCAACCAAAGTCTGGATATTGTCGATGTAAGCACTTGGACTGGTGACCCGCTCAACGCCGGCTTCATCTACAGCCAACTGCACCTCCTCCGCGAGACCATCAGTGAAGCACGGCAGATGTTGAAGGGCGAAAATGACAAAGTCAGAGGCAAGTGGTGGGAGACAAGTGCGCAAGAGGAGGTAAGTGGCTCTACTTTTGCTTCCATCATTCTAGGCCATGGGCTGAACTGTAGTCGTAGATGTTTGATCCCCCGCTACCGGCGTACTTATCGTTCCATCTATCCATTGCGGATTCGGCTCTGGTCCTTTATTTGAGGACGCTAGAATCTAATACCCCCGTTCACACGCCAACCGCATTCGCGACTGATATATCTCTGACCGGGTTCAACCTGCGGGATCGGTTGTTTGGAAGCCGCCATCGTCCTCACGATGAGGCAGGCGATGTTTTCACCTGGAAAGGAGATGAAGTCAAAGTGAGGGAGAAGATCCGCGTAGAGAGCCAGGACCCTAGCCTTATGGCCGTGATGGCCAAACTAACCGCTCTTGAGCACGAAGTGATGAAGTGGATATCAGCTCTGAAGGTGCTCATGGGTAACGAAGATACGGACAGCGAGTCCCAGTAGTATCCCCAGCTCTACTATAGTTTGTAAATAGCGACTATTAATATGCACCCATCATTCCACCTCTAATTTGGGATGGATGCAAGTCCATTGCTGATGGTTCCTAAGGCCGCAACTGGGTCTAGATGATTATGTAATAAAAGGTTACTTAATCAGCCAATAGGAACAGCGGAATTTCTGATGGACATGCGGCTTGGCGCGAGTTTTCCTGGCAAAAGCTCTCCAGTGGCAAGTCGATTTCTTCCAGGTACAAGCTCCTGATACTTGCATCTCGAGCCGTGGAAGGGTTGACGATGCTGTCACGATCTCCGGCAGTCAGGGCGACCCGGTCCCATCCCCATGGCCTTTTACGTCCGGTCGTATTCAGGTCGCCGCAGACCGGTTCGCAGCCACTCCGCCGCGGAGCTGCGAGCTTCAGAGCTGGGCGCCCCAGAACCTCAATCGCCCGCAAAGCGTCCCCATCGACCTTACACTTGGAATCTCTACTCAAGGAAGCTCCCCACGTTCACTCTCAGCCATGGCTGCACGGCCTGCGGCATGCGTCGTCCACGACACCGACGGAGACCGATCCCGATGCGAAGAAGGATACCATCTACGCCTTGGTCGACAAGATCAATCAAACGGATCTGGAGATGGCTGAGCTTATGTACGAGCTAGACCTTTTGGACGACCATGAGAAAGCGCTCAACCTCGAAGGTCTCGATTTCGATTATGCGTTGAGTCAGACGATCGGTCACCGGGACGAAGAAACGTTGGATGCGCGGGTGCGGCAAGCAAGACAGGAATTTGGTGAATATCTTCCGGAGGGGCTCTTGAATGATAGAGAGACTCAGCTGTACACTCGGTTGTACGGCGAGCCTGTCTATCTTGCGCAGGAGTCTGAGCTGGATCTGGTGGAAGAAGGAGAAGAGATAGATCCGGATAGGCTGTACCGTGAAGATGGCGAGGGCGGCTGGGAAGAAGTCGAGCTGGATGGATCTGAGACACACGATGAGCCTCCGTTGGTCTATGATATGGAAGCTCCGCCGTCAATCGAGGAAACGATCACGATGCAACGGACGAGAGAAGTCGCCGAGCAGCTAGGCGGAGAGATTATGCTCGAGCAGTTCGAAGATGAGGCAGCATCAGACTCGGCTCCCAAATTCCATCCTCTAACAACGATGGGAAAGTTTTCCACCGATCCCAGCACTATATTCATACCGAAGGATAGCGTGACGGGCCCAATCTCTGTCATTCTGTCGGACTTCTCCAACAAGCATATTGCGGACACCGCCCATCGCACACTTGGCGGCCAATACCTTCCTTATTCTACTACAACCCCACCCTTGCGCTTGCAAGCTCCTCAACAGCCGATTCCTCTAGAAGCGTCCCAGCGGTACATGAGCGAGATGGAAGCCAATGTCTTCCTTGCCGCTCTCTACCCCGGCATGTATGCGTCTGTGCTGAGTGTTCTGGTGGAAGTCCGTAAACGCTTGGGTACGGACTGGATCCGGAACCTGATGACACAAGAAGGCGGACCCCATGTCCTCGATGTCAGCGCCGGCGGTGCAGGTGTCTTGGCGTGGAGAGACATCCTTCGTGCTGAGTGGGAAGCCATGACCCCAGAGCAGAGCCCGGAGGACCCCTATCCCGTGGGCCGGTCGACGGTTGTTACTGGATCCGACACTCTTCGTCTCCGTGCCAGCGCGATGCTCGAAGACACCAGCTTCCTCCCGCGGCTGCCCGACTACGTTCACGTCCGCGAAAAGCCAACCTTGCAAGACGAGCGGGCTCCGCCAAAGCGGAAACAGTACGACATTATCATTGCTCCACACTCGTTGCTCGGAATCGAGGAAGAGTTCCTCCGGAAGGAACATGTACAGAACCTGTGGAACCTCCTGAACCCCAACGGGGGCGTCCTGATCCTCCTCGAGAAGGGACACCAAAAGGGTTTCGAAGCCGTTGCCGGAGCGCGTGACATGCTCCTGAAACGATTCATCTCCAGCCCCGGATCTACCAGATATGAGAATTTGACAGATTCGCCCGAAGAAGATACATTCATCGAGAAAGAAGCCGGCATGATCGTCGCTCCCTGCACCAACCACAACAAGTGCCCCATGTATCAAATCCCCGGCCATACCAAGGGCCGTAGAGATTACTGTCACTTCCAACAACGCTACATCCGCCCAGCCTTCCTACAGCGCATCATCGGCGCTAAGGATCGCAACCATGAGGACCTGAAATTCAGTTACATCGCCGTCCAGCGTGGCGTCGACCGGCGTATCGAGGACAGCATCATCCAGGGCACCGAAGCCGCAGATGCAGCCTTTGACGGCTATGAAGACGCAGTCGAGATGCCGAAGCAAGAAACCGAAGCATCAGCCAACGAAGCTGTCGCATCAGAGACTCAACCTTCACCTACCGAACAACAGGAAACAGGAGGAGTCAACTTCCTCTCCCTGCCCCGTATCGTCTACCAACCCATGAAGCGCCGCGGACACGTCATCTTCGACCTTTGCACGCCGGCTGGCAAGATCGAGCGCTGGACCGTCCCCCGGTCGTTCAGTCGGCAAGCGTACAAGGATGCGCGCAAGTCCCAGTGGGGAGACCTGTGGGCTCTTGGTGCGAAGACTCGTGTTGCAAGATCCTTGCGACTCGGTGAGAAGCATGGTGAGGGTAAGAAGGAACGACTTGCTCGGCGGGCTGCTGAGAAGCAGGAAATGGAGGAAGAGGAAGAGGATGCATTGGAGGAGAGAATGGAGCCTACCAGCAGTATGCCTGACATTCAGACTCCGCTTAAGAAGAAGGGTCAGAAGATACCCAGTTGGGAGAAGCAGCAGCTTAAGAAGAAGCGCAGACAGGCTTTGAAGCAGGTGAGACCTTCGGCCTAAGGTTACTAGGCCTGGGCTTGGTTGTTCTTTTTCGGGTATCTACATCGGAGTCAAAAGTGGCGTATAGAGGGTTTGGATTGCTTCCTGGCTAGGAGCATCGTTTGTGGGTTGGGGAAGGTCATTGTATTTTATTCCTGTACGATATATGACATGTAGTATAGACCATAGCTGTTGGTTGTAAAAGACTTCTTCACTCAATGGCACACTCTCCATTATTCATTCACTTGTGCATGGACGTTACACATAACAGGCGGGGCAGCTCTATAGATCCGTCTGCAAGTGCCCCAGGGACTTTTATAACGAGCGTTCCACTTGAACACTCAATATTCCCAGCACAGTCCTCCAGGTCTGGCATCTTCCGCTCATACTGGTAAGGGCACAATGGCTATGGCTCCGCCGGTGGTCCTCCATTCACTGCGGCTGCAGTTTCAGTATGCAGCGTCACATGTAGATCATAGTGATAGCTCGAGTACGGCCGTTGATCGATATCTGGCCGCACATCACGCATCCCCAGCTACACTTTCTGACGTGGTGTAACCTCTTCTGGCTTTGAAACCAATACCGTCGCCACATAGCTCTCATTCCTCTGCTGTCCTGCACTCGCAGAATCGTCCCAAGCGGCCTGAGCTGCCCATATCATTCCAGTTGTCGCAAAACTGAGCAAGCATCATCACATCATCCATCCCCCCGCTCTAGTGAAACGCCATACTCTTCCTCAACTGCCTCTCCCTCTGCGTACTCTGCAGCTCCAACCGCTCCACTGCATACTGCAACCGTTCCTTCTTCTGCATTAGTCTCTTCAGCTCCGCCGCCTTCGCAGCCTTTCCTGAAGCGCCCGCGCTCTGCAGTCGATCGCCAAAAGCGCTACGCATCCGAGAAGGCTGACGGCTCTCATTAGAATACATTCTTCCCTCTTGCAGCTCGCATTTAGCTCTCAGGCCTTGTTCTCGCCGCGAGAGCTTCTCCACATGGTTCGATGCTAGTGAGAGCAGATGTGCGATGCTGGGAGTGATTTCATCTAGGAGGGACTGTTGGGCTTCACGCAGAGTGGGTTCGGGGAGGAGTTCAAAGTGCTATTGGGGTTAGATTTGGTGTTTGATATTGAAGGCAGGGGGTACGTACTCGGGTTGTTTGCAAGACCTTGCATAGTCGGGGAAAGTCGCTAATGCCAGAGTCGAGGGTGGAGATAGAGGAATCGAGGAGTTGGAGGGAGGATCCGAGGGATGAGACGGAGGCTTGGAGGTGATCCGCCATTGAGATTGTGTTCGGATGGAATATCGGGTATCTGCTGCAAGTAAAGAGTGTAGTGCCTTATTTTATCGTTATCGTGATTGTTGATTGTTTACTGCGGAGGGGCAACCGGCGATACGCAGCAGTAAAAGCGGCGCGGCAATTCCTTCCCGAAGCGTTAAAGCGGCCGGGGCTTCGGACTCCCGGACAAACCTCGTTGTACCCGCTCTCGTCTCGTCGCTCCTTCACCAGCTGCTCCAACTCCCGTCTTTCCTCCATACCCAGCACTTCGCTTTCAATCAAACGATCTGCCCACCATGTCTCTCCTCGGAAAGAAGTTCCCCACCCCCGTTGGTATGTTTGCCGTGGTCCTGGCGCGCCCATGCTGGGTCGAGAGATGAGAATATGAACTGACCTGCTTTGCTCATTTAGCCAAGCCTCTGGGCCCCTTCTTCGCTGCCGGTATGCATGCAGACCTATTACCTTGTTGGGTGGCTTTGTCTAGCGGGATAGCTATGCGGATATGGCGGAATAGCTCCATTGAAGCATGTTGAGAGAGGGGTAAAGCGGCTTTCTAACGGTGTTTCGATCACAGGTCTGGTCATCCTCTACGGCGTCAACTCTTTCGCCAACGTCATGATGTCGAGTAAGTGAACCTGTCACGACATTTTTCAATATCAGCACATTACCAAGCATCCGCTTGAATCCAACATCGAGACTCGCTCCATCAATTCGACTGCACACGCTAACCTCGGTTGTTACAATTTAGCCGCCGAGTTCAAGAACGACCCCCGCAACCCCAACCTCAAGAACCAGAAGCATTAAATTAGCTCTGGGTGAATTTCCGAGCACGCGGATATGGCGGATGAATGCGTGGCTGTTGTGGGTAGTTTGAGAGCCCCTGTTGCTGCGGGTTCGCCGGTCATTCGAGTTTGCGGGCATTTACTGTGTATAAGCTTATAGAAGATACCGTCATACGACATTTGCCGAATTGATATGTTGTATACCTACCTTTCTCTTGCTTGTGGTGGTGTATCGCTGGGGGGTGTGCGGGATTGATGGGATGGCCGGAGGACTGATACGTAGGCCGCAGATGGATATGTGATGGATGGGAGCTTGTAATTGTTTGCGTAGGCGTAGTGTGGCGCGCTTCAATTCGTACGACATGTGCAGTTATAGTAGTGGGCATGTATACTGGACCTTAGCTTTAAGGACGACGGACATACACTTGGTCATGAAGAAGTCTCGTGCTTATGGAGTGCAGTTACAAGCCGGGCTTCAATGCTACAATGTAAAAGAAGAAACCTATTCTCATTCATTCTGACTCTATGGTAATGCATACACAGCTTCGAAGTAGGCCTAGATTTTTGATAGTGCGCGTAGGTTGCACGGTCAAGGTAACAAGATACAGATGATTCTTTACCATCTCACCAGAAATGACCATATTCTCCATGAAGGAACCCATCATACATAACACATTATAGCCTATAATATTCAACTATCCCATACGTAATGCCTCGTATATACAACCTAAAAATCTCCTGCCATCCGGGTAGAAAGAGATATATGCCCCTAACCCAAACAGGCAATCCGCATCCCGACTCCCGTGACTTCGCCGCTCCGGCCAAAACCTCCGCCATCAAATCCATCCCCAATCGCATTCAAGCCAGAACAGCGCCAGGAAACCCCCTCACCAGCCAATATGTCGCAATTCCGGTCCAAGATCCTCGACCTCGGCGGGTTCATCAACCCCCGTGTTGTCCGCGACCACACCAAGCGGAAGGTTTTCGAGCAGTTCGAGCCGGAACGGTAATTTCAACCTACCTGCTGAAGGTCGAGCCGAACAGCTACTAATAGATTTATTCTGATATATAGCCAAGCTCTTCGCTACGTGATCCACAACACTTCCCTCCCCCAGCGTGTGCGCGCCCAGGCCCAGCTCCAGCTCGCTTCCATGCACGCCTACACTCGCTCGACGCAGATCAAGAACCGCTGTGTGGCGGGTGGTGTTCCTCGCAGTGTTATCCGGGCGTTTAGACTTGGTAGAGTAAGTTTATCCATAGGGAGGGGGTATTTGGTTGGATAAATACTAATAGTTGGTTTGTGCAGTACCAATTCCGTCAGCAGGCGCTGGCCGGTGAACTCCCCGGTGTGAAGAAGGCCAGTTGGTAAATTGCTATGGATTCATGCGAAAAGAATATATTTGGTAGCTTTCGTTTGGTTCGGCGGGTTCCTGAAAGGCGTTTGTTTCTTTCCTCCGTTTCCTTGTTGGTCAGAGGACTTGTACAATAGGTTTTTTTAGATGATGAGGAATACTACATCCCTTTTCATCGTCTTGGGTACTGTCCAGCTGAGCTGGTTCTTGATCAATTCGCAATGGGTGGTTGCGATGATGGTATGGTCAATTTTCTAGGATTGTGTTCGGCATCATCCATGGCTAGATGTGACACCGTCGGATCTTAACGATTGGTCTGCGCAGTGAAGGCGGATGTTACATGAAGTACTAAGCTATGCATTGACAAACGCCTGCACTTGGCTTCACTTGACATTCACTGGCATTGGTTGGGAAGTTGCAGTTTCTGTTTGGTTCTTTTGTTTGCTCCTGCCATTCCTTTGCTTTACTCTAGATCTGTTGTCTCTGCCTCCATATCTCATCTCTCTCTTGCTGAATCCGCTCCCTATTACTTACGCACTCGTTTCCTCGTCATCATCGAATTAAAATCGCCAGAATGTTCGTCTTCAGCCGAAAGGACCTCCCTGCGGAAGCTGTCTTCCCCGCGGACCTGGAGAAATTGGGGTAAGAGGGACTGAGATGAGACCCATTGCACAATTCATCTCAACTAACTAAGGTCAGGTACTTCATCACCAAAGATGACCAGATCAGAAAGATCTCCGCACCAAAAGAGGAGTTCCAATTCAAGATTAACAGGAACGAGCGCTGGAACGAGATGCAGCGAGAGGCCATGAACAGTACGCCTTCTGAACGCCACTCTTCGTGTATAACTAACCACTCTATTTGATAGCATGCATTCGCAACATTGTCCTCTCCCGTCTTCGCAACCTCGGTCTCATCTCTCTACGTCTTCCACTGACAGCTCGACCTACCGATGCGCATGTTCCCATCCTCATCTCCAAGAACCTGTCTACTGCTTCCCGCGTCATCGTTGTCTTCGGGGAGCCCGTACAAGACCTTGGCATCTGGGCTTACCGGACTCTCAGCAGCGATGGCATTGAAGTTGGGTCGGCGGTTGCATTTGCGCGGGCTGTTCTGAACCAGGAAGACACGGCGCTTGTCCTGGCAAATACCGGGCAATTGGTTTGGCACTGTGGATCTGGTAAAGCGATGACACTGACGTCCTGGCCTTGCGTTCCTCGAGAGTCGGCTGTAGATCCTCCTCTGGTTATGACTCGTCGGAACAAGATCCCTGGAAATGGGGACTGGCAGGAACATATTCAGTATGTGTTCGAGGAGATCTTGGCTGCTCGGGGTCGGCTTGTTAGGGCTGATGCGAAGATTGGGGTTGTTGGGTTGGATGACGGGGGGCTGGGTGTTATCCGGTATTTGGGGAGTAATTGTAGGTTTTTCTTCTTGTTTCAAGGTTGATTAGTAGCTGGTTGTCTGGTATCTAGCTAACAAATGACAGGGGAAGCATGGCGTCCATATATATCAGCAATTTGTCTCACCAGCCCATTTCATCGCATGGGTGTTGATTTCGGAGACAAGGGCGGTAAAGAAGCAAAGGATCCCTCATCGTTTGTGAGCTTTGTTTCCTCACGGTGCCGTGGATATGTCCTGTCTGAGCAGGCTCTCGGACTGCCTGTCCCTGCTCCTGAGCATCATGGGTGCAACTGCTATTCGTCTGGCGAGGCGCTGATTTCTGAGTGCATTATGCCCAAGGCGTGGGAGGATATACTGAAGTGGCTCAATAAGACTTTGGAGGACCCGGATTTTTGCGAGGCTAATTTGATGTTTAGGGAGTTTGAGGGGCATATGGGGGGTGATGCTATAGAGAGAGTTGCCGAGCTTGAGGAAGAAGATGATTGATATTGCTTGCGCAGTATACTTAGCACCGATTTCTTTTGTGAACAAATCTTGACAGCCAACGTGCATACTATGTCCATCATTAGTCCATTATACAGTTATACATATCTGTAGAGTGTAGCACGTCAAATAGTAGTAAACGCTATTCGCTACTCCCATCCCTCTGCATATCCACATTCTTCTCCTTCTCCTCCCATTTCTCTCTCACCCTCCTCCTCAACCCCCCATTCACACCCCTTCCCCAGATAACCTCCTCCTCTTTACCCCCAACCCTCTCCGCCCCATCATCATCACCCTGCTTAACCTTCCCCCCAACCCTCTCACTTTCCACAACCACCTTCCTCTCCTTCACCCTCCTCTCCCTCCCCTTTGCAACCTCCACCTTTCTCAAATAAATCGCATATATCATCACCTCCGCCACCCCCACCACCACCGCCGCCCCCAGCGACACCAAAACCTTCACCGACTCCGATACCCCTTGCCCTGTGCCCGTTCCCCTCCAAATCCTTGCTACAGTGGAGACTAGCATCTCGGGGGACCGGAAACTCCGCAGAGCCCAGTACACGCTGAACCCAGTGATGAGGACGGAGAGGAAGATGTTTAGGACGAGGCCGGGTGTGAGGGGGTCTGTTTCTTCATTTTTGTTGCTAGATTTGTTGTGCAGGGCTTCGAGGGTGGGAGTTGAAGAGGAGAAGATTGAGGGTTTGGTTGGTGCTGGGGTTCTGGATGATGGAGGGAAGAAAGCGGATGAGGAGAAAGTCGAGGATGAAGTCATGCGGTTGTAGGCGTCTGTTTCGGCTGCGGCGAGAAGGCGCGCTTTGAGGGCGAGGTATTCGGGGCTCTATATTTATTGTCGTTTGTTAGTTTTGTGTATGCTTATTGGTATAGTGTTGGGGAGGTGTTGGAGATAGGTGTTTACCGGCTCGGGTTTCTTGGGCGGCGGAGGAATGTAGACTTTTGTTCCGCGGAGGAGGGAGTTCAGGGTTTTGGTTTCATCAATCGAAGAGGTGGAATTGGAGGTATCTGTTTGTCGGAAGTATCGAGCTACTCTGATCAATTGGTCGTGGGAGATTGGGTCCTCCAGGTTCAAGGTATCGGGGAGGGAGAAGTCATGTCGCGAGGTAGGAGGGAGGGCCTCGATGGCGGCGAGGATGGGAGGTGTTGTTGTTAGGAGAACCATGGCGTATTATGTATCTATATCATTCTGTTTGTACAGCTGTGCGAGGTGGAGTTGGTTAAAGAAAAGGAAGAATAGTTGTAGATACTATGCTGATGATGAAGATCGCCGCAGATGACACCATTCCCAAACAGGCAATCAACTCCCCCACTCCATCATTATCATTATTCCTCGCTCTCTCCTCCGCGGCTTGCAGTACATCTCTTTACCTCCGCCCTCCTCTGTCTATTATATACTCCGGCCTGTCTGCCACCTATTCACCATGGCAGACAAGAAGACTTCCTCGTAAGTACTCCATATCCAGTACCCTCGAAAAACTCACTTCTCCGTACACCTTCGCTGTAGCCCACCCCTCCCCTCTCAACCCAAATATCCCCAAATCACAACCCCCCTCCAACTACAACACCCACACCCCCCCCTCAACAACCACAACCCAGAACACGACTAACTCTTCCCCCCCCCCCCGGGAAATCCAGAGTAACACCCTCCACCAACCCGCGCGGCATCCCCGCCGCCCCCTTCGTCGACAATGTCGCCGACTACGTCTCCTCGCGCAGTGAAGTCGAGCCGACACTGCGCTCCTTCCAAGAGATGATCTCGAAGTACCAATTCATGGAAGTCAACACGCAGCGGCGGGCCCAAGGCCTGCGCGACAAGATCCCCGACATCAAGAAGACGTTGGAGATGGTGCGGTTCCTGAAACTCAGAAGAGAAAGCGCCTCGGACAAGCCTCTCGAAACGAACTTCGAACTGAACGATACGTTGTACGCAAGGGCGACGGTCTCCCCCGCCGACACGGAGGAAGTGTATCTCTGGCTTGGCGCGAATGTCATGCTTGCGTACCCGATTGAGGAGGCTGAGAGCATGTTGGATGACAAGTTGTCTGCTGCGGAGAAGAGTCTCGGGAACTGTGAGGAGGATTTGGAATTTTTGAGGGAGCAAATTACGGTATGTCCTTCTCTCGAGTTTCTTTTTCTATGGTTTCTGGGGCTAATGGTATTTGTAGACGCTTGAGGTTGCGACGGCTCGGGTTTATAATTGGGATGTGGTGCAGAGACGGAAAGAAAAGGCGGAGGGTAAAGGAGATGATGAAGGGGAGAAGGCCGCTTGATATCATTTTAGAGAGATATGATACTTTTAATGTACTGTTTTTGTTGTTTCTGGTTCTGTCTCCGACTACCCTTTTGTATGTATTTAGTGTCAAAAGCAGGCATGGATATAAAAGTCTACATGAAAACTGAGAGTATGAAACCATACAATGATGTCCATTGCGCCAGTGCCATTATATAATCTATGATCGCCGAAAAATAAACATGTAGACCACGCACGCTCGTCCAAACACTAGCTCAACATCGATTAGAAATATATTAAGTCATGCCAGCAGCTGTGCATCTCGTAAATCATCAATCGCAGCATCTGTCTCTCAAACCAGACCTTTGCAATCCCAAAGTGGAGAAGCCGAATCGAAAGCAATATTAAAGGCATATATCACTGAATAGAGCAAATGCCACAGTTCGTAAATCATACGACGGGAACATCTCGTCGGTTAGCAGTTCACGCGGAGCCATGAGTCCGTCAACACGCAATCATATTATCCACATCAGGCGATACTCGGCCGCATCTCCAACTCGGTATCGTCCTCGACAATTGTCCACTCCTCCTCGGGTACGTCCTCATCCGCTTCCTGCTCTGCCACTGTCTTCGCCGATGGCGTGGGCGAGAACGGCGTCGAAGATACATTGGAGCGCGCTTGAGCCAGGGTTTTGGCGTACTCTAGGTCACGGTAGATCGCTTGGATAGCCGTATCCACCCCGTCCTCCTGTTCGATCGTTAGCAGGTCAGCATCACTAGGTTGTAACCAACTTACACTTCGGATTTGCGCCCCTAGCTTGTGGGCTTTAACAATCATGCGCTCGTCATGAGTTGCCTCCCACAAAGCCCGTGAGAACATCGTCACGTTCAGCTTCTTTAAACAGATCCCCACGCCCAAGTCTTCAACTCGCGTTCCGAAAAAGAACTGGTCGCCAAAGAATGGCTTGACAATGGTAGGGACACCGGCGCGCAGACTTGCTCCGGTAGTTCCAGCGCCACCATGGTGCGCGGCGGCATCGATATGCGAGAAGAGCCAGTCGTGAGGTGCTGATTGAATCTGGTAGATCTCCGGCGGGAGAGGAACCTCTGATTTCGCACTAGCCGGGTCTCCTAGACGATCAGACCAGCCCTTGGACAGGATGCAGCGGACATCGGCCTTTTGAACGGATTCGATGACAGTGCGCGTGAGAGCGGAAGGATCGGACACAACGATTGACCCGAACCCGATGTAAACGACCTTCTTCTCATCCTTGCGAGCACGTTGGATAAAGTCGACCAGTTCCGCTGGAGGGGTCCAGTCAGAACCCTCACTGAGAAACCAGTACCCAGTTATGCGAATCCAGTCTGGATAGTCTAGCGGTGGGGGCACCACGGTGGGGGAATAGTTGTAAAGGAATGGAACCTTATTCGGCTGCATCTTGTCCAGACCGGTTGCCTTCAAACCCAGTTCTTTCTTCCGCCAGCGGTTCACCTGTCCTGCAACTGACTTCCAAAATACGTTATCAAACATGACGTAGGTGATGTAGTTGTATGCACCGCCCATCTTGTGCTCAGGAACCGCAAATGCATGGGGATATGCCCGTGTTCTTGACCAAGGCATTGTAAAGGCGCGGAAGTATGGGATTCGGAGTGCCTCGGCGATGTGTATCCCAGCCATCGCACTTGGGGATTCGATGAGGAGATCTGTGTCCTGGCAAGCTTTCCACGCAGACGACAGCAAGTCGTCAATCCATCCCCGAAACTTTGCCGTTGCCTCTTTGAAGAACGAGTAGGTAAACATTCCGTTCTCTACACATATCCGCATAAGTTCTGCCGGATCACCATCGACTAGCGCAAAGTCAATGCCATGCTTTCTCACCCAAGGCTCAAACTCCGCGTGAGTTGCAATCTTGGGCCTATGCCCTTCTGCAAGAAGGCCTTTACACAATGCAATGTACGGTTGCACATCGCCACGGGAGCCTATTGTGAGACACGTAATTCTCAACGATTCGGTGGGCTTGAAATTGATGATGGAGGCGCGAGGGTCATCAAAGATGGGATGCAATTCGTTGGATTCTGTCATCGCCGAGCGGGAGCTGTGCATACCAGTGATGTCCAGCCTGGCCTCCTGTAGCAAACGGTGCTCTGCTATGGCGGATTCAGACTCATCCTTCTCTTCGCACTCTGCAAGTAGTCCGGACGCCATTAAAAACTTCGTAGACTCAAGGCCTTTGTGCAGCGTAACAGCGCAATCGTCTCGGATGTCAGCTGTGCCAAACTCGAAGAATAACTCTTCGTGACCTCGAATAACGACAACGAGCCCATGGCGGCCAAAATTGAACCCTTTTTCCTTATCCACATTTTCGACATCCTTAAGCGGAAGGATCATCTTCGTACGAGTCCCAGGCATAAGACTGCGAAAGCACAGCTTTTTCTGGCTAATATAGATCTTGCCGTACAGTGGGATCATCCGATGCAGCCACGCAAAGTATGATGCCTGCAACTTCTCACTTGGTGGAAGGGCAAAGTGTTCACGGAATCGGTCACCGTCTTTACAACCCGCCTCGAGGTCTTCGGGATCAACGGCCTGGTCATCCGGGAGTATGTTCTCGGATTCTCCGTAATGCTTGCCACCACCGGCCCACATACCAGAAACCTTCTCTAAATAGCCCATAGATTCACTCGCCAGCAAGTTGCTCATCTGCTTTGATCGTGTCTTCAAGTACTCAGCGAATCCAGCGGCACGCTGCAGGGGATACACCCCAGCCCGGACAAGCTCATTCAAAGCTGGAGTGGAAGGGTGAAGTCCAGAAGGAGTCTGAGTATCACGGTCAGACTCGCTCACGGCGTACTGTATCTCAGGACCGTTCCTGGTCGTATGCACCGACCGCGCTGTCTCGTCCGAGTGCCGACGAACAGTCTTCTCTGCGCCCGAAGGGCCTCGTCTCATTGTACGAATCGTAGGCGACTGAAAGACATCGCTTCGGTTCAATATCTGGCTGGCAGACTCGGTGGTATCCGTCATGGATTGCAGAATACCAGATGCCTCAGTTGCTTGCTCAAAGGAGTTTCCGAAGGACAAAGACGAATCCTGTTGTCTGATAGGCGGAGACATACTCAAGGCATCATGCCCGAAACTGAACTGCCCCGTGCTTGCGCTTCGTCTTCGATTGCCAGACTTTCCAATGCCCCGAGATTGGCTAGTCGTGCTGGTGATCGACCACCTATTTTGAGAGCCACGGGTACGGCGAGAACGAGATGCCTGTTCAGGTTGTGGTGATAAGGTCTGTTGCGACCGCTTCATAGGCGTGTCGGCAACGAGACCTTTTAGGAAGTTGAATGCATCCTGTCCGTAATTGAAAAAGGTGAAGTAGTACTGCAGTACAGTCAGCAGTGAGCGTTGGATGCCAAAAGTCGGACACGTACCTCATCGATAGCGTAGGTTTCCTCACTCTCCACCACGCGGATTTTGAATGTTTCCGCAAAGTCTACCATGGGACTCTCTTCGATGTCGATGATGCTCTCAATGGGGAAGGAGATCTTGACGCTGCCCTTGTCGTTGTGTGTGCGAAAGATGACCTTCTGCAGAGCTTTGACCCACTCTTTGGCGCTCGAGGAGCTATCGGCTCTGAAGTAATATGTTCGCTGGTCGGTGGTGACTTGGAAGTCTTTGACTTCTCGCCCTTTGTCTTTTGGCTCCGCTAAAGAAGCCGAAATCCCGTAGCGGAGATCAACATGGCCGCTGGGAAAGTAGAGTTTCGATGGGTCTGCATAGTATGAGAGGACGTCCCCTTTCAGCGAGAACCAATACCGGTTGTATTTGGGGTTCTTTCGGCCACGTTTATAGACATATCCGGACTTAATGGCCACGGTGGACTTCCGAGGGAGGTAGGCGTAGAAGCAGACGTGCCCTTCTGTGACATACATGTATCCCTGCAGGAGCATGCTTTGCAAGAAAGAGCATGCGTACTCAACGAGCACCTTCTCCGGTGCCTCAAAACCGAACATCTCCTTTAACCGCAGCGAAAGTGCTGATGCAGATTTCTGGGTAGAGCCCTCGTTACGGTTTTCTTCCGTAGTAGACGGGGCGCCTTTAGTCGAGTCCTCTGTATCCAACAGAGCCCGTGCTTCTACCATGCGACTAAGAACAGGGGCTGCCCTAGGAGTGACACTGCGAGGCCGTTTAGGAGTGGAAGCTCGAGACATTTCATCACCCGTCTGAGGCTCAGACTGTACAGCCGGTTCCTGGCCTTTGTTCTGTTTCGAATTTATCTTGAACGGGCGCAATAACTTATGATCGGATATTGTTCGTCGGTGGCGACGCCCGCGCTCCGGGGTCGGGCTCTGCGGCTTGGGGGATAATCGCGGCGAGTCATTTCCGCTCCTCTTTGGCAGTGCACCAGCGGTAGCAGACAAGTTCTCGGCGTCTTTGCGGGCACGGCTCTCATCCTCCCCATCACTATCACTCGACTCGTCGTACCGCGCATGAAACCCAGATCTCGAACCCACCGCAGCAATCATGCCGAATATAGACTGGTGCATATACTGCATATGACCCTCGCGAGGCCCCATACCGCCAGGGGGGGCACTAAAATCCACCTGCGAGTCGTCATCATCATCATTATCGTTCCTTAGTCGTTCTGGCAGAACACTGGCGAACATGCGGCTATTCGATATGGACTGCCTGCTTGCGCTGAGCCTACGGTCCACCCGCCGCTTTGCGTCATCTATAAAGGGTCGCATTTTCGGTACATAGGAAGAAAGTGTAGGACAAAGCGAGCGGGAATGAACAGGGTTCAAAGGAAGTAGTTGTTACGGTAAAACCCAGGGGACCCGGGCAGATGACAGCGCTGAAATGTGATCCGGGCTTCACGGCTTAAGGTAAGTCAGTAGGTTCAAGTCACGTTAGGACCGTGGACGAATAGATACTCGACTAAAGGCCGGTGATCAAACATATTAGCTTAGATCCAGCTCGATCGGGCATAGGGAGAGCTCTGCTTCGGGGCAAAAACAAAAAAAGCAACGAAAAGGAAATGTGACACCCACAGCGTCCACACACACACACACAGCTGAGAAGTTGATAAGCACCGTTGGAGTAACGGTACGGTTCCGGACAATGAGAGCCGTCAAAGCAGGAGAGACTGGGGCGTGCGAACCATGGCCGGAAGAGAGAGAGAGACTAAGACATGGCACGAGAGAGCAGAAAAAATAAAGGAGCGAGGAAGGCTTAAGCGGTCGAGCCAGCAGCCTGTGCGATGCAGAAGCAGAGCAACATGGAATGGATGAATTAGTAGTAAGTAGAAAGATGAGCCAACGACTGATTTGGGGGGTCTGGCGTCACTTGCCCGTATCAGCTGTCCGCCTGAGTATCTGCTTGTCCAATCACAAGTATTGCATGTGATTGCGGTAAGGCCCGCAGCCAGTGAGAGGACGACGCTGATAGGCTGGTGTCATTAGCTAATTATTGGGGAGGTGGTAATAGTCGGTAAAAATACCGACACACCGTCGCGGCGGTGCAGGCGCAAGGGGACCCTGGGAATTCGTGAGAACCAGGATATTCTATGCTTCTTCTATTCGATCAGGGCCAGTCGATCAGAAGGACTGATGTGTCCCAGCACAATACGGTGTAGGGGCGATCTACCCGAATAGTAGCCTGACAGACACCCTCCGATCCACGAGGCTCCAGAACGGGGGCCTAGTGGCCACGCCGAGCAGCCTTGGTCGAAACAGAGGCCGGGGTTGATCGACACTAAATGGCTCCGGTGGGCCTTCTTCCACTTCAACCCGCTGGTCTATCTCTCTATCAACTCCAACTAGTCGAACCCACCAAGATGCTATGCTCGCATAGTCATTGTCGGGTGGTTCAGGAACTCATGGACCTTACCCGGGTTTCACTGTTGCCAAGTAAGAATTCTATTCAGGACCACGGTGCTGTCCTACTGCTCGAGCGCGAAAAGCGCCTGACCTTTTCGCAGCTCTCGGGATGGTTGGATAGGCCGCCGGTGCTAGTGAGACGGCTTCATCCGGGCTAACGTCCTCCCGCTATTCCCTCTAGCCGTTGCACCTGCAGGTTGGGCGCGGTACAGAGTTCAGATTGTTCAGATTGCTCTAGGTAGTGAACCACTCACTACTCGAGTTCTATGCATGAGATCTAACTCTGGACTTATGTACAAATGGACACACCCATGGCTGGCATGCAACGTAGAATTCAGCGGGCTCGTCAGAAATCACTCCCCACACGCCGGAAGAGTAGAAGCAAAAACATATCCCATCTAGTATTGCCAACTTTTGATGAAAGAAAAGACGATAAAGAAGGAAAGGAAGAGAAAAAAAAGAAATATCATCAAGCACTTCAAGTAGACTTCTCGGACTTCTTGCGCTTCTTCTCCTCCCGGCTCTTGCTGGACTTCTTCTTCTTGTCCTCGCCTTCACCTCCCTCCTGAGCGGACTTTCTGGACTTCTTACGAGGCACATCACCGGCATCGGCCTGGCTCCCGTCCGCCTCAGTAGGGTGGTTCTTGCGCTTTCTCTCATCCCGCTCCTTCTCCAGCGACTTGGGGACCTTGAATGTAGGCGTCTCGTCTTCCGACTCCTCCGAACTGGACCCGAGGGTCTCAGGGGGTGCCACGCCACTTCCTACGGGGCGGAAACGCATCTTCAAGTGTTTGGGGTGTTTCCTCGGGGGCTTGATCTGCTCCTGAACAGCTTGCGCAACGGTCTCATCGCTGACCTCGGGAATGTCGAGCATTTCTTGGATGTGGTAGCTGGGGATGTTGCTGGCGGCAGTACTATAGTAGGTCTTGGTCTTCGAGTCGTACAGGTGAAGCGTCTTTCCACCCAGGTCGGGTTGCGCAAGGCTTTCCACCGGAATCCCGTATTGCACACCCTTGTGTTTCAAGACCGGCTTGCCCTGCATGATCTTGGCCAACGAGACTTCCTCGACCTTGGAAAGAGGAAGGTAGTCTGGCGCCGTAATGTGATAGACTTGCTTGCCGCGAAGATCGGACAGGAGAGAGGAGACATTGGACTTCGGTGGTGCTTGTTGTTTCAAGGACTTGAATCCAGACGGAGCTTTGTAAGGTTGGGGTGCTGCTAAGGATACATTACGGGAGGTCCTATGCGAGCACATCGTAAGTCACTGATATAACCTTCACTTGAGTCAATTGGGAAGACCTACTTCTGGCTAGAAGTCTTTTCGTTGGAAGAAGTGCTGCTATCGCTGTCACTCTCGCTTCCGCTCTGGTTCGACTCAACCTCGGAGCTAGACGAGTCGCCAGCAGACGATGTGCTCATAGGAGTAGGCTCCCGTTCCTCCACAGCTTTCTTGTTCGATTTGGGTGCCATTGTGACTTATTGACGGTCTAATTCGTATGCGGATGTTCGAGGGGAAAGCAGCTCCGAACTTGCGATGCGGAGCGCCGGTGATCACACGTGTGCCTGATTCGTACCGCTAGAATACACTATATCAATGCGAAAGCCCCAGCGAAGTGATAAGCACGTCGTAGAAGAAAATCCTGGGGTATAGCGCAAAGCGCGAGTCACTGCGAGTTGGGAGAAGCCGATCCGGAACTTTTGAGCGATAACCTTTTTTTCTGCTCCGCGGAGCACGGACCACCTGAAAGTCCGCGGCCTCAAATATTCACCTTTTTGGTAGTCCCGCCGCCCAGCACTCGGTTCTGCGCAACGTCGCTGGTTTTTGAGAATTGAACCGTCTGTTAGTATCATGAAGCGCAAGGCTGAAAAGGCGCAGGCTGCAGGTAAGTTCAAGCGCCCGTGTACCCAGAAACATTACTGACTTTCGATTCTTCAAGCCCCGGTCAGCGCTTTCGCGGCCCGCAAAGCACGGCAGCAGCAGGCGCAGGCCACCGCAGCTGCTGTCAAGCCCCCTGTCGCTGAGCCAGTGGTAGAACCGCCACCTAAGAGAGCGCGCCGCTCACTAGAAGAGCCCGTCGTCCCAGTTGCACCCGAAGAGAACCGAGTCCAAACGAGGCGATCATCGAGACGAAAGGAAGAACAATCCAAGGTTGAGAAGCCCACGCCGAAGGCGCGCAACGACCAGCCTCCTAAGGCCTCCAAGAAACTACCCGAGCATGACACATCCAAGGCTACCGAGGATCAAGCACCTTCAGACGAGGAGTCGGAAGAGCCAGACGTTGTTGTAGAGAATACCGGTGTTATCGAGCTCGAACCCATTCAGAATGAAGAGGAGGGGTAATTGTTGCTTTGCAGTACAATACGAGCCTTATACTAATGGTTCTTAGGTACGAATCGCCTGCAGACACTGCGGTCCAGGTTCAAGACTTCCCACTCTCCAAAGCGCGCTTGAACAAGAACAGCATAGTCTACAGTGATGAGCATAGACTGTGTGTCCGCATAAAGGAGAAGATGGTATGCTTGTCATGCTGGCGTATATGTGCAGTGCTGACTTTTTCTATAGAGTTTGGTAATGATTGGCCACTACGATCTATGGGTCAAGCGAGGTGTGGTCAGCTTGATGGGAGCGAAACTGCACCCCTCATCCCAGGTGTATCGGGTCTATGCTCCTTCGACGCACTCGTTGCCTGTTATCAAATGCGTCTCCGGGGTCAATGGTGAGGCAGAGGTGGAATTCAAGTCATGCCACAGCGGGATCTATCGTCTCAAGGAACTCTCGCCCCTCTATCAGCGGATATGGAACGGCAAGAATACTACAGCGGACAAGCTCACTCTCAAGGGCACTCCTCAGTCCACCAAGAGGACGTTCGCAGTGGTAAGTTTCATACCTGACTGTCTTCTTATAGCCCGTCCTGTGACTAAGTGCCGTACAGCTGTATACTTCTGCGGACGATTCTTTCAAACGCCACCTGAGGCCACTTCATCTCGAGAAGCAATGGAGCTCCGCTATCAAGTCCCTGTCTCAGCGTGGTGGACGGCTGAAGACTCTCATCTGCGGACCGAAGGGATCAGGAAAGTCTACATTTAGTCGCTATCTGTTGAATCACCTTCTCAGCCCGGCGCCGCAGACAGAGACCAAGTACTTTAACACTGATGGGGTCGCGTTCCTGGACTTGGACCCGGGTCAGCCTGAATTTGCTCCGATGGGGCAAGTCTATCTGGCCCATCTCCGTTCGCCTGTCTTTGGTCCTCCCTTTTCCCATCCGTCTTTGGATGGTTCTCGTAACGGGACGATAGTCCGGAGCCATCATATTGGAGCTACATCGCCCAAAGAGGACCCCGACCATTACGTCCTCGCCGCCATGGATCTCATGGACCGCTACCGGGCCCTGCAGGCGAGCTATCCCCAATGTCCTCTTATCATCAACTACCCCGGCTGGATCTTCGGCTTGGGTCTGGAAGTTGCCACCTGGCTGGTCAGATCGCTCGGTCTTTCCGACGTTGTATATATGAGCGAAAAGGGACCGACTGAAGTTGTTCAGCCTCTGGGCCAGGCAGCTTACCAGGCCAAGATTCCTCTGACAATCCTCCCTTCTCAGCCCACCGATTTCGTCAGCAGGTCGAGCGCACAGCTTCGCTCAATGCAAATGCAGTCGTATTTCCATATGTCACGTCCAAACGGCATCAACAACTCACTGTGGCTTGAGCAACCACTTTCTCGTACCAAGCCTTTCCGTGTTCACTACTCGGGACCCCAACAGGGCATCCAGGGCATCATGGTCATGGGCACTGAGATTCATCCTGATCTACTTCATGAGGTTCTAGATGGGTCCATCGTCGCTGTTGTGGCCGTTGAATCACCCAACGCTATTCTGGGCCAGAACAGTGGACCAATGTTCGCGAACAATGCCAATGCTGAAACAGATGGAGACCACGATGTCGACATGCAAGACTCAGCCGATGCTGTTCCTGTCATTGGCACATCGACTATTGAATCTAGCATCACGCGGACACCGAACGAGGACCTGCCTTACCTCTTTGTTGGTGCGGGAAGCAGCAATCCCCTGGACCCGAAAGTCTCGCACTGCTTGGGCTTGGCTCTTGTCCGCTCCGTGAACGTCGCCTCCCGCCAGCTGGAACTGGTCACTCCCATTACCGGATCGACTCTCCGCGGCGTTCTCGAGCAGGGCCACGGCATCGTTCTTGTGCGAGGTCTCTTGGATAATCCCAACTGGGCCATCAGCGAGGACTATTACGCAGCCCGTGCCGCTGAGAAGCGCCATCGGGAGCTGCTTGAGAAGCTCAGGAAGGATAAGGGTGCTGCCGCTGCGGAGGACGCTACCCTCGAGTCGGAGAAGCAGGTGTTGAAGGATAGAATCCGGCGCGCGAGCAAGGTTCCTTGGATGACGGTGGTAGAAGACAACAGCCGCAGGCAACGAGAAGCAGCACAGCGCGAGAAATCCTTATGGAAGCTGCGGAAGAAGGCATACCCTGGAAGCGATAGTGAAGGCGATTGGTAACTTGCATTACTTGGCGTTCTACAATGCTTGCATGTATATATTAGACAGTGAAAAGTTTATTCGGGGGCATAGATAATGCGCGAGCTGACAGCCTACATGATATATGTTGGATTATAAATCCGGATTTATGTCCCATCGATATTGGGTCCATTACATCATAGATCCAAGTAGCTTCACACAGGATATCCGGTTGTATCGACAATCAGATATTCCCGACGAGTATCAACCTTTGGTCTATCAACGGCATCGCACCAATCCCTCATCAATAGTTAGCTATTGCCCTCAATACTCCCCTCAACACCATACGGGCCCCAACTCATCCGCCCACCACCACTCCATCCAAGTATATCAAAAACAGCCCAACCCCACAATCAAGTTCCAAATATGCCATCAAGCATGGAAGGCAAAACGGCCCTAATCACCGGAGCCGGCAGCGGAATCGGGTGAGGCCTCATCCATACACTTCATACATCTTCCACCATATATACCGAACCGACCCATATACTAACCCTCCAACCCCAGCCGCGCCACAGCCCACAAACTACACATCCTAGGAGCAAACCTAATCCTCATCGATATCAACCCCTCATCCCTGCACCAAGTCGAAACCGAACTCACCCCCAATCCCTCCTCGAACCAAACCCAACACCACCAATACCACACATGCGACATCTCCTCCCCCACAGCCTGCAACAACCTCCTTACCACCCTGACCACCCCCCAACCCCTCACAATCAACTACCTCTTCAACAACGCCGGCATAAACCCCACCACAATGCCCATAACCTCCACCCCAGACACCTACTTCACGAAACTAATCGACACCAACCTCCGCGGCACCTTCAACATGACGCGCGCCTGCATCCCGCACATGCCCTCATCATCAAATTCAGCAGCAATCGTCAACATGACCAGCATGTGCGGTCTAAAAGGGTACTCTGGATTCAGCGTCTACTGCGCAACCAAGTTCGCTATTGTGGGCTTCACGAAAGCGTTGGCGGTGGAGTTGGGACCGCGAGGGATAAGGGTTAATGCGGTTGCGCCAGGGCCGACGGATACGCCTACGATGGTGGGGAATGTTGAGGGAGAGGAGAAGAATGAGGAGATGGTCAAGGGGGTTGCGTTGGGAAGGTTGGGAAGGCCCGAGGAGGTTGCTGATGTCGTGGGGTTTTTGTTTGGGGATGAGGCGCGGTTTGTTAATGGGGGAGTGGTAGAGGTGACGGGGGGGATGGTTTGATTTATTTATTATTGTTATCCTGGGTCTGGGATTGGGGTCGGTTGTGGAATGAATGTATAGATGATGTGTGGTATAGGAGGGAGGTGGTTAGGGTTATGGTTGTGTTTTATGTTGGGGGTTGTGGTTCGGGATAGGTTATATATATGTAGTTGCGCTGGTTGCACAAGACACTAATTGTACTTATGATTAAGTTCTGATAAAAAGGTAGAGATGGTCAATTATATACAGCACAAATCGCAAAAATAGAAGACATTGATAGGAATTAGATGAAAAAAAGAAGACATAGCATGTCCTGGTTTCGATCCAGGGACCTCCGGGTTATGAGCCCGGCGCTCTTCCCCTGAGCTAACATGCTGTGGATGAAGATTTATACCCGCTCTTTGACACTATATTCCTGTGATATGATACTCGGCCGAGAGCTGGATGGGGGCCAATCTTGGCAAGCATAAGGCGATTCTGTGATCATGCAAGAGATTGATTATGGTGGTGGACTGTAGGTATATGTGCTACTGTAGGGGTCAAAGGCAGTGACATGCCCGGTAGTGATTCTATAGCGTTGTCTATACTTTCATAAAAAGGTCTCGGTTTTCTATCTTATTGATTGAATGCCAGGAGACTCTACCTTCAGAAGCAATTCTGCATATTGAGCACAGACGATGGATTGGTGCATTGACCAGCATAGTAGACATCATAATAGGGACTCTTAAGGATATGTTCTACTCTGCGCGTAGTGGATATTTCTATGTTTTGGACTACATTGCGTCTTCTACGATTATATTATCTGTTTCTGTTTGTTTCACTCCAAGACCGTCCCCTACAAAATCATCATAGCAAGTGATAATATATATTCCATCCACACAATGCCAACCCCTGCTCACACTGAGTTTTTCTTAACCGTACACCCATCTTAAGCCACAGCGGATGAATACTACCACCGCGACAAAGCCAACCCTACAAATACCACATATTACAAACCATCCACAACACCATTTACTCTACACTCGACCAATACACAACAAACAATAGCACCAACATTCAACGCCATCATGACAGAAGCTGAATAAATCAAATTACCAAGCCCACCCACCCAGCCTAGTGTACCGAGTGTCCACCGGAGCCCGGTGGCGGGCCAAGCACTGGCCCCTCTCTGCCTTCCTTCCATCCCCCTCCACTCCACTCCACTTAAGTTAGCTCAGCTCCAGTCCATTAGAAAATCCCACCAACTAACGAACGGAAAGGGCCCGAAGGAAGAAACATAAGCATAATAACAATAATAACCATGATAAATAATATGAACGAAAAACCCCTCAACTTTAATACTCTGCCAGTTCCAGACCTTCAATTGCTTACAATTCAATCTGTTGTTGCTTGCCGAGCGGTAGTTGAGTTAGGATTTTTGTTGACAAATAATTTCTCTATCACCTTTCTTCTTTGGGTTATAGACTGTCAGCAGGATTTTGTGTGGTAGTTAATTTATTTAATTTTATTACTTCTATGAAGGTTATATATTGTATATAGGCTATATGTTATAGGATTATAGATGGGCTATTAGTAGTTGTTTACTTTATATATAGAGTAGTTAACATGTGAAAAGTTGCTGGAAACCCGCGGGTTGTTTAGATTTAATTAACCCCATCCAATTTACTCAGTCACTTTACTATATGAAGAAAACGGCGAAGATTGAATCAAGGCATGACATGGCTTGTTTCTAAGCTGAGCTGAGTTGAGCCGAGCCGAGTCAAGCACGGTTCAAAGGATGGACAACCACTTCCAGCATAGTACCTGATCAACAACAATAGTCCCAGCCGTTATACATAACTAAAATACCCACTTATTCGAAATGTCAAGGAACAATCACCTCTCAGCAGGTTAAGCCGAAGCGATCTGCCAAAACAAGGGAAGAGAGGTAAACTAAGAGGGGGAGGACGCGAGTCAAAGCTTACTTTTGCAGCGCACTTGCGGTAGGGGAAAAGAAAAGAAAAGCCCAGGCCAGGCCACAGCCTTGTTTACTGCTTAGTTACATTTTCTTACTTGACTAGAATACTTAGTTGACACCAGTCGAGAAGTGTGGCTGGCCCTCTTTCTTTAATGAGGATTACTTGCAGGGAGAAGGCCGTGGAAGTTACCTACTCTGTACTAAGTGTGTGTGTTTTTGCTTTTTTTCTTTTGTTTGTTTGACTGTTATGTTCTGCTAGTAGCTGGTTACTACTTCCGTGGGTTCCTATTGGTATACTTCTTTAGGTCTGTCTTACCTACTGTATGTATCTGTATAGCTCACTTAGTATGCATCTGGATAGCAGTACTACAAAGTAGGTGATTAGATAGATCTGGGTGCTGTCAGTAGCAGCAACACGCCGTGCCCATAACCAAACAAACCACACAATAACAACACCGACTAATCAAATCTCTCACAAGCCACGTGGAGTTCCAAGTTCCAGTCCAGTTCCTAATAAGAAAACGTGAGTGGATGGAGACCTCATCACCCAATGAGAGAAAATCGAAAAAGGGTTGGTTTGGTTATAATTGTGGGAACTAAGAATCTCCTGCTGCTGCTGCTACGAACTGGAACGACTATGCTTGCTTGCTTGCTTACTTGCTTACTCGGCTTCGAGTGGAGCGTGTTTCTCCCGTCGGGCGGATTCCACTTGTTTCATTTTGTCGGGTCGGCTGGTGGGTGGGTGAGTGGATGAATGGGTCGGCAGAGTGGAAGGGGAGGCAAAAAGAGGCAGGTTGTGTCGTGTGCTTGCTTGCCTTGCTTTGTATTGGTACTTACCGTACGGGACATTACTATTAGTGTTAGTATTGTTTGTGTGGTGATGGGATGTGATGGGAGGTACATTGTTTTGGGGGTTGTTTGGGGGTGTTTCATCGGATCGGAAGTGAAGTATTATCGATTATTTGGGATGGATGGATAAAGAAGTGATAGATGCATGCAGGTATAGAGATTAGTAGGCCACGAGGCTGAAGATAGACGATAAGGAAGAGACTGAATGGGGATGGATTCGGAAGTATTTCACACAGAATCCTAGGACCTGGATGGACCTGCAATGCGGAGGAAATATGACGGGCTTATGATCTGTCCAACAAGGGATCCATACTACATTCTGGGAAAGTTTGGTAGATGTGCAGGTTGCAGATAGTACCTGTCTAACGGTAGTATCTCCCCTTCAATCTCACGGTCGGGTTACACACAACAACGCGGGTTGATAGATCTATACGCGGCGGGAGATCTATCGCGACCGGCAAAAAGTATATCGCGAGGATTGCGATAAGAGACAACCCGGGATTCAAGGCACAACGGATTAACTTTTCGAACTTATCATATAGTAGGCTAGTAATGTGCCGTCCTGGACCTACTGCACTGTGACGTGATGTGGTAATTTAATATCCTTCCTTCAGCAGCAAGAATTCCTCCCCGATCGCAAAGCGGCTGTTGCTGGATTCTGATCCTGGTCGTTGGTTCATAATACTTACCACAAGTCATGGTTATGTCGGTTCGGCGAAACTTCGTCAAAACACGCGGGTTGCTCGGGGATTGTTTGGACTGTTTGGGACATTCCGTTGCTTGGGACACAAGGAGGGTCTTAAGCCAGCTGAGATGGTCTGGCAAGGGAAGGAAATCCTTCCGCTGCACTAGACTCTGTCCTATACTTGGCTGTATGCGTATAGAGTTCTGGCTGTACGCCATATCCTCCGTATCCAAGGTACACTTCAAACTATCATTCACAGCGGCTGCACTCCGCATGCGGCAAGCAGTTGCTGCGTCCGGATGTCGCTCTCTGGATGGATCATCCGGCTGGCTGGAGATGGTCCGATCGCGCAGCAAGGTTCAACCCGACTTGAGTTGTCTCCTCGTACTTTGGGTGTAAGTATCAGACATGCTCGATGCTACTGCGTCTCGTATCGTATAGGAGGGTGGTAGCGGGATGCTAGATGCTGGACTACTACTTGCCGTCTTCTGCTAGAAGCTTACCCATACAAGGGCGCAGGCAGCAAATCGGAGAAAGAAATGGCCGTTGTCGGGCGGCTGCCCGTGTTTTGGGGGGGTGTTCACGGAGGACTACAATAACAAGTATGAGGCGGTTTGAAACCCCCCAATCTTACTGTGCTCTGGGCAGTAAGTGAAAATAGTCTGTCTCTAAAGGGGAGGTTGTTGCATTGCCCAGACGGTAATACTCCGGAACTCCGGACCCCAAAGAATGAGGAATCAAGGTGATAGACAGGAGGTGATTCGGATCTCTGACCCGAAGACTCGTCGTTGAGCATCTGCATACGTACTTCAGTTGTTCCAGGGCGAGAACTGGATGGACGCCGTCTGTTTCGTTCATCTAGAAAGGAATAACGGCCGTTGTCGGGCGGGAGGCGCAACACCTCGGTGGGTTTAGTCGTCAGTAGACGCAAACTCAAGCATGGGAAGGATCCCGATCGTCCCCCCAGACAGCACCATCAATTTCCATGTGACCGGCGGGATTGCCTCGCTTTTCTGCGCTCTTACTCAATTGGGGGTGGGAAGGGAGGAAATGGTGGCTGATAGCGGGATGAGGCTGCCTGCAGAGGATCCAATATTCGGATAGGCCACCTGGAGGTTTTAGTCTAGTAGTTCCGCTGTGTGATGATAGCCGCGCCAATCCTGATTATATGGAAGGGCTGTGATTGCTCCGGATGCGCATGCTCATCCCGTGTCTCTCTTTTCTGTGTCTGCCTCTGCCTTATGGAGCTTACCCAAGGATTCACTGATCTAACTGGGTATGTGAGTATGGATGGCTATCGCGATGCGACTAGTCTAGAAAGTCTAGTAAGTCGCTGGGATTACTGCTGGATCCCCCCACTTGAATCCTGGGCTGCACTCGGTAACTGGGATAGTGCCGAAGGGGGATCAAGGTGCGACCCTGGTTCGTATCGGAACCCTCGGGCATGGGAGGCGGCAATTATTTGATGCACATAGGATCTATGACCCTATGATTGCGATCAGGCGGGTTGATTCCTTTTTTCTTTTTTATGCCTTTCCTTTTCTTTGCTGTTTCCCTTCCCCTCCTGCTCCCATTTGCTTTTCGATTAATGAAGCCAAGAGACATAAAGTAAAAAAGGACAAAAAAAGAAAATGGGGGAGAAGTAGAATGAGCTGAGAGGTCGATCAACAAAGAAATAATCCAAGGGTGCATTCCTGTAATTGAAGTTCCTTGCCGAACATGGCTGGATTGGGAAGTTCCTGGTCGGAAGCGATCAGCTCGGTTGCTGACCGTTTATCCATGCTGAGTCTGGAGAGTGATGAGAGTGAGAGTCAGAGTCAGATCCTACCTTAGTCCATTAAACTAATCACTAGTGACCTAGATGCTCACTTGTGGATATACAATAAAAAAAAAGGTAACATTTTTATGGAGCATACGACCATTTTTCCTGCCACCGGATATACGAAAACCGAAGGGAAAGGAAAAATGGCGCAGGTGATAATTTGACTTCTTCCATCCCTCGTTCTACAGACCTTCGATTGCGTAAAATCCAGGTTTAGCGGCCAAACGCCGTCCCGTCAAATTGGGTACGGAAGTTTGTTTGGGTCGAGTCCATCGGGCGCGGTGACGGGTTGGGTTTAGATAGTCCTGGTAGTACCACCACCACCACCACCAGCGTCACTAATTCGTCTAGTCGACTCAGTCCCAAAAGTCACTCGGTAACTCCGGGGTTGATGGCTTTTCCTCTTCTGCTTCCTTACAGCCGGATTACACCCGGGGTTATTGTCCGCCTTGCTGTTTTCCTGGTTCACGCTCTTCATCATCCTATCGTTGATTGGAGTAGAAACCGTTGGAATGGTTACGCAAAGGAGTAAATGGCCATGTGTGAAGGAGGGTAAAAGGAAGGGCCATGATCGACAAACATTGGGCGGATAATCATTTTCATTCTGGTTCCTATTGATCTGATGCCGTTCAGGCCCCCCTCTTCTCCTCCGTCTGAACCAGAATGCCAACTAACTAGTCAGTCAAGCCTCCCCATGCTTGTGTCTCTCCCATACTCCATCTGGGCAATCTAGTCGCATATTAGGCCGGAACCGTTTTCTGTCGGGCTCCATCCGCTGACAGGCTGAAGGGAGACTAGGAGCTTAGTGAATTTCAGCCTGCAACAGACGATTCGTCTAGGGGAGAATCAGATAAATAAGCGCAATAAGAGAGGCGGATGCCAAGTAGATAGTAAGTCGCAGGAATGGGGAATGGATATTGTCGGGGAAAAAAAGACCCCTCCATGGTTTGTCATCGTTACTATTTGGATATTTGGATATTTTTTTTGTTTTGTTTTGGATCTGGATACTCTTCCGTTTAGTTTAATTTATTTCCACTACTACGGAGTACTACTACTAGTTATAGTTCCGATACGGTGAAGTTCCCTTGTCGCCTAGTAGTTGAAGCCCAACCAGGGAATCAATCATTCATTCATCTGGAATGGCAAGCGGGCAGAAGAAAGGGAGGGGAGGGTGTGCTTTGGCCCCCAGAGCCACTGGAAGCACAACAGGTTGGTAATCGGATAGTTGCTTGGATTTATTGGATGGTTGGGCTCTCTTTGACCACTGTTTAGGCAGATCGAGGAGGGAGACACACACTCACTGTAAGTTAACTCACTTATCAGCAGTACATAGTAAAGTAGTATAGATGGAGGGGGATGGAACCGGGAAGTACCATACAGAACCATACCAGACGGTAATTACCAACCCGAGCCAGGCCAGCCCCGGCCAGACCCTCTCTCTTGCCTCTTCCTTTTCCTTAACGCAGCCGATGCACCGCTCCACTTCCGGGCTTCTCTTGTTCCCTCCTGCTTGCCCCCCTTCTGCCTTTCCGATATCCTTTCCCTCCACTACTACGGGCTCATACTACTACTTACTCTTCCTAGTAAAGTCGGTAATCAATGCCTCTCTTTCTCCATAGAGCCTGGAGTAAAACTAACTAGTAGACTTCCTACTCGTCCACTCACACACACTCTCTCCCTCTCTCATCCAATTAATATATACTCTTATCCTTACCCTCTCGTCCCTCTCTTCTCCTCCTTCTTTCCTTCCTTTCCTTTTACTTTCCCCCACACCGTCTTTGTTCTGCAAGCTGGTCTTTGCAGCTTCACTGACTACAACTACGATTACTATTATAATAACTACCATCACTACTACTACTACCCCAACGTTGTTTGTCGTTGTGGGTGGTTCAATCCAACCTTCCCTTCCACTACTACCGTCTGGATCTGGATCTGCACCAGCCATACCCGGTTTCCCATTTCCCCCCTCCCTTCTTCAACTTGCTGGTGGTTATTCTGCGTCATTGCCACGAAACCATTACCACCATCGTCACCTTGATTCTGATCAGTGAAAGCATGTATTGCAATAATGCTCTAATATGGTTGCTGGGATCTGTTAGACCATAACTTCCACGGATATGGATTTCATTGTAAGTGTGGCATTCTTTTCCTGTCTTCATCCCCCCCATGTGCCTCGGTGTGTGTCTGTCTTTCGCATCGGTGAATGATGATGGCGATGTGTGAGCATGACGTGCACCTTCATGTCTCACCGGGGACATGCGTTTGGGCTTCTTTGCGCTGGATTAGGCCCTTTCTTCCTTCCTCGCACCGCGCAATGCGCGCATAATGACCGCGTGCGACATGGCAGGGATCCTGGCTCTTGCGCTTGTCCCGTCCCACTCCGTCTCTAGACAGTGGATACCCTGTCTGCTTGCTCCAGCTAACACTTCCTCCCTCTACTAGCTTTCTTTGACGCATTTCTGCGAGGTGCATGGTCCTACCTCGATCATCTGCTCGCAGGTCCTACCGTTCCCTTGTTCACAATGCTATCCCGACAAATCTGATTCCTCTCCCGACGAAACCCCTGCCACCTCTCACGACACCGTTTCATCCCACGGCCTGCAGAGCCGCGCGAATACTAAATCTACCCCAAATAAACTCTCGGAAAAGAACATCGACTCCTCCGACAGGTCTCCCAGGATAGAAGACCATCCCTATTTCCTCAAAGGCCAGGCCACGCCGGCTGACACTCAACAACGACCCAACTTCCTCGGCGGCGCAGACGGCGACACGTGCGCCAGTTGCAGCTTGACTCTCCCTGAAGATGTGAGCAAGCAGCTGCCCCCAGGTGCGCCAGGAACGGCCCGAAGTGACGGCAAAGGGAGGAACGGCAGTCCGGTTTTGCGATCGAGAGAGGTCGTCTACTCTTGTGGGACCAGTCACGCCGACCACGATGATACCACACACGACCCGCATGCTCATGCTTCATACCCCGACTCCCTTCATTCGGCCTCTGTTACATCGGACGCCTCCTGTCATACACACATCCTCACCTATCTTTCATTGCGCGGACCTCCCAATCCGGCTGATTACGCGCTTCTGCGACGTTCCTCCATTCGAACCCTGAGTTGCGAACTTTTGCCACGCGGTCTCTCCTCGGGCCCTCTATGTTTTGGCGATTCTACCGCTGGCTATACGATAGCTTACATCTTTCGCCTGCCCGACCCCATGGCTCGCGGGAAACGGCGTAGCTATGCCCTTGTCGCATTGGCAGGAAAAGATGCCGGACGAGCCTTCCGTGCCTGTCCTGTGATTTGGCGCGCATTTGGTCGGATTGCCACGGGCATTGTCAACTCAGCGGAGAAATACCAGGAAGAAGAAAAGCGTCGCGATGAACAAAACAACGCATCGAATAGACGCGGGAGCAAGCAGTATACACCTGTTTCCTCTTTCCTCACAGGGCGCGCCCTTGACCCGGATGGACAGCTTCGCAGACCCGGTCAAGTGCGAGCGAGAAACCTTTCGGAAATCGTGGGAAACCAATACATCTTTGCTGAAATACATGCACACTTTGTTGCGCTCCTGCAGCAGTTGGGTACGATGTTTGGAGCCTCACCTATTTCAGAAGAACGATTCGTGTGCAGCACAGTGCGCGAAGAAGACGCCACTGCTTCACGGAAATCATCATTAGTACCTGGTGGCAAGGAGAAGCCGCAGGATAAGCTTTCGCGACAATACGAGGACAGCGATCTGGGAATGTCCACTTTGGACATCTCCTCGGGGCCTAAGCCGATCCCCATCGCACCTCGCCGACCAGTGATCGCTTAGCTTGTGCCTCATTTGCGCTACGGCATATCTTAATTGGCTACATTATCACCTTCGGGCCAATTACATTACTTGTTCATTCTCTTGAAAGCGGAGCATTTCAACCGTTATCCGCGATTCGACTAGCATCACTGCATGCAGTCAGCAGTCTCATGTGACAATTACCATCCTCACATGATTGACATCATTTCGGCGTTTACTTCCGGTACATGGACAGGACTTGACATAGACTACGGCATGTTTTTTTATTCCCAGAAGGAGGCGGAGTTTCGGCACATTTACAGGACGCATGGCTTTTTATTTGTATTCCCTTTCTATTCCCCCAAAGCGTGGGTAGATGAGCGATCTGAGTTTTGTTCTATTCCGCCTCACCCTTTCGATTCTTCCCGATCCGATTCGGACTGTTTTATTACGACTTCTACTTCTATTAATCACCAGAAGCGGACGGCCATGACGGACGCTTGTTTTCATGATTGAATGTCATTACGAGGCAACGAAGGATGCACTTGTGAGGCATTTGGCATGAGATGCATGTATGTACTTTTACGGAAAGGGACTTTATTGGAGCTTAAATCAAGGCCTGTAACTTGAGCCACCATTGCCAGTAATCCGTAGTTAGTTCTAGTGTTCTAGACTTGACCGATAAGATAAACCACTGGTCCACTCACCAAAGTCCTATTGTAGAAGAAGCCAAATCCAAAGACAGACTAAAACACTAGCTCGAAGTCTAAGCTCGAAATAATAAAAGCTTCCACTTAAATAACTAAGTAATAAGCAACTCACTCAGATACTTCCTATCTCCTATCTATTATCCAACCATCTCCAGTAAATCAAATCCACAATAACTCAAGCCTTATCAACCAAAACCTTAACTAGACGTTGACTACGATGCCATTTATGTGAGTGGTTTGGGGGTGTATAAACAGACGAATGAAAACATGTATGACGCCATCTCCTACTCCACTTCACAGCTTATCTACTATCCTTGAAAGATAGAGAATAAGCAAAGCAACACCATGATTGGAAATGACATGCATGGGCTTAAGGTATCTCTGTGGATAAATACAGTAAGCAATGCATATCACACACACACACATACACATCTATCCACTTATCTATTAACGTTAAGTAAATGGATCCCTAGATGAATCTGAATAGGAGTTCTTTAATTGGTTTGGATATAAGGTGGTGTGTGTATATGTGTGTTACTTATGAATCATCACAAAGTAATATTGGTAGTCGTAGTCTGCGTATTACTCTTGTGACGGGGGAGGGAGGTACTTTGGGAATTAGTAGTAGTTTATGTAAGGATGTATAATATAATATATTATAATTATATCATACTATGTGACATGGAAGATAAAGAAGTTAGGTCCACCTTGATCATAATTAGTTACTTAAAATAAAGCATTATGCATCCCCCCCCTTCCCCTCTCGAGTCATGTATGACCGATCGACAGGGGAGAGCCGCTGTAATATGTATAGAATCTTGAGTCAGATTGCTTCTGCAATTATTCGAGATCTACAAAGCACATTCTATACTTAGGGGACGTACACTACTTAGTGAAACTCTATATTTCAGACAAGCACTACGTTATTTAGCTGGTAGTTCAAAGCAAACAGAAACAGACTACTGATCCGGTAGCAACTAATGCGCAGATTTAGATTTGTTCTATCCCTGTAGTTCAGAGAATCTTCTGCTCGCAATTCCTCCTCTCAACACTCCCTTTCCTCCATCTAGCAAAGGTTAGTTATCTTATCCCCGGAGGAAACAAAGAGCTACAACTACACTCGTACCGCCCACGGTGGGATCACAGCGAAGATGGCGCCATCCGCGTACTGCAAAACCGCCGACTTATCGTCTTTTCCCGGGCTTATATCGTCAGGGGAGTCGTTTCCGTAGGGAGGGCTTGGAGGTTCGTTGCCGAAAGTTACGGGTGTCGGACCGCCCTTACCACCATCAGCAGCAGCAGCCCCAGTTCCACGAGGGAGATGCATGATTGCAAATTCGTCCCGGTTCTGCTCATTTACCCATGTCACCCCTGGAAGGGTAATGGATGGCCAAGCTTCACTTGCTACTATCTATGGAGGGCACTTTCTGTTAGCGTATTCCATGGACCCAAAGTATACAAGGATATTCTTGGGGAAAGGAGGGTCGTACTTTGGCCTCTTTTTCCTTCCCAAACCGAGTCGGGATGCTTTCGAATCGTGCGCGCTTCATGATCTCGTCATACCACAGCTCCATTGCTAGAAATTGAACGCGCGGAGGTGTCTAGACTAAAAGACTTGAGAACCGAGTAGAGGAGATAATCATCGTCTTTCAGTACAAGTTCGATGCTGTTTGAAGCCACCGGAGACGCTGTGGGATAGGCATAGGCGCAGAAGACACCAAGGATGCCACCTGTCAAATGGTCAGATATGTCGTCAATTTGTAATGGGCGAGCGAGATATAATGTTTTGGAAGATAAATACCCTGGCTACCTCATTCAATTTTCAACCCAGCTAGTCAGATCTGTAGGCATCATTGCCAACCTCCCCGCTGCTTCAGACATTCCTACACTGCGCCAAACCTGGTATACTGCGTAATCTCCACGTTGGTCTTTAGTACTAGAAACATTGCGTTCCATCGCCTCATCTGTGATTTCATTTCCATCGGTTAGGAAAAAAAGTACACCAGGCCCTGTGAGGAAATCTGGACGGTCGAGAATGACAAAGAATGTACGGTATGGCTCCCTGTCCGATGGAACTTCGACCTCGGGCTCATGTCGCTTCTGCGGAAATCTTCGAGTGCCTTGATGAAGCGCCCCTACGGCTATACCCGGGCGGGAGTTCATTAGAGCCCGGTGCGATGCTAGGGTAGCACCCAGGGATTGATCCGCCGGAAAGAACTCGAAGTTGACGGCCTTTCCCTCGGGAAGATTTTCGATGATCGCACCGGTAAAGGCCTTAGCGATTGTCACGAGCTCTAACTCGAGTTGCTCGTAAGGGAAGGCGACGTGAATAATGTACTGAAGTTCTGGTTCCGATGTCAGGGCTGCAGTATCGGTCTTGATGGCAACAGCACCATCGGAGGCTGATCTGATGTCAAATTGGTCATGATCCAATGAATCGGCTTTGCTCTGTAGCAATTCAATGATCTGTGGTGCCAGAGGTTGAATGGATAAGGAAGGATCCCCTTCGTCTTCATTCAGGCCATAATCAAAATTTTCCTCCTCTTCTTCCTCCATATCACTGTGACTTCGGGTAATAAGAGAGGAGAGTTCCCGGCACCTGTCATCCACATGTCGGCATTTTCGCACAACAAGTTCTTCTCTCTCGGAGTATACCTGGCGATCAACACTGATGGTAGAGAGATCAAACCCAGACCGGGAAGTGGACTCAATTCTAGACGGAAGATCGACTTTCGCTTTGAGCGGGAAACATCGATCAAAATTCACCCATAGCGGGCCGGATCCAGCTTCATATATCGGTAGGAACGTATCGCGGAAGCTATAGGAAGTGATCACCAGAAGAAACCCCTGCAAAAGGTGATTGTGCTTGTCGGGCGCTACTTTCGCGATTCCAGGGAAGAAACCCTCCCCAGGGATATCATTCTTTCGGTAACGAATTTCGCGTCTTTGGTGCTCCACACAAGCGAACACATCGGCCTGGGGGGCATAGATCTCAAATGACATGGCTTCATCGGGATAGGAAGAGCGCCTTGAAGAGAGATATCGACTGAGAGCGGTATAGTCATCTTCTGTGTCTTCTTCTGATTCCAGGCTTAGGGGAACGGTGCTGTAGACCTGGATGGCGATTTGTGGAAGGCGAACTGGTAAGGCTTCCGGGTTGGTCTCTTTCAGTGTCATGAAAACCGCAGGTTGCTGTGCATGGTCTCGGTATTGTCGAGCAATCCATTGGGGGCGTGGAGTCTCACGCCAAGCTTTAATTCTAGCCATGACGCTGTATGTTTGACTGAAAAAGAGGAGAAGAGGAGAAGAGGGGTAATTGGAAAGGGTGTAGCTAAAATCATCCCCCGACTTTACTCCATACTAACTGCTCGTACTGCTCTACCGACGAATCTATTTACGATTCTCAAAGACAGTAGCAATGGGTCCTCTTCCCCAATATCTAAAATTTGATTTTGCAGCTACCAAGTACTGCAGGACAATGATGAAGAATTTAATCAAAAATTCCATGCTACCTCCAGTTGAAAGGGATCGAAGAGATCCACCACTATAACGAGGTCAAATTAGAACAAATAATCCAATATATGTATTCTGTGCTTCAGTTACCACAGACAAAAAGGAACTTCATCCAATTCATACAAGAAGTCAGAAAACAATAGTCAACACCGTATCTCAAAACTTCACCCCGCGTATAAACAGGTATGGAAGGAGTCCATAGATTCTCCTTCAGCCAGTGACAGATATCCAGTCCCACACCGCGCCTCCTTTCCGGAAAACCCATACAATAAAAGAAGTCATAACATGCATACGTGCAGATCAAATCATTCATCGCCCCGTAATGTAGTCCTTGTTTTCGATCGTCACACTCTTGGTCATGTGGTTGACCTTGTAAACACCGACCAGTCGAGAGGCAAGTTCAAACTATTGATGATTAGTCACGCGCTGCTGTAGCATGCATCTATGGCGAGTGGCTTACCATGTTGTTTCTCAAAGAAATAACAATGAATTGGGCATTCTTGGTTCTCTCCTTGATATAGGATGCCACAATCGAAACCTAAGCAGGTTAGCAACGCACTTTTATAGAATTTGGGATAGAGCACTCACGTTGCGGAAGTCCAGGGCAGCATCAATTTCGTCCATCACGTACAAAGGAGTCGGCTTGTAGTGATGCAAGGCGAACACCAGCGCCAAACTGGAAAGAGTCTTCTCACCACCGGACAGATTTCCAATGTTCTTCCAGCTCTTCTTCGGAGGCATGACGGAGAACAAGATACCCTCAGAGAACGGATCCAGAGAGTCAACCAATTCCAGCTCGGCGTTACCTCCCATCGTGATCATCTGGTACATCTCCTTCAAACGAAGCGAGATAATGCCGAATCCTTCCATGAACCCGTTCAGACGAGCAGATCGGAGGCCATCAAGACGAGCCTTGGCACTATCACGCGACGCCAGGGCAGTGGTCAGATCGGCCGAACGTGCTTCGTGTTCAGCCGTTCTGCGCCTGTACTCTTCGATGACACTAAGGTCGACAGATGCATTCTGACTCTTCTCCTCAAGGGCGGCAATGGCTGCCTTCAACGACTCCTTGTTCATCGCCATCAACTCGTCTTGAGTGAACATCTGGAGCTCGGTGGCTTCCTGCTCTTCACCCAGATCGCTGACGTTCTGCAACGAAAGCTTGGACAACTTCTCCTGCCAGTACCGCCCGCGCTTTTCGTTCTCGGACAAGGCTTTCTGGTTCTCCTCAAGCTTATTGCGCATCTCGATCTCGGTGGCTCGGGACTCGTTCAATTCAGCCACCTTTTCATCCAACTCACCCTTCACTTTGCTGAGCTCCTCTTTCTTCTCCTCGAGAGCCTGTCATGGTGTAAGCCTACAGATTTGATGCACTTTTATCTCAAACTTCTTACCTCTTCCGCTTCCTCCACCTTTTGCTTCCACCCTGATGCATCGTTGGCCTGGTTGGCGACATCCGCATTGAGCTTCTCGAGCTCCTCTGTTACATGCTCAAGCTCCTTCTCTGCGTCAGCACGGGCATTCTGGTGCTTGACGATGGCCTTCTCATTCTTTGACTTTCCAACCTCTGCATTGGAAATCTCCTCTGCAAGAAGGCTGATCTGCTCCTTGAGACCGTCGACCTTGGCCTTCTGACCACGTAGTCTAACACCACCAACCTCCATAATCTTATTCTGGAGAGTCTGGATCTCTTCCTCGATACCACCCTTCTGTTCACGAAGGTCTTCAATTTCTTCCTCCAGAGCTGCGATCTGTTTCTCCAGAGCTGCGGCTTGACTCGCGTCCGTCTTTGATGGCTTGTGCTCGGCGCTTAATTCCTTGACTCGCCGCTGGGCGTCTGCGAGACTTCTGTTGGCACTTTCAATCTCGATCATGATCTTCTGGATCTTGGTCTCCGCTCGTGGTATCTCCTCGGATCTCTCTCTGATCGCTGCCTCCATTTGCCTTTGCTTGTCCAAGAAGCGCTGGAATTTCCTCTCCATTTCTTCCAAATCACCCTCGAGCTGAGCAACTTGCTCTCTGCTTGTCTCTGCCACTTGCTTGGAGGACATACCACCACGTGCTACGCGGGTACCACCACCACTCATAGTACCAGACATGTCGATGAGTTGACCGTCAAGGGTCACGACCCTCCACCGTCTGGCTCCATAGGCAATGCGGTTGGCTTGCTCAAGGTCTTTAGCAACCAAGGTGTTCTGCATGACACTGTAGAATGCGGGGGCAAATTTGGGGTCTTTGGGCTTAACCAAGTCAAAGAGTCGAGGGACCTTCTCCGGAGTTGCGATGGAGGATAGATCCCGCCGGGGGAGTCGATCCAGAAGAATGAAGTTGGCTCGACCGAGATTGTTCTTACGCAGGTAGTCGATACACTGTTGACCGACTTCAACCGTATCAACCACCATGTTGTCCAGCGCCGGACAGGCAGTGGAGATAGCCACATCATATTTCTCGTCGATAGTTCCGAGGTTGCCGAGCCGGCCGTGGAAGCCTTCGATACGGCCCGACTCCTTGAGACGCATAAGTCCAGACAGAACACTACCGCGATTTTGAGTGCTTGCAAGACTGGCCCTTGCCTCATCTGCCTTCTGTCGAGCACTCGAGACATGGGCCCGCACTTCAGGTTCTCTGTGGGCATACTTCTTAAGGTCATGCTTGAGCTTCTCGACCTCCTCTTCAAGTGTCGACTTCTGCTCTTTGCGTTCCTCAAGCTCGGTCTCCTTGGTGGCCAAACCCTCTTCAATCGAAGCCACCTTGGCCTGAGCCTCTTCCAACAGGATAGCACCCGCGTTGCTTCTCTCACGGATGATGTCAAGTTGACTCTGAGCCACAGCGACAGCCGAGAGCTTCTTGTTAATCTTCTCATCCCACGGCTCCAATGACTTTTGCTTTGCCGTAATTTGGTCCGAGAGACCCTGGGTTTTGCCTTTGAGGCTCTCACGGATCGAGTTCAGTTCCTCCTCCTCCACCTTCATCTCTTTCTCAAGCTGTGTAGTCTCTTTCGATTTCCTTTCAATATCGTCCGCATGCTTTTGCACCAGACTCTCACACTCAGAGGCAGCCAGTCGAGTACTCTGCATAGCCTTCTCCAGCTTCTTCTGCTTTCCAACCAAGAACTTTTTCTTCTCTTCAAATTTGACAGATTCCTTGTCGTACTTGGCCATTTCCTTGGCCAAGGCTTGCATCTCCTTTTCCATGCTCTCATATTCCCGCATGCCACGCTTGTACGCCTTCTCAAGCTCTTTGATGCCGGATTCGTTGCCCTCGTGCTTCTCTAGCTCGAGGTTCAAAAGCTCTTGCATCTGCAGGATAGCTTCCTCGGTAACTCGGATGTTATCACCGCACTCATTGATGTAGATCTGGTAGAGTGCGGACTGTTTCTGAGCGAGCTCATTCTCATCACGAATGAAGGAGAGTGCCTTGTCCTTTTTCTCTTCCAAAGCGTTCTTCTCCTTTTCTACATGCTGTACACGATTGTTCTTTTCCATACAGACGTCGTTCAGCGTCTCCAGCTCAGCGGCTGCTTCGTCGATGGGCGTCTTGTATTTGGAGGTTCCGATGATATCCTCGAGGTACTCCAGGAGACCATCTTCGTGTTCATTGGCAGCCTTGGCCTTCATCTGTGCGATGGACTCGACTTCACCTTGGAGAATCAAGAAACGCTTATGGTCCAGGTCAATGCCGCGGTCGCGGAGCAGGGTGGTCACGGCGGTGAAGTTCGTCTCCTTGCCGTTCATGTAGTATTTGCTGCTGTTATTCTTAAACGCCTTTCGGGAGATAATCAGTTGGGAATCTGGGACTACTTCATGCCCTCCAGTGGGCAAGTCAAGGACTTCCTGGAAGTGAACTTCGACTTCACAGTAGGGCAAGTTGGGAAAGTTGGCGGAATTATGAATGAGAGCGGAAACCTTGCCCTGTCGCATCTTGCTAGCTCGGAAACCGAAGACAAAGAGCAACGCATCGATGACATTGGACTTTCCGGATCCGTTTGGTCCGACCACCGAGGAGAAAGAGGCATGGAAGGGCCCGACGATCTGCTTCCCTGCGTAACTCTTGAAATTCATCAAAATTAGTGTAGTGATAATCAAGCGGCTCTTGGGTTCGGATGGCTCCTCGGGCGCTGAGGGGCCCAGTAAGCGAGACTTCATCATGATATCCATCGGCTTTTCGAGAACGGTCGAATTGGGGTTGATCATAGCAATTTGAGGCTTTTCCTCGCTTTCGGACTTTGCGGGCGTCTGGTTCACAGCCGACTCAGTGATATCAGCGAGTGGGGGCACACTGCCTCTCTGCGATCGGGGTTGGGACGGGGGCGGCGACACGGAGGGCTCTGGAGTTGGGAGTAAGGACATTTCCGGGTTGGGCGTGCGGGAGACACGACTCTTGCGGGGGTGAGCCATACTGGTTATTTTCTTTACTGACGCTGTCACCTGTGAGGCAGCCTCGGGCTCTTCCACCGACGCGACGCTCTCGCCTTCATTGTCGTTTGTATCTGTGAGTTGCGACGCCTCGGACAGTTCTGCGGTTGCCGACCTGCGAGATCTCCGTGTAGTGCGCGTGGGCTTGGGTGTAGTCTGCTCGATTGTGGCTCGTCTGCGCGAGGACCTCTTTTCAATTCTGGGTTTCTTGGGAACAGGCGTGGCCTCGCCGCTATCGTCGTCGTCTTCGTCGTGCTGAGATGCCGCGGGGGTGACATTTCCGGGATCCTCCTCTTCGGAAGTTTCTTCCATAACATAGCTCCGCCGGGCGGCAGCAGA